AGCCCTTCTAGGAAGAGCTCTATTCGCGAATACGAGCTTAGGCTTCCTTTAGCCGTAAGTTTCTCCGTAATAATACGATACCGGGAGTAGTATATAGGGAGAGAGTAGGATAGGTCTACTTTAACTATTTCCACGTATTTTTGGATAAAGTAGATAGTGCCTTCCTTAAGGGTAGAGTTAAATAGAGAGAATTCCTTTAATAATTCTTCACGTAGTATAGCCTACTACTATTTCTAAAACCTACTTATTTCTTTAATAGTAGGACGGAGATAGTCCTCGTAGTATAACGGTAGGGAGGTTATCTTCTTATTAGGCGGAACTTCGTAGTTTATATATATGTCCTCGTACTTCCGAAGGAAGGTCGTGATATTTATTCCTTTAAAGCGCTTAGGGGCTAGGGTAGATAGAGGTACTATCCTTCCTTATTGCGTAAATACTACGAAGAAGTTAAGTATCTCTCTACGAGTTACTAGATTATTATTTTAAGCTTCTATTATACTATTACTAGTAGTAGATATACTAGTAGAGACGCTAGGGGTAAGGTTATTAGTTAAGGGATTACCTTAACTAAAGGTTAGCCTAATGCGTCTATCTATAATACCTATTATCCCTTCTCCATGTTAACTAATCCCTTTATAAGGTAAACTATTACTATTATCTTTATCGATATAAGGTTTATAGTATCCTACTTATATTATTATCTTTATATAAGGCGTTCCTAAAGTGGTATACTCGTATGGCCGTGTTTATAAATAATAGCTATGGTAGTACTAAATAGATTATATTTGTCGTTTTTGAACTCTTCTTTACTACTTTATCTAGCCCTGTTTTATATTCTATTCCCCTAAGACATTTTCGAGTCGCGCTATTACCCGTGTTAGCATGCATATACTTTTTATGGCTACTTTTAAGAGGCTAGCCCCTAGTAACTCCGGACTCCCTGTTTTCTAGACTCGTGGCTTCGATCTAGTAAGTCTAGACTACCTTATTAGGCACGCTATATACTTCCCCTAAGCTAGTTTCGGAGTCCTAATCTCCCTCTATAAGTTCGTAGTCCGGGTACGACCTCTAAAATTATAGTAAGCTATTACCACGTGTATCCCTTTTATAAATAGCTATGTTTCTAGTATAGTAGTCGCGATGAACTTATAAGTATCTCTCCTAGGTATTATAAGTTCTCTTTAAACGCACGACTTCTTATTAGTTCTCTTTTATAATAGGACGGGTCTATATAATACTCTTAATTAATTCTTTAATAGCTAAGCCTAATAATTAATACCTATAGAGGCCTATAAACGTAAGAAAAGGTCGAATAGTCGAATATTAGTAATGGGGGAAGCGCGCCGAGTAGAATGACTAAGGAAAACGCCCTCCTTAAATATATAATAAAGCTATGTAATCGAGCTAGGGATACATACATGTGGGGCTGTAGGAGCGGCCTTCCACACTAGAATATACGAATATTTTTCTATAGCGTAGGGATATTATTCTATAGGTTTTAGAGGTATTATAGTAGTTAAGTAGGTGTCTAGTTCGGTCGTTATGCCACGCTTCTTAACTTAGATAGTGCCTTTCTTTTATGTTCTCTATCCGTTCCGAGGGTATTTAGTATAAATATAGCTAAATATTTCTAGGTTATCGTAGATAGTAGCTATACTTCCTTCTATCTATCCTATTAATCGCGGGATTATAAGTCTAGGTATCGTTCTCCGAACGAAATACGTTATACTTTAGTAGAAAAGAGTAGAGGGTTATCGAGGAAGTACTTTTCGTAGTCTCTCTTCTAGTCTTTCTACTCCTTTTAGTTCTTCCCTATAAATATAGTCGGGTCTTTAGATTTTAGTATATCTAGAGAAGGAGTAGGGTAAATCGGTAACGAAGCGGCTGGGTATATAGTAGATTATCGTAACTCTAATAGTAGGTAAACTAATTCCGCCTAAATTAGTATAGGAAGTCGTCCACCTACTATCGTTCGGCGTAGTTCTTTAAGAGACTCCTTAAGTTCTCGTCTCTTTACGAGGAGTTTCGCGCGTTCTATCTATTCTTTAAGGGTTTAAATCTCTTAAGCCTAATTCGTAACGTATTCCTAAAGTTTAGTAATAGTTTATTATAATACCTCGCGTGGCTCCGCCACGACTCGTTATCCGGCTTTATATTATTAGAAGTTACTTGGCGTATCTACTATTTCTTCGTCTAAAAGCTCTGTGATTTGGTCTAATATTTCTACTTCTTAGTTAGAAACGGCTAGGATTAATACCGATTATAGAGGATCCCTATTATTTAATATAGTATTACTTATCCCTATAGTAGATCGTGTCGACCTTCTCGGTTCTAGTTAGACTATCTTAACTATAGTACTATATAGAGAGTAATTCGAATATAAGAATAGGGTTATTAGATAGTAGTATAGTTAGATAGAATAATAGGGTGTATTCTATTATAGAACGAATTACTACTAAACCCTTTTAGTAGGAATCCGAGAGTATATATATAAAGGGACGCCGATCTATCTAGCACGTAACTGTTTACCGCCCTTCACGTTACCTCCTAACCCTGTTAGCTAAGGTACGTGTAGGTCGGGTCCTACCTAAGGCTAAGTTCTAACACTAATTCTATATCTATATAAAGCTTAAAACTTCTATGTAGAGAATTAGAATATAGATTATCTAAATAGTAATCTAATTGTTAGGCACGTGCCTGCCAGTTAATTATACATGTGTGTAGTAGTTATATATAAGCAGTGTACTCCACCCTTAAAGCAGTAGCTTTAAGATTCGGTCCTTTTAGTATAGTTGGTTGGTACGTGGAGCCCGCCTCCTTATACTAATCTATATAACTCTATATATTAAAGATATCCCTCTACTTAAGCTCTAAGAAGAAGTTCTAAATATCTATTAGCTAAGTATAATATACTAGCGTATAATATATACTCTCTATTAGAATAAGAGTACCTTAGAAAGCTATATCTACTAAGCCTTAATCCTTTAATTAGATATATTTATCCTAAATATCTAGTATTAATTTAGTAGAATCTCTAGATTATTAACCTAGTAGAGATTCTACTAAATATTTACTATATAAGTTATCTTACTACCTCTATTACTTTATATAAAGCGTAACTAGATATCTCTAATTCTTAAAATTTCTAGAAACTAAAAGAGATAACTAACTACTATAGTAGATAAGATACTAATATAGGCCTAGATAATATATCTTAAGTATATATCTATATAGGTATAGATCTTAATACTATATAAGCTAAGCTTATAGTACCTATCTATACTCTAGATATAATTAGGATCTTTTATAATATACTAGCCTCTATAGTACTAAAAATTATAATAGCGGCGTCGTACGCCCTCTAGATTTAAGATCTTTATAGTCTAAAATAGCTAATCTCTAGATAGATTCTTAGAATAAGTCTTTATATATAGATAGAAGGGTATAGATACTATATAATCTAGACTCTAGCTTCTAGAAAATATATATAGAGTAGGCCTTAACTAAATCTATTAATTACTTCTAACTCTAAGCCTTTCTATATAAGCTATATTATCTTCTTACTTTTAGTCTATTATATATTAATACCTCGTACCTTTTATATAATATCTATATCTATATAACGGCGATATAGAGAACTCTATAAGATCTTAAACCCTTCTTCTTAAAGAATCTAAATAATCTTAGTATCTAGAAGAGCTAGTTTAAGGGTAAGAGTATAGACTCTCTTATATAGACTCTCTTATATAGAAGAGGGAAGTAAAGAAGAGTCCTTTTAAATCTTCTATATAGAGAAATAGCGCTTAAGTATATAATAGAATACTATAATACTATATATATACTTAATCTAGGCTAGGAGATTATTCTATATATAACTAGAGGTATATTTTAAAATAATCTCTATCTAGAGATAGGCTATCTATTACGCTATTATATAAAGAGAGAAAATATATATAGATAGGCACGTATTATATATAAAGAGAGGGATATTTAGAGAGGGGGAAGTAGGTTTAATATATATAAGTATGCTTTTAAGGTGTGTGCCCTCGGTAAAAAAAAAGTGTGGCCCGCTGATACATACCGTCCACGATACCCTAGGGCCCAAGCCATTCGCGGCGTAGCCTCCCGGCACTCCACGGGCTTCATGGCCCACTGAGTGGACTAATACGTAAAGAAATAATAGACAGAGACCGAGTTATAATAAACAGCGTCGAGCGACCGCGACCGAGACCGACAGCAGCTCGAGAACACTACTGTCGCTGGTGAAAGTCGTTGGCGATTCAGCTCCGGACCCACATGCGTGTCATGTATGTCATGTCTCCTCAGTTTCTCACTCTTCAATTATCCTGCGGCGTCCTCGGAAACAGCCCTGGCTTCTGCCAAGTATGGTTGCGAATATGGTTATGTCATGGCTACAGGTCTGCTGGGCTGTCGGATTGGCATGGGCTATGATACGCTGCAATTGCTAGCTGGTCGCATCTACAATCTTCATGGTGCATCTACAACTAGTCAGCATCAGCTCCTGGCGATTGATCGCATGCTTCTCGCACGCTGGCAGATAGACTACGATTTATGTCACTGCAGGGCCAATACTCACCGTCTGTCACTGTCCCTCGGGCCTTTTGGGCCCTTTGTCCCCCCTCCCCCCGGAATAACATCCGACACTCGACGGCGGCGGCCTTATACGACATGGACTAGGGTAGACATATGATGCACGTCAGCATGAGCTACTGATTCATACAGAGCACTGCCAGCCTGTGCTCACGACTGTCTAGCATTACGACCATTTGATCTGCCTCGTAAGGCTGAAAGAGCGCCATGAGCTCTTTCGAAGCTCCATCATATCCCCAAGTGGATATTGTGCAATCCATATTGGAATTATAGCAAAAACCATCAGCATCTTTAATGTAGTGCCTCTGTGTAGCATGAATCATGAGACATATGCCAAGGACCCAAGAGAATTCACTCCTCTCGGCCGAGGTCCCACACACAGTCAGGACTTAGAGCTGTGCGCGATGAACGACCTTAACATTGCCAGTGATAATCGTCTTCAACTGCATGTAGTCTTCCATCCCATACCGACTGCCCTCGCGCCCAAGCCCAGAATGCTTCACTCCTCCAAACGGCGCCGACGCGTCCGAAATAACACCCGTGTTGATAGCTACCATCCCCGCCTGCAGCGCCTCCGACACACGCGCCAGCGTGCCGGTATCCTGACTGAAGAGATATGATGCAAGTCCAACGGATGCGTTGTTGGCGCGAGCAATGACCTCGTCCTCTGTTGAAAATCTGAATATCGGTGCGACTGGGCCGAATGTTTCCTCGCTCGCGATCTTCATGCGGTCGTCGACGTTGATTAGGATGGTAGGCTCGAAGAAGTTTGGGCCTGTGGAGATGAATGCTTAGCATTACCTTGCAGAATGCGATGGCTGCTCTACTCACCTAGTGAGGGCATCTTCCTGCCTCCAATGGCGACTCGTGCACCATGCTTCACGGCATCGTCGACATGCTCCTGAACCTTGGCGACCGCAGCTGCATGGATCAGAGGCCCATGGCTCGTAGCAGCGTCGAAACCGTGTCCAACTTTGAAGCTCGACACCACTTCGGTGAGCTTGGCGACGTATCGATCATAGATGCCATCTTGGACGTATATTCGATTCGCACAGACGCAAGTCTGTCCACTCACTTTGAACTTGCTAGCAACCGTACCGGCGATGGCCAGGTCTAGGTCAGCGTCATTGAAGACGATGAATGGTGCGTTGCCGCCTAGTTCGAGACTCAGTCCCTTCAACGTATGCGCAGACTGGCTCATCAAGATCCTCCCAACACGCGTCGAGCCGGTAAATGAGATCTTTCGTATCGTGTCTGATTCGCACATGAACTTGCCAATTGCCGGGGTGTTTTCCAATGCTGTCACGACATTCAGGACGCCTCTGGGCACTCCAGCTCGCTCCGCCAGTACGGCTATGGCATTCCCAGAGAACGGCGCTTGGCCGTCTGTCTTGAGCACAACAGTACACCCAGCAGCAAGCGCAGGTCCCAGTTTCCGAGCCGCCATAGCAATTGGAAAATTCCATCTGCAGCACATTCCATCAGCACAACCAGTCACTACAACACATCACCCCTCTAGACTAACGGTGTAATAAGCCCGCAAACCCCAACAGGCTCCCTAATGACTTGAGCACGCATCTGCGCATTGCTATGCGGTACCACATCCCCGTAAATCCTCGCTGCCTCCTCCGAGAACCACTCCAAGAAACTCGCCGCAAACACGACTTCCCCGGCCGCATCTACCCGGGCCTTTCCATTCTCCCACGTTATCAACGTTGCAATATCGCCCTTGTTCTCCAGCACGAGCTCGTACCATCTGCGTATGACGCGGCCGCGCTCACGCCCGGATTTCGACCTCCATGCTGGGAACGCAGCGGCTGCTGCGTCGACTGCGTGTTGTGCGTCTTCGACCGTTGACTCGGGACATGTGCCTATGTGCAAGCCGGTTGCGGGATCTGAGGTGTCAAAATGTGCTTGCTCAATTCAATCTGACACTTCAATGTCGCGTACGTACCTGTGACGTTGAATGTCTTCCCTCCACATGAATCGACCCATTGGCCATTGATATAATTCTTCCCAATAAACAAAGACTGGTCCTGTAGAGAAGGCACCGTGGTTACCATCGTTCGCAGAAGAGAGCTCCAAGCAAGCCGGAGGTAGGATAGGATAGGAGACACAGCTCTCAACAAGAAAATCACAGAAAAGGCCGGGAAATATGAATTCGCGCATCGTAGACAAAGTCAATCAAGAACTCACCATCCCTCAAAAATATTTTATCGTAGCCGACGTGGCTATGAAAGCACATTGCCCAATCGAGACAACTTTCGCGATGCTAGGCCCGGATCGCGATTGGTCCATGATCTTCTACTCCTCCACCCACCTCAATAAAAGACGTTAAACCCCCTGCACCTTCTGTTATTGGTGAGTACTCTGCTTATGTAGTCCGGATAGAGATATATACCAGTCTGCTCACTTCTGTACAACATCGCAAAGAGTCCCGCTCACGACTTGATTCGTGCGTGAGTACGCAAGATATTTCCCGTTCCGGACTAGTCAATTACTCTCAATCAAAGCAACAGCACAACACCCTAGGCCGCAGCACACGTATCGGATAGCAAAGGGATCGCATGTCGTCTAAAATCAGAGCACAGCATGGTAGCAGGCATATTTTAGAAAGAAGAAAGCTTTCATGTGTGTATTATTAGTCTGAACAAACCCCCAACTCTCCTCCTCCTCACACCAACACCCTCCCAGCCTTCCCATTATCCTATACCCCATATTCCACCCAATCCATCCATAAATCCAAACCCCGAAAACGAAAGGGCCCGCCCCACCTCAAACACCCTATGTTCGACATAATCATCGTCGGCGCCGGCCTAAGCGGCCTACAATCCGCCCTCTCCGCCCAAGAGGCCGGCCTCACCGTCGCCGTCGTCGAAGCACGCGACCGCCTCGGCGGAAAAGTCTGGTCCGTCCCACTGGCCAGCGGCCGCGGCGTTGTCGATCTGGGCGCCGCATGGGTGAATGACTCGATGCAGAAGCGCGTGTGGCGGTATACGCAGATGTTTGGCTTGGATGTGGTGCGGCAGCGGCTTGAAGGGCAGGCGGTTATGATCGCGGGCGAGGGCGAGGGCGGAAGGGTGGAGTTTCCCTTTGGGATTATGCCTGAGGTGTGTATGTATGTGTGTGTTTGTGTGACTGAAGCGGGCCTTTTTATGCTTGCTTGCGTGCGTACGTGTGTGCTTGCTTGTTTGTATTAATGGAATGTGCAGTTCAGCGCGGCGGAGAAACGGGACCTGGAGCGTGTGCGCGACCACATACAGGCCGAGTCGATGCAGACCGGACTCCCCAGCCAAGAACAAGACGCCGTGACGCTAGACCAGTACGTGCGAGATCTAGGCGCGCGGCCGAAGACGCGGTCGATGGTGAATCTGTGGAGTCAGGTCATGCACGGGGTCGAGTCGAGCGAGCAATCGGCGGCCTTCTTCATCGACTACTGCAGGCGGAATCACGGGCTGCTCGCGATCCGTGCCGACGACAGGACTGGCGGGCAGTATCTGCGCTATCACCAAGGTGCTGTTTGCAATGTGCCACTGAACTGGTCGAGGGACTGTCTGCTGACTGACTGGTGTAAAGGGACGTCCGCCATCGTCGAAGGGATCGCAGGTCTGGTCGGCCATGCCAACATACACCTCTCATCGCCTGTTGCTTCGATACAGGACCATGGCGGGCACGTGTCGGTCATCACGACAAATGGTAACACGTTTCAGGGCAAGAAGTGTATCCTGTCCCTCCCGACCACGTTATACAAAGACATCAATATCTTGCCTCCACTACCGCCCCGAGCTCAAGAGGTCTACAACTCGACACGACTAGGCGATTACAACAAGGCGATCGTTTGCTACGACCGCCCTTGGTGGCGAGACCAGGGCTACAATGGCTTTTTTATGAGTTTTAATGGTCCAGTAAACCTGGCTCGTGATACCAGCGTCGACGAGAAGCGCCAGTTCTCACTGACGTGCTTCGTAAATGGTCAATTCGGCCGCGATTGGAGCAGACTACGATCACATGAGCGCCGCAAGGTAGTGCTCGAGCAGCTTGCCAAGGTGTACAAAGTTGACCGGGACTCGGAGGTGTGGCGTCCAATCGAGATATTTGACCAGGTCTGGATGGAGGAGAAGTTTAGCAAGGGTGCTTTGACACCTATAACTGCTGTTGGTCATTTGACCAAGTTTGTAGATGTGTATGGCAAACCAGTTGGAAATCTTCATTTTGTTGGGACGGAGTTCGCGACAGAATGGAAAGGATATATGGAGGGCGCGTTGGAGACCGGTGAGCGTGCAGTCAGAGAAGTAATGAACATGCTGGGTCCAAGGTCGACACTTTGAGGCCGCACTATAACAAGGCACAGAATTTACAAATAAGGTATACAAGTAACATATGCGTGACCGTGGTTGTGTGACGTATTTACGCTTTTGGAAGACAGTACCTAACTCTGAAGACAAATGGTATCATTCGCCGTTATGGCAGATTACTGAACGCCTTCTGATTGTACCGAGTATTTATGCTCCAAGACTCCGTGCGCTCCGATACAATGCTGAATATATGGCGGAAATAAGTAGTTTATAGGCGATCTTTCACTTTCTGGAGCCAAAGAAGTGATGTCTCTTCTTCTTGTCTGGATCCTTCTCCTTCCCAGAAATCTTTCCGCTGGATGCTTGCTGGGCAGCAGCTAGAGCAGCAGACGGCGTACCATTTGCTGCAGAACGTCCTTGGGGAGCCCCGGCACTGAGCGAGATTTTACCCATGGCAGCAGTCGGGGGCGCTGGTCCGCTCGGAAGACCACCAGGACGCTGCGCCCCAGCTGATACGATAGGTTTAGCTTGTGCTTCCGGTTCAAAAAGATGCGCTGGCGCCTTGCGCTTCGGTTGCTCCGCTGGTATACCAAGCCGACGTTTGTCAACACCAAGATCCCCAAGCTGGCGCATAAAGAGACCCGGTGTTAGCATGTGGGAAGTCACTAAAAAGACGTCCCGCGAAGTAGCCCGCGACACTTCGTAACACGCGCGCGATTCCGAATACGTAGCACCCCCTGCAACAAAGACAATAATGCGTTGCCTGGGTTCGACAGAGGATAGTCTGGACTTGGCCCAAGTAGGTTTTGCGGATCGAAGTGATGATGCAGCTTGGGCAGACTCTTGGGCAAGCGCAGCCGTTTCTGCCGCATCTACTTGTGGTTTAGTGAAGGGGAATGTTAACTGATCAAGTCCACCACGAACGTGATCTTCAAGGAGATATTTGAGAGCAGGCGTGAACCGAGAGAGTGCATATTCTTCTTGATTGGGATTGTTTGCTCCGTTGGGTTTACGCGGGAACAGGGGAATGGGGGCACTCTTCGTGTCCTTTAGCGGCCTTGATACTCGAGCTCCTAGTAGCTCGAGGCTATGTAAGACCTCGCCGTCCTGTGGGGGCAGCTGCGCGTGGGCCAAGAGCTTCATGAGATCGGCTGGGAGAAGGCCGTCCTTGTATAGTAGATACAGAGCGATGAGGCGCAGACGGTCAGGGTGCTTGATGCTTTCTTCATCGAGAGTGCGGACCACCTGATCCGCGAGATTTTTCGGCTTTCGATAGTCTTCGTCAAGACCTGTTGCGAGTGACTACCTAGGTCAGCTTGTCTACTGAATGAGGAGAGCTTCAATGACGTACCTGTTCCACGGACGCGAGATCAGGCAGTTTCTGCTTTTGAAAGAGGCTCATGCATTCTTGGGCCATACTCAAATGCAGTGAATATGCTTCTTTCATAGACTGAAATTCCGGTAAACCAGCCAACATGTCCTTGATAGCATTGAGCGAGGTGGCGTTCCCACCGTCTTTGTTTGTGAATTGTGGATTCTCATCCATGAACTTCTGAAAATCCCCCATAAGCTTCTCGATGGTGTCCTTCATGTGTCTATGCCTATTTTCTACCCATATCCGGTCGGACTCCACTATATCATGCTCCTTCTCTTGCTCATCACGTTGTCCTTCGTTGATCAGCGTCTTGTAGGATACTTTGTCCCCGTCCTTAATTTGGAGCAGGTCATGGGCCATTGCCTGGTAGGTGAACTCGTGCAAAAAGGGCGCGACAAGATCCATCGAGCGATCGGTTATGAACAAAGCTCCTCGTGGTCGGTTTGATTGCGGAGGGAAGTCTGGGTGGTACTGCGCGTACATATCTATTTGCTCTTGTACCATACGTGCGAGATGAGTACACAATACTCCTGCTTCATGAGATGCGGTACGGGGGCGGTAGTAGCGAATCGTTGGATATTCTCCCAGGGATACGCATACTGCTACAATCTGACTGGCGGCTTTTTCTAAATGCTCCCGAACGAGGTTGTTACATGCCGGGTGGAAGAGTATTGGAAAACTCCACGGGTCGCGGAAGGTGACAAGGTGAGATTCCCGTGGGAAATAATCCGCGTCCAGGACCTTAAAAACCCTGATCTGTTCCCTGGCTGTACTAGATCTATCAATGCGTTCTCGAAGAGCGGGTGGTGGAACTATATCATCGTTAAAATTTGGGTACAAACATGGTCTCAGATTGTGCACGCACGAGAGGTCCATATTAAGTGTGCACTACGATACCTGTGTCTTTCAAAATCCGCCATCATACAATCCACTATCCAGCTTTCGGGTGTCAAGATGTATATGGCATCCATGTCTTTGTTCATTGGCCTCTTTTCATCAATGAGCTCAATGTCTAGCACCGGTTAGCTCGCGAAAAATTACTGAGTGCGTTGAGACTTTACTAGTAATCTGAAGATTCAGAATATCATCCTCTCTCACAGCATTGTATACAAGCTTCTTACTCGTCGGATCCAGTACGAGGACTTTCCACTGGGACATTTCAGTCAGTGACTGATCTAGTGTTCGCTATCGTCTACTCATTTACGTACTTCGCCACGAGACGCATTTTTCAGAGCGTCAAGGATAACTGTATATGCACATGTCAGTGGGAGTGTTTGCCAGGTAAGAAAGGGAGTTCTTTACCGTCCCGCTGTATGTCAATTATGGAGACCCCCATGGTGAAGCAGGAAGAAAAGGCACAGATCGACGCGGAAATCGCCTAAGGTGCTGAAGTACAAGCTTGACAGCAGTCACTGTTAATTTCAAAGGCCAGCCTCTGAAGTTGTATTAGCAACAGTGAAGGTATGCAGCTATGATATGTTGGAGACTTGAGAGCGAGGGGTGGATGCGGCGCGTTGCAGCGGGATTGGCTTGGCGCAGCCGTTTATGAAACCGACTTAGGTAGATGTTTAATGGGTGCGAATGCTTGGCATCTTTAAGTCATTTCCAACCTCGCAACTCGCCCTACGGAATCATATCGACGACTTATATAGCTATAGCCTAGGCATATAACTCTATGTCTCTATAGAACTATATAGAAAGAAATGAAATTGTCCAGGTCCTGTCCTAATTCATATATTGACCGACGAAGAGAGAAATGAAAGAGGAACTTTCTCCCTGATTAGAAGAACTAACTGGACTTATGCTCTCGATTGATGGCATACTACTTACTATTCTCTTTCTCTAAAAGGTATATAGCTTAATCTTATAATTTAGTAGAACTATCACATAGAATACAATAAAACGGTTAATATTTACCTCCGTCCAGGTAGTAACAATCACACTAAGGATTCGCACTAGTTAGTAGACTGACGGAACACTTCCGGAGCTATCAATTCTAAAAACTTCACGTCGAACCCATACTACCCTCCTCATCCACGCCCTCACATTGCCGCAGCCCGTAATTAATATTCGGACTTGACCTCGCCTATGTCAAAGTTGGTATGGTTTCAAGTAACACACCTTCGCGCATATGTATCTTTTGCATGACAGCAGCCTTTCTTGCGCCTCCTCAAAACTCGCAGTTCCTACGACATAATGGCGGACTTATCCAGCGCGCCTGGCGCTCATCTACATCGAAATCGAAGTCGTCTCGAAAATTTCGTTTACAGAATGGTCCACAGTCATCGGTGAGCTCTCTTCGTCATCATGACTTGCTCAACGCTTACAGTACTAGCACCATGGGCCCAATTGGTCACCGTCGAATAGGAATGGTAGTCCCACACTCATGAAGAAGACCATATCCGACTGCGTAGTCGCTGTACAGCATGACTTGGTTCGTTCAAAAGCATTGAGAACTCTTGGAGTTGATAAGTCACGAAGCAAAGCTCTGTTTGAAACATTCTGTAGAGACCGATTCAAAGCGGACAGCAAAACGACTGGGATACAGAGTAGCAGTCGGTATGGATTACTTGCTGACTTGCGGTCTGCTATGATGCAGAGAGGGACGGACGGTGTCAAGGATCGACTCAAGTATGCCTTCTTCGACTGGCTTCTGGCCGACAAATTCTCCAAAAAAGACATTCAACAGCAGCAGGATGTAACAGATCTCCGGTTTGCGTCAGAGTTTTATGTCGAAGCTCGATCAATACAACGCACCATACACGTTCACGTTGGACCAACAAATTCTGGGAAGACTTATAATGCACTCAAGAGGCTCGAAGAGGCCGGCGCCGGCATATATGCTGGGCCGCTACGGCTACTCGCTCACGAAGTTTTCACGAGACTGAAAGCAAAGGGCCTCCCGGCTTGCTTATTGACCGGAGAGGAGCGGCGCTTTCCCACCCCTCAAGAAATGGAGGAAATTACTCGTTCGGGCTTTACGACCCAGAACCCAGATACGCCATTGATCAGCTGCACCGTAGAAATGGTTCCGGCCGGCTTGAGAGTACCTGTCGCGGTTCTAGACGAGATACAGATGCTGGGCGATCCAGACCGAGGGTGGGCGTGGACTCAGGCGTTTCTAGGCTTAAACACCGAGGAGCTACACGTTTGTGGTGAGGTGCGAACGGTTCCGTTAATCAAAGAGCTGGCCGCTTTGGTTGGTGACAGAGTAGTAGTCCATGAGTATGCCCGTCTGAGTCCTCTAGCAGTGGAAACAAAGAGTCTCGGCGGCAGCCTCAAAAAGCTACAAAAGGGCGATGCCGTCATCTCGTTTTCTGTCGTGGCAATTCAACGTATGAAGAGAGAGATTGAAAAGGCTACAAAAAAGAACGTGGCCATGGTGTATGGCAGTCTCCCACCTGAAATCAGAGCCCAGCAGGCACGTCTATTCAACGACCCCAACAACGATTATGATTACCTGGTTGCTAGCGATGCTATCGGAATGGGACTGAATCTGTGAGTATATGCATTTAGCTTGCCAATTGATTGGTAATCTCTAATTGATGGGCTCTAGGAGTATCAAGCGTGTTATATTCGAATCCACGATCAAGTTCAATGGGCAACAAATGAAGCCATTAGAGATATCTGATCTCAAACAGATAGGTGGACGTGCAGGGAGATACAAGACTGCACAGGAAGCTATCACTACGGCGGAAGATGTTCCGACGGATCCTGTCATCGATCCTGACGATGGCTTTAGACCCGGTACGATCAGTAAAGTTCGGGAAGAATCGGAGTCAGTCGTGGACATAATTCCAGCTCCATCAGTGTCAACGGGCGGGAGTGTAACCACGTTGGACGATCTTGATCTTCCATTGGTGACTCACGCATTTCAGACAGAAGCTGAACCTTTGACGAAAGCTGGAATAAGACCGCCCAATGACATGGTGCAGCGTTTTGGCCAGTACTTTCCAAACGGAACACCTTTTTCTTATCTTCTGCAAAAGCTCTACGATACACTAAGGCTACCGAGTACCTTCATGCTCTGTCCACTTAAAGATGAAATTTCGATTGCCGAGGCCCTGGAACCTGTTGAAGGTCTGACTCTTGAGGAAAGAAACAATATGTGCTTAGTGCCGCTTCCGCCAAAGGACGAAAACGACAGACTTGTCTTGCAGTCGTTCGGTCGAGCGATCGCAGCCAGGTCAGGCGGCGGCTTACTCGATTTAGAAGCGATCGACCTGAGTCAGTTGGAAGAGACAACAGCAGTTATCCAGGAGCCCTCTACAAGACTTAGAAAACTCGTACAGCTGCACAAGCAGCTTGTCGCCTACCTGTGGTTAAGCTTCAGATTCAGCAACGTTTTTACTACACGAAACTTAGCCAACCATGTTAAAGGGCTAGTAGAAGCACAAATGGAAGTAGCAATTGCGAATCTGAGGCCTCTCAACAGAAAGAAGGCGCAGGAGAGGAAGATGAAAGCCCTACAGAGCTTGCTCGAAGATGGCCAGCTGGACCAGGACCAGTCAGACGAGGACTGGGACTTCTCGAACGAATTTCCAGGTCTTGTTGGGGCTAGTCCTCACGATCAGGTCATGGAAAGGCAAGAAGAATGGCAAAGCCAGGATTCAGAGAATGACCACAAAGATCTTGTCCGAGATGCTCATAAAGACGAGGGTATCGATTCGCAGGAGAACCGAGAAGATCGGGAGCCCCGAGAGTATTCAGGACAAAGAACAAACATTGGACAGTCCGAAGCTATCACACCCACTACTTTATAGCTAAAGTTTGCCTCGTGAAAATTCGAGGGCGTAGGGTAATGTAAGTTCACAAATCGCCCATACAGTGGTTTTGAGGGACATTGCTGTCTGAGTATTAGCGTTCCTTCCGCTTAAAGGACGCATCGACATGCGAGGTTAGAATCAACACCCACGGAGGCCGTGTTCAGCGCACACTTCTCTGTCTATGGAGAGGATCCTGTACTTTCCCCTACTTTACGACTGTCATGGAGGACTTGGTTCTACATTATAAATTGGTTTTCAATACCACTCACCTCTGTACGTGTAGATGCAGCCTCGCTCGTGAGCATGACCAACGTGGTCCATACTCCAACCGAGGTTCTGCATGAAAGCGGATTTAGGATCCGAGCTGGGCGCATGTATTATCATCCAGGTGCCTAGGATCATAGATTGTACCATACGTTCCTGTAACATTATTTAGATGCGCTGAATGTCTTGCCGCGGCAAGGAAGCAGGAACATTATAATGAGTTTCTCTCTCCTGTCTACACAAACACCAATCTTGCATTTCAGGGGAATGTACTAATACTCCATCCGCTTTTCTCTCGACTTACTCGAATGGCTAGCCACGCCTAAGAAAATTTGTCATGAGAAGACCGGAGATGTAGTAATTAGGCCCTTGACTCAGAGGCTTCTTTGGTGGCGCCATGAAAGACCCTTCCGTCCTCTTCTCATCGAGTCAGTCAATCGACTAACGCGCAAGAACGGGCCAATTGCACTGTACTCCATTTAGTCTTATGTTATTATATCCAGTTCTTCCGTCCAGTCTTGTGGCACTGCCGTACGAGGCTCGCCCAAAGCTCTCCCAAAGCTCGCGCAGTGCTTGCCCGAGACTCCGCAATCATCATCGCGTGAACATCTCGACGATGTACATTCCCCAGAAAGTCGGGATTTGCTTCGTATGTTTGCGGGGATAGTCCCTGTCTAATGCACTCCACTGTCTTGGCTTTAAGCGATGCTGCACCTTTATGTCATCAACGTTGATGCAATTAGTGATGCTATATATATTTCGTCACGGTCCTGGGATGGTTTTGAACGAATTAGATAAGGTGCTTGACAAACAAATTGAGACAACATGTGGCTGCAGTCTACTGTCTGGGCTCTTCTTGCTACTGCTGCTGAGCTGGCACATGCAAGAGGTCCGTTCCTTCAGATCTTGAACGCGACGCATTCGGTGATTGGGAATGACCACTGGAACGTCACCCAAGGTTTTGCATATGCGACGAAGTTGTACCATAAGAACCAGGATCTAGTCGGCAATGCTGTTGGACACTACGTGAGCTACAGTCTGTCTCCCACCAGTAACCACCCAGTTATAGATATATTGACAGTATTTCCAGATGGCGCCGCAAGCGATCTCAATTGGACATCTCCTACAATTGTTCGCCGCGGACATGACTTCATTGATGTCTCATTCACTGCTATAGAAGGCGACTTTCATTGGATAATAAGAAGAGATCTCGTCGGCGCATACCAATACTTCGTAAACCGTGCGCTGCCCACTCTCGGTGAATTCCGCAGTCTCTGGCGCCTCGACAACACTTCCTTCCCGAACGGACACACGAGTATCAAAGATGAAGCACTCCCGCCGCTATCAGATTATGGCATCTCGACCAAGATCCAAGATGAGACGTGGCAGCGCGCTGATGGGTCGTATATCACCAAATACGACTGGAGCAGCTTCATCCGCGAAGAGAAGTTCTACGGCGTGTATGGCCCTGACTTCGGGAGCTGGTACATCTATCCCGGTAAAGACGAATACAATGGTGACCACCTGAAGCAGGAGCTCATGGTACACCGTGAGTCCTCAACAGGCGATGCGGTTCAACTGAATATGCTGCACGGGACACATTTTCAGTCCTCTCCTAGTGACACATTCGCTGTGGGAAAGACGTGGGGTCCGTGGTTGTGGTATCTCAACGACGGCAACAAAAGAGATGCAGCCGCGCGCGCGGCAAGAGAATACGCGGCGTGGCCATATAAATGGTTCGACGACGCAGTGTACCAGTCCCGAGGCGCAGTGTCTGGCGTTCTGAAGCTCGACGACGGTTCTCCTGCAAGTAATGCAGCCATCTTTCTTGGTGACAACAACTCGAACAAATCGAGTTTAGAGATGGGCTCGAAAAACTACTACACCACCTACGCAGACGAGCGTGGGCGCTTCTCTTTCCGCGATGTCCGAGCCGGCACGTATGGCCTCCGAGCCTGGTCCACCGGGGGCCGGCACTTTAACGTGCCCGGGTTTTACCTACAGAACGATGTCTCCGTTGTCTCATCTCGCTACACGGACCTTGGTCGTATAGTCTGGAAACCACGCTACAAAGAAAGAAGCGAGATTTTCCGTGTCGGATCGTTTGATCGTAAGACGATCGGCTTCGCGCACGGCGGCGCCCCTTACACGCACGGCTCATCAGACCTCTGCCCGGACAATCTCAACTACACAGTTGGAAGGAGTAGGACCGAAGACTGGTGCTTCGCACAAACAGCCAATGGGTCTTGGGCCGTCAACTTTGAAATGTCTTGGCGCGAATCCGTGCGGAGAGCGAACTCGACGGCACTTTTGACCGTGAGCTTGGCAGGATATTCGACAGGTACGAGTTCGACAATATTCGTGAATGACGCAAAGGTGGGCAATTTGACGTCGGGTGGCGGTAGTACGACGGACTATAACAAGGGATTGCAGAATGATCCGGGCTTGTATAGGAGTGCGACTACGGCTGGACAATGGCGGCAATTTGAGTTCGAGCTACCTTCGGGAAGTCTGAAGGCAGGATGGAACAGGTTGGAGTTTCGAGTGGAAAGAAGCACGAGATGGAGAGGATTTATGTGGGATGCAGTAGCGCTAGCATGGTTGTAATCTATTTGATGTAGATGCCAGTGTCAATGAGTACTGAAATAAGGGTATACTTACACACATCTGAAGCTGAACCACACCTAGCCCGCTCACAAGATCTTATCACTCTCCGTAAACCCTTCTTCGCCTTCGTCTCTTGTCCGCACGGGACTCAATGGTGCCACATCTACACCAAAGGGCATTTGAGCGCCAATCAAGCTCTTGCGGTTCGGCCGCGCGTTCACGGTCAGACTCTCGCTAATTACATCTTCAACCTCCAATTCTTCGTCATCAGCTGGCATGAGCGTTTCGGCCATGTCATCATATCCGTCAGCCATCCTCCTCTGCTCGCTTAAGGCCTCTCTTAGGCTATCAATATGGGCCTTCATCTCCCCGAATGCGAGAGGATATGCTCTCATCGGCAGGCCAAGCTTGTCTACGCCATCTTCAGCCTCCTTTATATCAACAGGCGTGTCCTCAAATGCACCGGGCAAGACACCGTACAGGGCACACGCACGGTGCAGTGCTTTCTCGGCCAAGTCCGTTTTCTCGAGTGCGATCCACTCTGAGGTAGCAAGTAAAGCCCACAATGCCGACTTTCTTGTGCGGCTTCCAGAGTTAAGGTTCCCAACACCGCGACGACAACCATATGATGCTGAGACGCGCTCCGTGAAGAGCGCATGTCCAATGGGACCCACCAGCCTCGATTCTAGTATTCGAGACGCCCAGCGTGCGGCATCGTCCGCGGCTGAACTCCCGCGTAGCCGAAGAAGTTCCAGGCCTAGGGCGAGTGTTCGCAGTGCGTAATACGGAGCTGCGGAGCGGGTGACGTAGGAGTATGACGAAGCCTCCAGGAATTGGTCAATGTTCTCAATGCGGGCTTTTGAGGACATATTATTCGGGGTCATCAGCGCTGCAATGGCAACCATTTCGCTAGCACCTGCATAGTATGTCCACGCTTTATCACTATTGAAATCAGAACGCAGTACGTCGTAGGTAGATTGGGCCAGTTTGTAGTCGCGTAGCATGAACGCATAGTCAGCGAGCTTGCGCATCAACGCTTCGGGTGTGTCGGGTTTGTAAAAGCCCTGCAAGGAGTCGTAATTGCTGGACCCGCCAGACATAGGACCGGAGCTGTTGCGCGACGAAGCTCCAAAAGGAGTCCACCGTTTTGAGAGGGACATGAATCGGCCGCTTAAACCTTTGCGGCGCGAAAGAATTTGTTCATTCCATTGGGCGCACATCCGCTCCATCAATGGTACGATGGAAGACGCTACAAGCTCACGGACGAAACTCCTGATGGCTGTGGCATCAGACTCGAAAATGCATGGCGTTGGATCAACGTCATCGTCTGCAGCTTCTAAGGAGCCATCAGTTTTATTGAACACGACCATAGATAATAATGGTCTTACCTCGCTTTTCGATTTCTGCCAATTCCTCAGAGGCAGACATCCACTCACATAACGGTATTCTCACACTTTCATCATCTGAAGGAACAGCCTGTGCGCTACGTATCCGTAATAAATGGCAATGAAGCCCAAAGTTACGTTTCATTTGCTCATAGAGGCCCATTGACTGCTTGATATCGTCATTGTCTTCATCATGCAATAAAACGTAGTATCGTAAGAATTCGTTGTTCACCCATTGTGGAAGCCTAGAATCACTAATGTTCGTGCTGGTGTATAGGCGTCGGAGTTCCTCTATGGGTGATGTGCTATGAGAACTTATGGCTATAACACAGGCCACAGGATGCGAGAACGTTTCGTGGGGTACCAATGGAAGACCCGACAACAACCGCCTTAGATAAAGAGCGTAGAACGGCGACGCCTCCCAACCGGCAGATGAAATGTTCCTGCTATTGAAATAGTCTGAGATCGACCCTGTATTTTGCATTTCGGCATATGCAATATGTCGGCCTACAGCTTCTTCAATATGCGATATGTCACCACCTGTCCGCGACCATCGGTCTGACGGTTTTCCTGAGTTCAGCTCCCGATTTGTTGAATCATACACCCCCTCCGCGCTCTTTCTAGGGAACGACGGGTAGCCGAGGCCATCTTTGAGACCCATGAAACGTATCCCGAAATCGTCGACGACTTTACTGGAGCCATTGCTGTCTCGTATGGCCAGCTTTCCTGTTATATGCTCGCCAAATGGTCTTATAAGATCTAGTAATCCACCCTGAAATCCTTTCTGCTGCACCAGCTCTTCTGTGTCTTCAGACGCCAGCACTCCCACATGCGGCGCAAACGATCTGGATATTAGGTTCCGTAGCTCTTCTGTTCCTTCGAATCCTGGACCGGGGAAGGGAGCCCCGTTTGATCGTGACACTGGGGAGAAGACTGAACTTGGGATCGTCGAGGCAGTAGGAGTTGATGTGCCTGAACCTGGCCTACTACCGGCGAGAGACGAGGTGGATGCGAACAAGGAGGACAGAGAAGGGCTGGAGCGACGATCTGGAAGAGACGCTAGAGACGCACCAGGCGATTGAGCCCGTCTCCTTGGGAGTTTTATGGACTCATCTATACCGGACAGCGCAGGAGCGGTGATCGGGAGTGGTATTGGTGTGGCATCTTGTGAAGGCGTCATGGAAGCCTCCGCCTCGCTCGGCTGGGAAAAGGTCGATAGAGCAGCGCAGATGTACGTAGCATGGGTCGCAAGGTGATATTGCTCTGTAAGTCAATCGTGGGATTGCTCTTGCATGGGGAAAGGGTACAGATACTAATAAGGTCGCGGGTTTCGTTCACACTGCATTGTCGTATAATGCTAACGGAGATGCCACGCGGTATGGCGTAGACCGGGCTGGCACTGTTCCTTTTCCGTTTTGCTAAAACCGACGCCACATTGTGGCGCCAGCTTCTACCTACTCGCCTACTTTTGATCTATCATGTATCATATATCTATCTATCGTGTCTTCTTTTCTTAACTCTTATCAACCTAGAGTCTTCCTCTTATACTGAAACCGTATCGCTCGACTCATAGGCGAATAGAGTGACTATCAGCCGTTACAAGAGACCAGACTAGCCCTCTACGTACCATACGTACTAAGAGTCAGGTCTATGCATGACTCTACACCAGGTCGCTCGCCCATTTCTCCTTTCTTCGCGCACTTTTCGCCCTAGATCGCGAACTGCCATTCAGCTACGACGTTTGTGGTTTCATGTTGCAGCGAACGTATATCGGATGCCTGAAAAGTCGAAGACTTCGCCAGTCTCAGAAACCGAACGTGGATTAAAACGAAGGAGAATCGAACTACCTGAGACAGTTACGGCTGACGTGCCGAAGATGTCGTCGAACGGTGCAACTAAGCCACCGACTATTGAATTGACCGAGCTCGAGTCTGCATTGCGACAGCTCCTCTTAGATACTGCAGCATATATTGATCAATCATCTCCAGGAGATGCTGCGTCTTCGACGGTGAAGCTCCCTGAAGAGCTTGCGAAAGCAAAGCTTGAGCTTCGTTGGACAGGAGGCTGGGTTCGCGACAAACTGCTCGGTGTAGGTAGCAAAGATATCGATATCGCCATCAACAAGATGACAGGCGAGCAGTTTGGTCTGAAAATGCAGGAGTATCTACAGATTCCTGGTAATGCTAGCAAATACGAGAACGTCGGCAAAGTAGGACTTCACAAGATAGAAGCTAATCCTGAGAGATCGAAGCATCTTGAAACCATAACTACAAAAGTTTTTGGCCTGGAGATTGACCTGGTTAACCTTCGGAAGGAGACGTACACCAACGACAGTCGGAACCCTCAAATAGAATTTGGTACGCCTGAAGAAGATGCTCTCCGTCGCGACGCTACAGTAAATGCGATGTTCTACAACCTCGAGACATCCACCATCGAGGACTTTACCGGACGAGGGCTCAAAGATATGCAACTCAAAATCATCAGGACTCCACTAGATCCATACCAGACGTTCAAGGATGATCCGCTCCGTGTCCTGAGATTGATTAGATTTGCCAGTAGGCTGGGGTACACCATCGACGAGGACGCACAGGCGGCCATGCGTAATGACGAGATCAAGACAGACTTCAAAGTCAAGATCACCCGTGAGCGTGTTGGTATAGAGTTCGAGAAAATGCTGAAGGGGCCAGACCCCTGCGAAGCTCTCTCCTTGATCGATAAACTTGGTCTTTACAATACAGTCTTTGATGACCCTACACAGAAGCATGACTTTTTGCCTGAGGTTGCGCGTCTCCCCCTTGCGTACCGCTTCGTATCGAAGCTACTCCGAGCAGACAGGACCGATTCTGCCTCCTTGGCAACAGTGCTACCAATACTCATTCGGAACGTTGAGGACAGGTACTTGGCTTGGGTTCTCAGTTCCCTGGTACCTTACGCAGACGCCCCAGTTATCACTACCGGCAAGGGTAAACCCCAACAACTTGCAGCAGTAATGGCGCGAGAAGGCGTCAAAGCACCAAATCGATATAGCGATATTGTCGCTGCAGCTGCGCGCAATTTTGGAGACATTAAGAATGTCAAGGACCAGTTTTGCAGACAGAAGAAATTGTCGAAGAAGAATGCAGAAGACGGTGATGCTACTGGACGTGATACTCTTGGGATGGCTATACGTCAATGGGGTTCAAGCTGGAGACAACAGACCCTCTATGCACTGATGCATGAGATAGTCAATGCACCAGATTCAGAAGACTGTAAGTGCTTCAACAGTAGTGTATTTTTGTCCTGCTCACTCACGTGTATCAGTGATTGTATCCTCCTACGCAGAATTTCTCGCACATATCTCAGATCTCGGCATCATTGAAGCATACACATTCAAACCTCTCATAGATGGAAACGCAATTGCCAAAGCGCTTTCTGCAAAACCCGGACCTTGGATGAAAGAGGCGCTGGAAGTAGTTATGGCATGGCAACTTCTGCATCCAGATCTCACAGATCCTTCCCTGGCCATTGAAGCATTAAAACCGGAACTCAAAGTACGCGTTGCTGCAAGTCTTACTACAACGTCACAAAGTGAGCTTCCCTTCCGCCTCGCCCACCATTTTCTCTCCTCTACCCTACGCCCGATTTTTGCTCAATCAAAGGAACAGAGACAACACGCACCCGTAACGGCGACCGGGCATAAAAACACACGTGATCTACCAAGCGCCAAAATCTCGATGAGCGGCATCATACATACAGACAAAGCTAAAGCATGGAAGAAGGACGCTAGCTACGTCATCGATTTGCTCCGCTGGTCAATAACAATCCTTGATGCAAAGCGTGTCGAGAATAATTGGCCTCTGCTCCTGCCCCCAGTCATGACTTTACTCGATGACCTTGATGTTAGCTGGAAGGCAAAAGGCGTCACTCTTCTGAAGATATTGTTACAACGTACAACCCCAGAACTACTATCTCGAACTGGCCTCGGTGATATATTTGAGAAAGAGCTTTTCCCTCTGTTCACATACCTCCCATCACTCACCCCTGAAAACGAAAGCATTGAATTGCTGAAAGCAACTTTCCCAACCCTGATTACCCTTGCAAATATTCAATATCCCAGTTCGAATGTACAGTCTCCCAGGTCAGTCGTTTGCGTTAAACGAGAAAAATTTATTGATGCCATCATTCGAAAAGGAATTCTGGCACCATACTATCACGCGGGTGAAAATGTGCAAATTGCTGAGCTTCTTCTGACAGAGCTCTGTCCGTTACTTGATGCACAGGGGATTTACTCAGTCAAGCATCTCAAGGATCTCATTCCCATGCTTGGTACCATTCTATCAGACCCATTTGGTTATGCGTACCCGCCGTTGCTTGTCAGAGCTTCTCTAGCGTTACAAGTGATCATGAGGAACAGCAAGCCTCGTTTGGCTTTTCATCGAGGGGGTATCTTAAAAGGACTGTGTGTATGTTGGATTCGACTGGAAGACCACGGAGGAGAATTTGCGGATGTTCGAGCGGAACTAAGGAACACAGCGATAATGCTAAGGGAGGCTATCGAAGGCGATAGTATCGCGATAGCTGATGAGATCAATCGACTGCTTGCAGAGGATAAGCGGTTGCAAGGCCTACTGAGATAAAGCTTCATTTCAGGAATCATATTCCGATAACGATGCTGAATTATGTTTGATGTTTAGATTGTGAAGTGATGGGTGATGTGCGCGTAACAAACGATCAGACTCGTTCTACTAAGTCATGGGCATTCGCTGATCTCCAGGAAATAAGCTTTCGTGCAATCAGATCGTGTTGAGGACAGAGAGGAATCCATTCTACAAATGGGCGTTGTTGCTTGGTGACGAGGTAGCTCGTTAAGGACGCTCTTCAAGCTCGACTGCAACTACAGCTCCGGCTCCGCAAACGACAAACCCACCAGCCTACATCTTCGCGCCCTTCTACACCTCAGACTGTCAACCATGGCTAACACGACGTCTGTACCCATTGAACCTTACCTGAGCCTCACTAACATGCCTAAGGATATACGTACGCAATCTCGACGAGCGCGTGCGCCTGTCCATGCTCACATCGACTCTCGAAGACCTGTGCTCACTCTTCGGTCCGGTTGTAGAGATAATTGCAAAACCCAACGTGAAAGCTAAAGGTCAAGCCTTCGTCGTCTTTCAGTCGCCTGAGCACGCCGCGCGTGCGGTAGAAGACTTGCAGGGCTTCGAGCTATGGGACAAACCGATGAGCGTAGACTTTGCGCGGACGCGGAGCGACGCGACGGTCAAGCGCGACGGAAATGCTGAAGAGCTGGAGTTACATCGACGAAGGAGACTAGCTGAAAAAGGTACGTCTTATATATCGCGGTCAGAAGATCCTTTTGCTAATATTTCTTCGCAGAGCGCAAGCAGGCTCTTGAAGCGGCAACTACTCAACAGAAACTCAAGCGCGGCGCACCAGACTCCGAACCTACCCAGCGACCGATCAAGACGTCTAAACTTAAGTCGACAGCTTCAGCTGCCGTCATCCCAGATGAATACCTGCCCCCGAACAAGATCCTGTTCGTGCAAAACCTGCCGCACGACTATGATGTCGAGAATCTCGAAGCGATATTCGCCAGATTCGCCGGATTCAAGGAGGTACGGCCTGTACCCTATCGGCCCGGTATTGCCTTCGTGGAGTATGAAGCAGAGGACGGTGCCATTAGTGCGAAGGAGTCAGTTGCTGGCATGGAGCTTGGTGATGAAGGCAAACCTATGAAGGTCACTTTCCAGAGACAATAGAGAGGGCGATCAAGGTCAGTCACGGCGTTGGAAGGGTTTAAATCATGCACGGCGCTGGTAAAGGTATCATTGCATCGTTGTATTATACATGTATGTGGGAAGCTGCGTGCCCAATACTCAATAGTTAAGGTATATCGCTTTTCATACCTCAGATCAGAAAATCACATCCTGATCGTCTTCGTCGCCTAGCATGTCTTTCGTTTCTGGGACATCTTCCTCCTCTTCTTTTTCATCCTCCTCTTCCTCTTCTTCATCGTCCGCTTTCTTCTTGCCCGCTCGCTCAAGCTCTTCTGCTGCAGCATTACGCTTTTTATTGCCAGATACCTTTTTCAGCCTGTAGAACTCTTCTCTATCCAGCTCGTCCAGCTCAGAGTTAATGTACTTAATCGTGTTCTCTGTGCGAGGAATAATGACGTGCTCACTAGAGTCAATCAGCAATGTCCAGTGTCGCGGAGACTGTATCAGCATACATAGCGTTGACTCTTCGGTTGACAACCTTAATGACCTCGTCAAGAATAACAAACGCTGTTTGCAAACTAGCGAGCTCTACTAATGTCTCGACAGCCCTTGCATACGTCTCCCTACATCGCTGTACCTGTTGACCACCCTTGCCGAGTCCGGTCAGACCGAAGTCGTTGTTACCCTCCTCTGTGAACACTTCGAACTGCGGCAGGAATACACCAGAGACATTCTCTTGCTTTGTCCGTACTCGGAAACGTGCTTGTTTTGCAGACTCTTGAATCTGATAGCCTAGGGAAGAGTTTCCCACGGCGTACGTAACTTCGGCGAGGGAAAATGCTGCGATTTGCATGACGCGGCCCATCTTACGCTTCGCTTCGTCGATACGGCGGGTGATTTCACGAAAACGCCTGCAATCATGCGTTAACACGAGATCATACTATCATGCTATTGTTGACATTGTTTCCAAGCTTCACGTTGAGGATAGGGAGACCGTACTTTGTCAGAGCTTCACTCTTTCTCTTGAGCAGGTCATGACCGGTCTGAGCGCCCTTAAGCTTGCTCTTCATCAGGCCCAGCGATTGTCGGGTCGGGAAGACCGATTCTCTCGCCTGCTTCGAGCCATTAGTATATCATCAATATATCAAAGAAGCTTCAAAGCTATCAACGAGCTTACCCCGCTGCCAGACATGATGACAGAGGTCTTGGTTTATGTTTCGAAATGAGAAGGGTTCGGACAAAGACGAAGGAACGAGATTGGCTGCTAATATGCGTTGTTCTTGTGATCGCGGGCAAATGAAACGGAATACAGTGTAAACGCAAAAGGTCGCCGGAGAGGGTCGAATGGCGTAGCGTTACCTGGGTAGACTGCAGTGCAGGGATCTGTTATTAGATGCAAGCGTTGCCGAGCGCTCTGATTGATTGAGCTCGTCTCGTAAGCGCGCTCCGCCAAAAATCGCAACACCCGCTGCTGCGCCAGTCCGTCCTACTACCAACCTCACCTACGTCCTTCTGCCCGCATCCACATTGGCGACCTCTCAACCTTCTCCTGCGCCCATTGGAGCGCTGCATCTTCGCTAACATGCCCGGCGAGCTCATCAGGGAGATGCCAGCTGCAACCTCTCATTCCATCACCTCGACTAGAAGCCCTTCGGGACCTGCGCTGGCCGTGAAGCGCGTCTCTAAGATGTCGTCGGAACTCTATCTCATTTCCGAGAATGATGTGGTTTATGAGCAAGAGCTGCTACGCAATCCAGGCAGTATCAAGCCATGGTTGGACTACGTGGCCTACAAGAAACAGCATGGAAGTTTGATAGAGCGGGCCTTCGTACTCGAACGGGCTTGCACTACACTTCCTCGGTCGTATAAGCTGTGGAAGATGTACCTGGAGCTCCGGACAAGACACCTGGAAGGCAAAAATCCAGCGAAGTTCATGCCTCAGTATGCCAAGGTCAATTCGTTGTTCGAGCGCGCGCTGGTCCTGCTCAATAAGATGCCAAGAATATGGGAGATGTACCTCACATTCTTAATGCAGCAACCTATCATTACATCAACGCGAAGGACGTTTGACCGTGCACTACGAGCACTACCTATCACTCAGCACAGCCGCATATGGGCGTTGTACCGGCCTTTCGCGAACTCCGCGTCCGGGGAGACGGCGGTCAAGATATGGCGACGGTACATTCAGATACACCCGGAACACACGGAAGACTATATTGAGCTTCTGGTTGACATGCACAAATATACAGAAGCTGTTAGAAAATATATGGACATCCTGAACAACCCCCGATTCAAGAGCAAGGAAGCGAAAGGTCCTTTCCAATTCTGGACAGAGATGCTGGAACTCATCATCGATCATGCAAAGGAGATCGAAACAGGAGACGGCAGCGGTATCAACGTCGAAAAAATTATCAGAAGTGGGATTCTCAAGTTTTCCGACCAAAGGGGTATTCTTTGGGTCGGCCTGGCACGGTACTGGATCAACAAGGGCGAATATGAACGCGCGCGCGATATATTCGAGGAAGGTATTACGACTGTCATGACTGTACGAGACTTTTCTATCATCTTCGATACCTACGCGGAAGCTGAAGAAGCTTTAATCGGTATCAAAATGGACGAGGCTGCCGTACGATCAGACAAAGGCAGAATAAACGAGGATGCCGACCTCGATTTGGACATTCGCATGATGCGTTTTGAACAATTAATGGATCGACGCCCATTTCTTGTGAATGACGTTCTCTTGCGACAGAACCCAAATAACGTGCCGGAATGGGAGAAACGCGTTGCGTTGTGGGGTGATAACAAGAAAGAGGTAGTGCAGACTTACACCAATGCCATTGCGGTCATCAATCCGAAGAAGGCCGTGGGAAAGTACCATGACTTATGGGCTAATTATGCTAAATTCTATGAATCCGGAGGAGATCTATCAAATGCCCGAGTCATTATGGAAAAGGCTGTCAAGGTGCCTTACAAGTCTGTTGCTGAACTCGCAGAGATGTGGTGCGAGTGGGCTGAAATGGAACTACGCAACGAAAATTTCGACAAAGCTATGGAAATCATGGCAAAAGCTACACAAGCACCCAAGCGCTCCAATGTTGATTACTTCGACGAAACGCTGTCCCCACAGCAGCGTGTGCACAAGAGCTGGAAACTCTGGTCCTTTTATGTCGACCTTGTTGAGAGTGTCAGCACCCTTGAAGAAACCAAGAAAGTCTATGAACGAATATTCGAACTCCGGATAGCTACGCCTCAAACCGTTGTCAATTACGCTAATCTACTCGAAGAAAATCAGTACTTTGAAGACTCGTTCAAGATCTATGAGCGCGGTCTAGACCTGTTCAGCTACCCTGTCGCTTTCGAACTATGGAATCTTTACCTTACCAAGGCTGTCGACCGCAAGATCAGCATGGAGCGTCTCCGAGACCTGTTTGAACAAGCTGTAGAAGACTGCCCCCCGAAGTTCGCTCGTGTCCTGTATCTCATGTATGGCGCTCTCGAAGAAGAACGTGGCCTCGCCCGACACGCCATGCGCATCTACGAACGTGCCACCCGTGCCGTCTCGGACGAAGACAAGCTTGAGATGTTCAACTTCTACATTACTAAGTCGGCGTCCAACTTCGGCCTCACGTCAACACGACCCATCTATGAGCGTGCTATCGCCGCACTACCTGACTCCGAAGCCAAAGACATGTGCCTCAAATTTGCCGAAATGGAGAGGCGGCTGGGTGAAATCGATCGCGCAAGAGCAATTTATGGCCACGCTAGTCAATTTTGTGATCCGCGTACTGAACCTGGCTTTTGGAAGACCTGGGAGAGCTTCGAGGTGCAGCACGGCAACGAAGACACGTTCAAGGAGATGCTTCGCATCAAACGTAGCGTACAGGCTCAGTACAAGTATGTCCCTTCCCTTATCCATTTCATGCTCGGGCTCTCGGTAACATTGTGACAGCACTGATGTTTCATTCATCGCCTCGCAAGCAATCGCACGTGGCCAGGCACAGCCCGACACCAATGGTGACGCGGACACAAATGACCGCCTCGATGCTATGGCTGCTCTCGACAGACAAGCCCGCGCACCGGTAGGCTTCGTCGCCGCAAGCACCGGGCCAGAAGGCAGCCAAATCAACAAGCCCGCGTCCGCGACTATCGATCAAGCTGTCCCGGCAAACCCCGACGCCATCGACATGGACGACGATCTCTGATCGTAATGTCGCCTATCTTACAGCAACGACTCACTACTCTTTCCCAGAATTTCCTTTGTTCCAATCAGCATCTGTCGGCGTTCTGTGCAAATCCTCCACCAACCCGTTCGCGGTCTTCCCAAAGGGTGTTGTGTATATAGTACGACGTCGAGCCCTGCCATCTCTTCTCTTCCCTTTGGTCTTCAGACCCCTCTGGTTCTTGCTTCGATATCGCATTTTATGGCGTTTTGGTGGTAGTCCCTTACTTCCGGCATGACTGATGACGGAAGCATGGTCGGATTTGGCATTTGCGTTGCTCCTCTCACAATCTTGTGTATATCTTTCCCTATCTCAGATGGCAATGACCTATGCGCTACTTCAGACGGCTTTGTGAAAAAACAACCTAAGCAATATTTGGACGCGCTCAAAGACTATGGAACTGCATATAGCACTTCAACAAACATGACTGTGTGTATCGATTTTTCGTCCTAATAGTTACTCTGAGACCCTGCATCTTTCTGATTGAACCGCATGAGTAAGTGAAAACAAGTGACTCTTCAATCCTTCACAATGATTGATAACCTAGCGAGCAAGTACGAATAAACAGCATACGGCAACGATAACAAAATCCCATCAGCTCTCTCTTCCGACATGAGACCACACAGGCGGTAGTCGAGATCCCCTGGGACTGACTCGTACAGACGTACACGAAGGAGGTCTATTTCTCATTTACGCCTTTTGGTATCCTTATCGAGGCCCTATACTCGAATCAGCGACAATAAAATCTTCCGATATGCGCGACGACACAAGCACACCATTTCGCTCAGCTTCTCCCAGTACGCATCGTCTCGCGAAGGGTCAATGGCTCGGCTTCCGCCTGCTCTTGACGGAGGCGTCGCTCTCAAGTCGCCTTCTCTCATGCCGAGCTGCCATGGAGGGACTCTTGCGGCATCTGAACAAGAATAATGGGTCATTAGCTTGCTTCGCTTCTTCGAATGATTGAGGAGAGGAGATCAGCTCCATACGCGTAAAACAACGTCTCTAGGTTGATTGGTGCGGCGTTGTCAAGTCGACAGTGCTTCGTTTCACAAACTACGAGCGGATTGGTATGATATAGTGGAATGTATTGGTCTTTGCTTACCAGTTAGAATCGGGCTGGGTTGAGGACGCTCCTGGGGGGTCCCGCTTGCTTCAGCTAAGTAACTGGATGCTGAGCCGCGTGGTGTAGTGTGGATTGTCGCGGCGGGATTGGTTATTGAAGCATTGGACGTCAGTGGGGTACCTGTAGGAGTGATATCTGTCGCGAGCGTGCCTGTGGTAACATTGTCCGAGTTGTTATTGCCTGTCGTCTCGGCTTGGCCTGCCTCAGCATTGTCCAGCGACGCCTCGTGTGCTAGTATCCGGGCAGTGATGTCTCCCAACACTACACGCCTTTTTGGGGGTGTGACTGCGAACAGGCCATCAGCAGACTGGATAAAACACTAGTGAACGAGACGGATCAGCAGCATCTTACGAAAAATGGAGGATCGTGGCGGACCTGAGCTGCCGTTAGACTCAGCCGGCATTGCAGAGATGATCAGAGTGGATAGTGTATGTGGTTTGGGTCTGGGAAAGAGATGGGTTTTGGGGGAGGGGACCTAATCATGACGATGTGCTGACAGGGCCATGGAATCAGGTAGATTAAGAAAGACGGGAGAGAAGGGTCAACCGTTGGCAGTCATGATCTTGAGGGGGTAGTCGTTTGGTCTTATTGGGGTAGGAGCTGCGGCAAAACGTGTATTTGAGGTGAATATACCGACTTCGGTCTATTCTCCAGAGCACATTAGATGTTAGATCAGATAGTGATCCATGGCTGATTCATTCACTACAATGCTACTCTATGGTGGTGCGTGACACCGAATTATCGTATTCAACATAATCCGAAGACATAAGCACGATTCAATTAAGTACGCGGAGAACAAATGCTAATTTGAATCTGAAGTTGATAGTCGCTCGGCTGGTACAAATGCTCTCAGAACAATTCTCTGGAAGTCTGAATGCTGTTACGATCATGTCGTCAATCCAATGCAACCGTACATGCGAAAGCCCTTCAAACGCCGTCGGTGATGTCCAAAACCCTATTCTGCATGCAGCGAGCGGTGGATGCACGAACGCCGGCATTCGATGAATACCTTGCATTCGCTATTATTTCTTTCCATAAATCCCTTTCCATCGAACTTCTCCTCGACTGTGCTTATCTTGTCTCAGTGTTATTCACAAAAGGTGGCATTGGTGGTGGTGCAGGAGGTCCAGTTCCACTCCTTCGCCTTCGCTCTCTTTCTCCTGTAGCGTTTGTGTCTACGCTAAGGTTGTTGTTGTTATGCTTCCGGTTGAATCTCGTGCTGACGCTCTTGGTCCACTGCTCGTCCTCCGCGGCACCAAGCCAGTACTTGGGGCCCGCTCTGAGCATCGCGCGGCCCAGTTTGCCCTTCCAACCTAGACCTTCTTCACGATGATCTTCGAATGGATTTTCAGCCATTGTGCCCTTTGATGAGTCCGTACCAGTGCCAGCACTACCCCAGGAAGAAGTAGATGAGGTGGTGGCGATATGTTGGCGAAGGACAGTACGAGCATATGCGAGCATGATAACAATAAAGTAGATGCGGATTGCCCAGAGAAATGCAATCGCAGACACAGACATGATGCTCCCGCTTTGAAACACCGCATTGCCAAGTCCAGCGGGTGCGTCCGTCACTCCATGAGCAAAAGTCGCAGCATCTACCCCCGGCTGCATGCCTGGCTTCGGCACTGGTACAACATCTACCTCGCTGGCGTTGATTTCCGGGCCTGGACTGGTGAATCCTGCAGTTTTGTCTATCGTGCCGCTTCCCGGAGCTTTGCCCGCGGAGTCTTCCGGGTGATTTGCCAGCACCAGAAACCATGCGACGCCAAATGCGACCGTGTATGCGGCATTGATGATGCTGTCGATGACATAGAAGTATGCTAGAGCCATACACTGAAGTGGGCTTCCTGTGCGAATGAATGGGAAGAGGTATATCGTCAGGATGAGAGCGCCGACTGAGTAAAGGTACATTGTAAGCTGTGTCGTAGAAAGCTCCAGGCCGGTCAAAATGGCGAGGAGACCGTAGAATCCAGACACCTTGTTGATGAGAATGGTGAGGGTTATGAGCTCAGCGCCGGAGCGCAATGACATGATATGAAGGAAGGTCTGGGAAATATGTCAGTATGAATCTCGTCTTGTTTTGCGCAGGTCCTTGGTACCTTTGGACGGGGCATCTCGGGAAGAGAGATCATGGCTGTGAGGGGTGCGCAGGCCTGCGCCGTCGAGTCTGAGAGGAGCGATATTGTGTTCGAGGAACAAAAGACGTGGCTGGTCGAGAGCAACTAGGCAGAGTGGTTGTCGTGAATGTCGAGGCGCAGAGATCAATTAAGGGTAGTGGTGGAGGCAACGAGAGTTGCAAAGACAGAGGTTCGCATTCACGGAGGACGTCGGAAACTAAATTAAGGGGCACGTGCTTTTGACATCACCGTACCTGGCCTAGCGCCACAGCTGGACTTGAGTTTAAATTTTGTTCTCTTCTTATACTTACAACACCACGAATACACTTGAACGTTTGACAGTCTGCCATCGTCAAAGGGAGGCTCACTATCCCGACTCATTCTCTTGTCATGATGAGAACGGCACCGGCCCAGACAACATTCTCTACTCGACCATAGTTCCGTTAGAATCTGCACTTACTTGGCATCCAAAAAGACCATGAAATGCCCTCTTCGTAGTTTCGCAGAACAATGCTCATATGGACGCTAAAAACTACAGGTCAATACCTCACAGTTATCACTTCTGGACTGGATAATGGCTGCATTATCAAGGAAGATATTGAGGCGTTAGCAGAGAGTCTCTCCAATACTCTCAGCATATCGGCATGTACGAATGCACGAATACTATTTGATGTAGCGCTCCAGTATCCAAGGTCTATTTATGTCAGCTCATATAGTGACGGGCGGACGATGATTGTATTCTCAAACAAAGCAAGGTGCGTGCTATGGCACACCCTAAGTGACAGCCAGGTATTTAGCGTCTAATTATAGCCTGACTTAGAGCTGCGCACCGAGTTCAAGCCTCCCACAACAGCCCATTCTTAATCTTCGATTCTAAAGGAACGTGGTTATCGAGAATAGCCGGTTATGAATACGCTCCGCCTCTCCATACACCCGATTCCAAATTCTAACCATAATGATGGGCTTGAACTATAACGAACGGAAATATGAACGATGTGCGTAGACTTAAGTCTGGGTCTGAATTCATTATAGCTCCCGCGACTACTGCTATGAATGGAAAACAGCGGTGTTTCTTAGGCAGATCCGGGGGTATGTCATACATACATTGTAGACATGCACAAAGCAAGCACAGGTCTCTGTGCAGGGTACAGAAGCGAGACTGTGCGTATGAGTTTTGACTACAACGGTCCGATAGCACAGACGAGAATATGCTTCGTTACTGATGGGCAGACTATAGAAAACCCGTTAAGGCGGCTAGTGACATCTGTTCTTCTATTTGCGAATAGATGTCTACGCTTTGCATTTATTTCATTCTATCAGCGAATCGCGAGGCGAGATATCTACGCATCGCGTGACAGGGTGGTGAAGGGGCTAGTTTTCGACAGAAGCTTGCTCCAAGGTACGATCCGACGACATCCCTGGACAAGCATGTAGGTGTACTGGGAATGATGAAAGGATCGACCGCGTCAATTTCTCGCTCTGTTCATGCTGAACCCATTTTTAGGCGTCACTTGCTAAGTCCTATTTCTCATCTTTCATGTACATACGTTCTCTCCCAGTCGCCTCTATCAATTCCATCAGCCACTCAATATGCACCTCTTATTTGGTTTCATTACAGGAGCTCTGGCAGCATTTAATACCGCAGGCCGTCATGTAGTTCACGAAGAATATGGATATCCGCCTGAAGGATGGACACAAAGATCCGTGGCGACGCCGGAGGAACATATCACGCTATTCATCTCCATACGACCACAGCATCAGAATTATCTAGACAGAGCTCGAGAGATCAGCAACCCTGATTCACCATCATACGCTCGATATCTCAGCAGTCCTGAGCTCCAAGCTGCTCTCCCCAATTTGGACACATCTGCCCAAAGAATTGAACAGTGGCTATCTCACAACCTTATCGATGCCCATCGCATAGGCGACAAGATCAAGATCTCAACAACGGTTGGAAAAGCTTCTCAGCTGCTCAATGCGGAGTTCTCCTGGTATCAACACCTAGACTCTACACCTGTCATTCGGACAAAATCATATAGCATCCCAGGAGGCCTTCAGAATGATATCGACTTCGTCTATCCAACCATTCACTTCCTCACCCCCAAGCAGCCACGCTCATCATATGAGTCTTCCTCTCTCGCAAAGCGGCAGGGGGTGCGCAGTGAAGATCTGAACTGTTCGAATTCAATCTGCCCCAAGACAATAGCAGACGCCTATCAAATCAACTACTCGCCCCCCTCCGGCTCGTCCGTCCGGGTCGGGATAGCGTCGTTCCTGGAGCAATACGGGAACCACGCCGACCTTACCTCCTTTCTCACTCAATTCGGTCTCCAGAACCACTCCACATCCTACAACTTCACCGAGACGTTCATCAATAACGGTATCAACTCTCAAGAGCCCTCGGAAGCCGGCGTCGAAGCAATGCTGGATCTGGGCTATGTCATGGCCTTCACGTCTACTCTCCCGATCACCTTCTACTCGACAGCCGGTCGTCCGCCCACGCAATCCCAGCCCGACAATATGACCGTCAACACCACAGCAAGTGGAAATGAACCATATCTCGAATTTCTTGACGCCATCCTCGCTGAAGAGCACCCTCCCAGCGTGATCAGTATCTCGTACGCAGATAATGAAGAGACCGTTCCGCTGCCCTATGCAAACAAAGTCTGTTTGAAATTCGCGCAGCTCGCTATGCGCGGCGTCTCAGTCCTTGTCGCATCGGGAGACGGCGGTGCCATGGGGTCTGCTGGAAAAGGCACCTGCATAGGGCCCAACGGCAGGTCTCGGGGTTTCAAGCCAACTTTTCCGAGCTCGTGCGAATGGGTCACGTCTGTCGGGGCTACGCAGGGGCTCCGATCACCGGCGAACGAGGAGCCTGCGGCCTTCAGCAGTGGCGGGTTCAGCAACTACTTTGGCGTGCCGGATTGGCAGCGTGATGCTGTGGCCACGTATCAGAGCAAATTAGGAGATAAGCATAAGGGGTTCTACAATTCGTCTGGACGTGGTATTCCAGATGTGAGTGCTATGGGAGAACGTTATGTAATTGTTGCTAAGGGTATGAAAAGTGAGCAAGCTGGGACTAGTGCAAGTACGCCTGTTGTGACCGCTGTGGTAGCCTTACTGAATGATTTGCGGACGAGGAATGGGATGCCTACCTTAGGATTCTTGAATCCCCTGCTGTACGGGAAGGGTAGAGCAGGATGGACAGATGTCAAGGAGGGATCCGCCGTAGGATGTTCAGATGGCGACTTCATTGAAGGGGGCTACGCGGCGCTGGAGGGCTGGGATCCGGCAACAGGACTGGGAACGCCCATGTTCTCAACGTTGAGGAAGCTGCTAGCCACGTGAGGCTGAGCGTAGTCTGCTTTTGTTCTGAATATGAGCTACCTGCATCAAGGATGACTGATAATATTTCATCCTGTGACCCCAAATGTATCCTTCCACTCGGGATCAATTTTGCTTTGCTTGAACAAACTCTTTCCTCTCAGCCACTGTCGATATGCTTTATACCTCTTCTTATCTCCATCTGCTTCTGTCACCGTCAACGGATTCTCTGCGACCTCCAGAAATGCTGTATATTCCGCAATATCCTCCTCACTTGGCTCTTGTTTACTTCTTTGGCTATGCTGTGGTGCAATACGTTGCACAGGAGTCTGCGCGAGGGTGTACTGTTCATCTCTCGCAACGTCCCGTGCTGCTTGAGCTTCTGCTTTCGTTTGTGGCATGCTACGACTTCTGGAATGGGTGGCCTGACGCTGCAGTCCAAAGTCGTGTTCGGAAGTTGTCGGGAAGACACTGCGGCTGTGGGTATGACTCTGGACTCCTTCGACTATATCCTCAAGACCAAAAACGGATTGTAGCTCGGTGTAAGGTATCTCCGAACTTTGCGGTTGGTAAGTCTCGGATGTAGGCAGATAACTGGTAACGTAGTCGACAAAGTCTTGATTGGTAGCGTAATCATCTGGGGTTGGATATGAGGTAACAAGTGGAAGATTCAAGGGATGCGACACGTAGTGTTCGTACTCCTCTTCTTCAGCAGGAGTTACTGACGGATGCAGAGAATGGTGCATTAGTTGATTCAGTGTCCACTGTGACATCGCGTTCTTGTCCGCTAGAAGTAGAGAATTTCGTGCTGATGGGACGGACCCGGATGTAGATGTGCCGGTATTAGGCCAAGACGTCGTCAAAAGTGGCAGGCCATATGTTCCCGACTCACTGCGTAAAATGCTTGTTTGTTTTACGGGCGATGGCTGATATCTAGGAGAATAGGGCAAGGTCGAGGTACGTTTCTCCGGATCGCTGTTCGGATCAACGATAGTCACCCCTTTTCGGACTTTCTTTTCTCGCTCGCGAGATGTTTCACCGGGAGGTAGCTTACGGGGGTGGAACGGGCTTAGGTCATACTGGCCGTCAATCTTCTCGGGAAGATAGTTGATCGTTGAGTTCATACGAAACTGGAAAATCTTCAAGAATGATGATATTGCTAAAGGGCGGTAGTATTCCATCCAGTAGTCATCGAAGAATGACAAATTCTTGTCATGATACTTTGGCGCTGGTCCCTCGATCTCAGGCATAGTACGAGGTTCAAGGTAGCCCGGTGTGTACCACTGAATATAACTTCTGCGCTTGTTTGACCATGATCGTGGATGTGTATGATGTAAGTAGTAATCAGTGGTTAGATCCCACAAGAAAGGCTGCCCTTGCGAGAATATGTAATGGCCAAGGAACAGGTTGTACGCTTCTTGGCGCTGTGAGTCGAGGAACGAATTGTGGTAGTAGCGCTTGAAACTTTCGACCAGATCGCGGGAATGACTTTGCCAATGGTTGAGCTTCCGATAGGTCGCCATGGTGTTCACCAGATGAGAGCCTCCGTATTGAATTGCAATGGTGTCACCATGGTCATGAAACATGTGAGTGAATATGTTGACGCAGTCAGAGTCGTACTCCACAGTGCTACCACTGATTACCCCAAGAGCCTGCAGTTGTCTACCGAGTGCGCGCTTGCCAATCACGAACTGTGCTGCGTTTGTTCGATCTAAGCAGTCGATACAATTTGTTCTGGCTACTCCGTTCTGAATCTTGGATGTGTGTAGATCGTTATCGCCGTTGTGAAAGAAGCCTGTCTTGTCTAGGACCCTCTCTGCAAGGATTTCGAGTGTACCAATAACATCTTGTCCACGCGTCTTGGAGGCTCTGCTCATATCGAAAGCTTCATACATGATCTTTTTGTCCTCTGGCAGCGTCTGATTGAGATACGCGATCGCATTCTGATACTCATATAAGAGCTTAGATTCTCGAGGAGTTCGCTCGCGTGCTTTGATGAGATTGAGTGCATAGACAGGAGCTCCGTATCTTTCAAATAGATTATCGAAATGAAGTGCTGCAGCACTATAGAATGGATCAATCATATTCAGGGTAATGTCGGGTTTCGGCGTCACACCAGTATTATCCTGTGACCAATACAAAGGAATGCTGCCACGATGCTGTACATACGATGTGTATGTAGGGTTTGCATATAGACGAGGTCCTGGAGCATGGAACGAAGTTGTCAACACTTCTGATATGATCTGCTCTGTTTCAACGTCGTTTGCAACATATCCTAAATCATTAGCACCTCGTTTGAGAAAACGTGCACCAGCGAAAAATCGCGATCTTCGAGCGATTATGGTTATGTGGATGCGACGTCCAAAGACATCCAAGGAAGACTGGTCCACAAACCCATGTGTGATCGGAAAGCACCAGTCATAAAGGTTCTTGACAGCTCCAAACGCAGGCGCAAGAAGGTAGTTGTTCCAAACAAACATGTCGTTGAAGTCTCGTTTAGCACGCCGCTTGCCATCTTTGATAGCGTTACGCTCTCGCATGATATTGTCCTGGAGTGTGCGCGTGATGTTGTACGAATAGCTAAAATAGAATCCTTTCGTGAGGTCCAAATTATTGAGGATGCCTAGGAATCGCGCCTCTTCTGGGTTCCTGTTGCTTTGGAAGCGAGATGTAGAACCAGTGGTCAGTGGTACCAGATCAGTACCATCAACTCGATAAATGTAATGACCTCCAATGATGGCAACTTGCGTTCGTTTCGTGATGAGGAGCATGTAATAGGCCTCAGTGAATCGAATAAATCCCAAAATGCCCCAAGAACTACACTTCAACTTCAGTCCTCCACTTCCTTTGTTACCATCATCGATAGCATTGAGTAGCTGGTTCATTTCTCGTTTGTCGTAAACTATGTCGTCTTCGGTAATCTGCAACTGTCCCGGCGGCGCAGTACGATCAACCTTCAATACTCTAAAATGTTTGTCCATAACATCCCCGCCAACAAGATAAAATCTGGAACTGGTCTCGTACAAGGAGAACCGCTGCATTTTATTGATCCCTCCGTCACGGACATTTTCATAGGTGGCGCCTTTGTTACGATTCAGAGCTGCTGGACTTGACGATCTTTGGAAGGACTGAGGTTCAGCCGGTTCTTCTTCGTCACCTTCGATCTTCAGACTAGTTGCATCTGATTGACGCTTTGTTTCCCTATCTCGGTCCGGCTTTTGGTGCAAACTCCTTGAGCTGCTGACTGGCTCTAGGGAAGGTCTGGAATGCTGCTCGGGATGGCTGCCATTAGTCGTTGAACGTCGATCCTGTGGATCAAGGATAGCAGAGTGCGAAGAAGTCACCTCCTTGTTGGAGACAAGTAGCGGAGGTTGATTTGCTTTCGAGGACTCCATTTCGCCTCAAGCGGAAGCGCGGCTCACCTTGCGCTATTGATGGCACAGCATGACCAAATATTGTGCTATATCTTGTAATTCGTCACTCAAGGAGACGTACGAGGGAGGCAAGCACAGGCGTAACTAGATCAGCGAAGAAATGTTGAAACGGATTATGATATTGAGACCGGTGTTATGAGGTTGAGACCGAAACGCCAAGCTTTCCTAATTTATCAAGAGTCGGTAGATCGGCAACATCCCGAGGTTCTCAGCGCCGCTCGCGAACTGCTGACCAACTCTCCATGTATGGACTTTGAGAGTTACTCAATTTGGCAAATATTTATCCCCGGGGTGTGAGCCTTCGGCAAATGATTTATTGATGTCAGCTCTAGGCTCTGACGCGTGTTATCTCATTACATGTGTATCTTGTGATTAAGATGTATAAATATGGCTGGACATTTTCTTCTCCACTCGAACTTCCCAAAGATTAGTGCCTAACTTCATTTCTCACATTTCCTCAACAATACTGCGCCATTCTCGCGATCTGATTGCCCACAATATCTTCCACATTATATATCACCGAACCGAGCTAGAATGTCTAAAGTTCTCACTGTCTTCGGTGCCACTGGCAACCAGGGAGGGTCAGTAATCAAGCACATCCTCGCCCACCCCAAGCTCTCCTCCATATACACGATTCGAGCCATCACTCGTGATGCCAGTAAGCCAGCCGCCCAGTATCTCAAAACAAGGGGCTGTGAGATCTTCGAAGCCGACTTAGACGACCCCAAGTCCGTAAGAAAAGCCATCAGAGGCTCGTCTGCTGTATTCGGAGTCACAGACTGTAAGCTGCAAACTTGCGAAAGAAGGCGGCAAAAATTAATGACCTCCAGTCTGGGCCAAACTCTCCTACGACGATGAAGTCACCCAAGGAAAGTCCATTGCCGACTCCGCTAAAGATGCCGGTGTCGATCATTTGATCTGGTCGTCTCTGGTGTACGTCTCCAAAGCCACTGATGGCGTTATAACCTCTGTCAAGCACTTCGATAGTAAGGCTGTTGTTGAAGAGTATATCCGCAGTCTGAACATTCCAGCATCATTCTACATGCCGGGAATGTTTCTTTCCAGTCTGTACAGTATGTTTCGACCAGGACCCGACGGTGTATATGCCTTGAATCTGCCTTTTCCCACTACCACGAAGATCCCAACCATCGCTTCTGATGTTGACTCTGGGGCTTTCATCGCTGCGATGCTACTCGAAGGACCGACAGGTGAACGTGTCGCTGCGTCGACTGAGCTAGAGTTTGCGGAGGCAGCGAAACAATATGAAGCTGGAACAGGACGCAAAGCCGTGGCCAATGAGCTCTCAGCCGAGCTCTTCGCAAGTTACCTGCCGGAGTCCGTCCGCGAAGAGTTGAGCGGCAATATGAAACTTATCCGCCCAGATGTTGGTGGTTACTACGTAGGCGAGCCTGTTGACGCAATCGCCAAAGGAAACCAACTTCTCGAAAAGCATGGCCTTGGACCGCTTATCAGCTTCGAACAATATGCTAAGAACACTGCCGCAAAGGAAGCTCAATGAGAGACTGTGAGTGTGCCTATGGTCAACGTTGCTATCTTTAGTCTCACAGAATGAATGTAAATGGTTGTCTCCTTCCACTTTGCTGTCCTCCATCTTGAGCCCATTGTTTCTGTGCTCGCAAGTTAGAGCTCCTCAATGCAAGAGCCAGACAGACGGCGAGTATCCCAACACCAGCCATGAATACAGCACATATGCTCATTCCCTTCACATACTCCGGGCCTTCCGCTTTGGGGTATAGTCTTATGCCTAATAGTGGCCCACATCGTCCTATGAGCCCTAGGATCACCATTCCTGTACCTTTAGCTGACTCGCCTTGTTGATTGTTTAGCGTCCATGTGATGATCAATGTTATAACACTGAAGAAACCCACGCATGCAGGATAAACACCGATGTATCGCAGGGTTGGTGCCCAGTGGAAATGACCCGCCAACGCAATCAGCAGATACCCCGAAGCAGCTAACAAGGAGTGCAAGAGTATATAAGGCGAACGCAGACGGTGCTTGTCAGAGAGGTGGGCGGTAAGAAGGACGGTAACAAAAGAGAGGAGGTATGGCGGCGCGGAGAGCGCTTGAGACGCAAAAGTTGTGTGTCCCATTTCTCGAATTATTGTTGGCAGAAATACTGGCATGGAGGAAAAAGCAACATTTGCCGAAAAAAACATGACCTGTACGCAAGTCAGACTCTATCTTGGCCCTATAAATGGGCGTGTGAGGCATACCGCAGTCGTATAGGTTTTTGGATCCGCAAGCGCGCTTCCAATCTCTCTCCAAATCAGTTTCCCTCGCCTATAGTTATCCGAATACTTATTTTCATGCTTTGCACCCTTCTCGTCTGCATCTTCATTCTGCTCTTGCACACGCAGCATGGCTACTTCGCGCTCTCTATGATTCAAGAACATCGCCGTATCCAGCCCATCGGGCACACATTCCCAAGCTACAATTGCAGCTACCACACTTGGAAACCCTTCAGCTAGGAATAACAACCTCCACGGAGCGATAGGGCCGCCCTCAGCGAATTCAGTAATGAGCCAGGCTAGACTACTCGTAAAGGAACTGGCTAGAGGTGCCGCTGAGATGAACAGGCCGGTACGAAAAGCCAATTCGTCCCGACGGTAGAAAAATGACCTTTATCTGATGTTAGTACGTCACCTGGGCGACCGTGTCATGGAGACTTACAGGTAGTAAGGAACGCCAGGCCCGAAAGCCGCTTCCGACACGCCGAGTAGAAAGCGAAGAATGAGGAGCGATGTAAATGAGATTGAGACCGATTGTAATGAAGCTAGGATGCCCCAAGAGAGGACACAGAGCGATATGTAGATATGGGCGGGAATGATACGGTATCTATAAAGACACACTCCCATGATTTAGTGCTCTGCAATAAGGCGCTCATGAAGAGACGGGTCACGTACAACAACAAGGTCATCCATCCGAACGCAATGTAACTCACGTAGAACTATGTCAGCAACCATTCATATTGTCCCTTGCCTAAGTTTAGGTCCCGTGCTAGTCCGGCGATCTTCGCATTACCGATGTTGCTTCGATCTACGAAGCTTAGTAGGTAGAGGAGAAACATCAATCCTACGACTCTGCGGTCTAGTTTCCTTTTTACAGCTCTCTCTTCATCAGGTTTATACAACATGAAGCTCTGTACGCTGCATCGTCGGGCTCTTGTTGAGCGGCTCAGTAGACCTGCGTCCTCATCTTGGTCGACATCCTCGTCTACATCTAGGTCTCTTAGCACGCGGCCCATCCTGCTGCCTGGGCCACCATAACTCCGCATTTGAAAGGTTGATCCATGCTCGTCGTCCGAGAGGGACAATGAGTTGCGATCGAGACGCGGTCCGACATGATGCGGGGTCATTGGCGAAGAAAGTTGGCAGCCCTTTGTCGATTGCCGAGATAGCGTGGACACCCATGTAACTAAGTTCTAAGTAGGGTTCGAGCAAGCTGACGTCAAAAGAACATTCGGTACGGGTGGTCCCGAGGATCTGGGCAGTACTGTAGGTACTAGCTCGGCCCTGCGTGCCTTACGTGCCTTACCAACTACACGCCTAGGAGCTCTCACCAGTTCGATCAGAATTCGCCGTGCAGAGTTTTACTATTATAAAAATGTATTATCATAGGTTATGGGTATAATAGGGCCGCATCCTTGTAATGAGTAGAGATGCTACTCCGGACTGTAAGGTATGGCTCCTTCACCAAAGACGATGTGAGGTTTTCTCCTTGCAAGATCAAGGATTGTCTGAGCGAAGACAGAGTTGGCCCAAGCAAACCAGCTTCCTGAGCCTCACATTAGCTACAATAAGGTTGTGAGGGCGTTAAGTGACTTACTGGTGTAATCTCTAGACATGTCGACACGGACACTCTCATGAATCAGACCTAACTGCGTAACACTCTTCACCAGATTAAGACTCTTACTGATCTCACCGTCATCGTCACTAGTCATCGCTTGTACGAGCACACTCATGGGCCAGGCATGTTGCAAGCCAATGTGCGGTCCCCCGATCCCATGAAAATCTTCCCCTGTGAGGTAAAATGGGTTACCCTGCTTTTCGAGTATCATCTTACGCGTGTTCTGATAGATTTCGTCCTTAGCATCCACAAAACCAAGAATAGGCAATGCTAGCAAGGACGGTATGTTCGCATCGTCCATCAGGATTTGGCCTCCATATCCATCAACCTCGAATGCAAACACCTTTCCATATCCTTTATGGGTGACCACTCCGTGCTCCATAATTCCCGCCCTGATGAGGTCGGCGCGAAGTTCCATTCTTTTTGCCAGCTTGTTACGGCTGACCTTGCGTAGTATGTCAGCTGTGCGTTTTAATTCGACAGACATCATGGCGTTTGCGGGAATGAGGAAGCCTAAGATGGTTGCATCGTCGCTCGGACGGAAAGCGCTGCGAACAAGGCCAGTGCCATTATTCAATGGATTCCCCATGCCGCTTAGTGAAAGAGTTTCGGTGCCGCTATCGGTGTGGCGATTGAATGTATACATGTTTCGGTGATATTTCCCGTTTTCATCAAAAGAGCCTTGTGATTGAGCTTCTAAGACCTCCAGCACGGTCTCGAGTGCTTTGTACCAACGATGTGTCATGAAATCCGTAGATCCAGTGTGGCTGTAATATTGATTCGCGAGCGACAAAAAGTTTGCAAGCGAGTCAAGCTCATACTTGCATTCAAAAACAAACGAAGGCTCGTAAGCAGGATGTACACTATCACCTTCCCCGTTATGCGTGACTTTGAGTTTACTCGGAGCAGGCGGTTGAAAGGCATTGCAGTACGGTGACCCAATAACGTACTCTATCTGTGTATTGATAGCCCCCAATATCAAAGTCTTAATCTTCTGGTCTTTCTTCGCTAGGCTTTGGTATTGAGCGAGCTGGTTCGTAGAGTCGCGTAACCATTCCGCGTTGATGTCGCCGGTCACAATGAAGCTTTGCGGTCCCTGCCATTCGTCATCTCCATAAGTTGCTCGTAGTCCCCATGTCTTCTTCTTTTGTTCCGTTCCATCAACGTGCCAGCGGACCGTGGTATCTAACGTGTTCGGAAACGCATTCTCAAATATTCGTGCCAAATCCTTGTCCTTCATGTTCTCATTCATATACTCTATCACTTCTTCTACAAGCGGGGAGACGAATGTCCGGCAATGCTCATGGGGGCGCTGAAATGGTATCTCCATCGGACCTTCGCTATAAGGTGCACTGATATATATTAAAATATGAGCCCACTAAAAGTTCCCTAGAGACTCTTACTGTCTATGCCTCGCATACAGTGTATAGTCCGGACATGCTTCCTTTAGCTTCGTCGCTGCAGCCTGGTCTAATTTATCTATCGGGACCTGTCTCTGACCCAGGTGTAAAGCTTCCGGGCTCGACAGAGCTAAAGCTAGAGTCATGAAAAGGCATGTTGGGAGCACCAAGAGCCCACGTCCTGCTCCGCATCTAATCGAACGAATACCGGAACGGTCGAGCTGCATCTTCGGAGCCGTAGTATGTAGTACGCAACGACGATCGTCCTAGTCGGCTCTCAGGAGGTGAGCGCGCGCGTGTTCGAGAGTCTCGTCTGATAGGAGTATAGACAAAAGAGTGTGAGAGACTGATGATAATCTCAATCATAGGTAAATCATGTTTAGGCCACTTAGAGTGGGTGGCCAGTAAAGAGATGTGCGGATTCCCACCTGCGGCCGTACCTTCTCAGTCTCCGGTCTGCAGCCAAGAAGCCAGTTGGAGGCGCCTCCCGCATCAGCCAAGGCACTAACCTGGGTGGGTTGGGTGGGTATCAGGTATAGACGCAAGTCAAGTCAGCCCGAGCCTGTTCGCGTGAAGTTCAGAGCTAAGCAAACTACGCGTGTGGGATTGCACATGAGTGTTACACAATATCTCATCAACTAGAAGCGGTACTACTATAGAATGTATCCTTCTGAAATGACTGCTGACAGAGAAATGTAACCTGGCCCGCACGAACACAATATGGTTCGCATCAAGAACAGATATCTGCTTATCAATTTTTTGTACCCTACACCTTCAAAGGCGTCAGCAAAAGAACCGCTTCCAGATGTGGTATATTTCCAACAACCAAGTTCTGACGCTTTGACACCGCAGTTCTTGATAAGACTGATTCGAGATGGCATCCTCGAAATGTATGGCGAATATGGCGCTGGAGCAGTCGGTAGCGGCTTGAAGGGTGAATACTTTGCTGCATAGGCCATATCTATAGGCCATATCCACACCTACTAATGTGGTTCTAGTGAATTACCTTTCCGCCGCAACCTCGACTGCGATCATACGAGCCCCGCGAAATCATTATCGTCTCGTCTGGGGTGCACTTTCATTCATTACTAAGCTTCCAGCACCGGTCAGCCAGCAATGTGTAATACGTGTTGTGCGTGTATCAGGAACTATCAGGAAATCCGAGGACGAAGTTATTCGGCGGGCAAAGGAAACGATTATGAAGGCTCAGACTGCTGCAAAGCTCATAGGCAGAGACGCAGGTGCCCAACTACAGCAGGTCGTTAATCAACCAACCCCACGATTGCAAGACAGCGAAGGTATCGAGGACGATGATACAAATGAAGAGGACGATGAGATGGAGGACGTCGGCGAGAAAATCGAACGATGATATTGTGCGAAGCCCAGGCGTCAACATGCACATTGCGTTGATAGACAACATTTTGAGACAAATTGACACACCAAGCAACTACTGCAATAAACGAAAGAAGCCACTTATCGCAGCTACGAGTAACATAAGCCCGGAATGAAACGAAAGTCAGTACTTGGCGATCGGACTTGAATCAAGTGGCACAGAATCAAGTGGCACAGAATCACACACCATGGAAGAAGATACAAAGTGTCAGGGTATCTTTGTTTCAAATGATGGGAATACTATCCCCTGGATTTCAGGATTGCCTAGCTTGTCCAATACACACAAAGCCAAAGTTCAGAACTTGGTAGCAAGTACAGCATTTGACAGTACTGTATGATATAGTTAATTCGGATGCCTTTGAAGTAAGACTGTCATAATCGAATCACATGCCATGGTAATGAAGGCCCTTCCAACGCACGCTAGGCCCAATTTAGCCGACGCGTCAAATGTATAGATATCCACCTGATACGTATGATCGTTCCATACGGCAACAATGTCACGTAAAGTTTCCAAGTCCTCGTCCAGATACGGTTGGCTCCCCGTCGCCATCGCCAGCGGTGCTTTTGCGGCAGTCAATGGCGTATTCGCAAAATTGTATGGTCACTCACACATCATGCTCCCACGATCTGACATGTTTAGAACGACCACCAATCTGACCTCAACATGGGCATTCTATATATCCACATTCGTGAACAATATGTCCATTCCGATTTCCCCCAAAGTGACCGAATTACTTGTACGCGGTCTATTCCTTGCGCTTAACACTGTCTTCAATGGAGTGATGTGGGGCTTGTTCACGCGTGCGCTCACTCTGGCGAACTCCACGGTACAGGTCACTGTTATCAATACGTGTTCCAACTTTCTACTTACGGCGTTGCTGGGCCGGATTGTGTTTACGGAGGCTTTGCCGCCATTATGGTGGGTGGGCGCAGCAATGCTGGTCGCGGGGAGTGTGATTATTGGAATAAGAGATGTGGCCAATGATGAGAGTAAAAAGAGAGCTGAATGTAACTCCACTACAACCAGTGAATCGCTCATCTACTTGAGGTCATTGAGTCTACACTGCTAATATGATCTTGCAGATAAAACACAGATCAGTACGGCTCCCGAGGATACGAGAAGGATAACTAGTACTACTACGAACAGCACACGTAATTCGACGGAGAAGAAGCGGCTATAATAGCATATCATCTGTACGGCCTTATGTCAAGCCTGCTACTCTACTTGATAAGCTGTAAATGTGTAATTTCATTCGCGGAAATCTGCATGCCATATAACCAATGTTCCGCTGCTTCCCAAGGCCAAATCTCATCAGCAACCTTATTGAGCGTCAAAAGACAAACTCGGCGTACCAGCATCTAAGTCCATTTAGATGAGGTCCACATGTTCTCATCGCCATACAGTTGAGCGCCTTAGGAAGAGCGTTGCTCTGTGCTAGAAGCCATATCGTTCAGACTATAGTTTTAACAGCACAAATATGGGCCTCTTTTGAAAAAAAGAATCCGCCCTATAGGTTTGCATGGGACGTTGGAAAAGGGACCGTGGTGTTGTCCGGGAAGTCAAAGACTTCATCGATTATAGGCTAGGGCATCGATAAGAGACTGGTCGGAAGCTGATGTAGATAAACTGACTTCACGTTAGTGGAATGATGCGTGTTATACGATTGCCCAGGATGTCTTTTCGGGTCCAGGTTTCTTGCTGTGCATAATTTGCGTTCAGATCTGGCATCCTTCATCGGTCATTTGCCACTCTAAGCAGAGCAGAGGATAGACTGAAGGTCTTGAAACTGCGCATGCGCAGAAGTGAACAGGGTGGGGTTGAAAGCATTTGGGTGACCAGAGTCTCTTACGCCTCGCCTGGCTTCTTGCTGCTGCAACTCACGATGCGAACTTTATCAGCTTGTAGAGGGTTCGTGTTGTCTAACTTGAAGTTGATATCTTTGATGATAAAAGTCCATACATCGTCACAGAAGCGGTAGGTATCAAGATGTCCCTATGTTCATGTCATCATTAGCCGTAGCACGGAATATGTTCAATAGAGCCATGCGCACCTTGAAAGTCAGGCGTGTCTTGACCTTGTCCGCGATGACGTCAGCAATGGCCTTATCAAAGTTTGCAATAATCTTCATAGCAAGTTGAGGCTCAAGGCGCTGCTCGCTAATGAGTTGATCAAGCGTATCGGTGAGGGTGGTTCCGACGCTATATCACGATGTTAACGACATGCTCACATGACGTACGCAGAGCTGGGATCAAAAAGCCGTACCTGCTTCGACGATAGAGTTCATAATATTGTTTATCGGCGGACATCTTCGAGTTGGTGGTGGATCTTTAGGTGTGATTCGACGTGCGTTGGGTGAAGATGGCGAGCCGGAATGATAATAGGCACCTGGCGAGAGTCTGAGAGAGCGATCAGGCATGGGGGTGCCCGGACGGTTAAGCAATGTTACTAAGCAACGCTAATCCGTATGCATGTGCGACCCAGTCAAGCTAACTGCCAGGCCGTCGCCGATGCAGTAGATTGAAACTTCCTGTCTCTCATTACATATAGTCACCATCACACCATTCGAGAACGGAAGAGCCAACAATGGGTCTCTACTATACAGCTGGTGGCATCACTGCTGCCCTTACTGTCGTGGGGCTTTGTGAGTCACTCTGCCCTGGATGAGAAGCCCGACAGCTAACAGAAGCTAGACATGCTCTTCAATGGAGAAGGCGAGGCTTTCAACGTATGCCATATATGTTACGTCTCTAAGTCAGACGCTGAAGAATTTCTTACAGGTTGGAGCCTTTCTCGAAAGCGTATCCCCCTACCTATGGGCAGACATGGGTATTGGCTTGTGCATAGGATTGTCGGTAGTCGGTGCTGCATGGTATGTCACCTCGCAGCTCACATAGAATTATCTTAACTTACTCGAAGGGGAATTTTTATAACCGGTTCATCGATCGTCGGAGGAGGTGTCAAGGCACCGCGAATACGAACGAAAAACCTGATTTCCATCATCTTCTGCGAAGTCGTTGCGATCTACGGCGTCATAATGTCAATTGTTTTTTCACAAAAGCTGGTTCCCGTGGAAGGGGATAGCCTATATTCGGCGGGAAACTATTACACTGGCTTTGCTCTATTCTGGGCAGGTATCACCGTCGGAATGTGTAACCTCATCTGCGGCGTGTCCGTTGGTATCAATGGCAGTAGTGCGGCTCTTGCTGATGCCGCAGACCCAAGCTTGTATAAGCTCAGACCTCCCAGCACGTTAGAAGAACACTAACATCATTTCAGATTTGTCAAAGTCCTGGTTATTGAGATTTTTAGCTCCGTTCTCGGTCTCTTTGGTCTCATCATAGGCCTACTCGTGTCTGGAAAAGCCGCTGCCTTCGACAATCACATCGTAGAATGACGAGACTATCTTTGAGTGACTGGTAGCTTGATAGGTCAATCTGTCCAAGGAACTGCGAAGTTGATGGACCTGTACCGTTTCAGCCCATTGCTGGAAGATGGAGGTGATCTCCATATGTAGATATACCAAACATGTCGGTTGAAAACACACAGTGCACACGGTCAACGTGCAGAATTTATGGATTTCATGGATACAATAGATGTATTTCTAGCATGTAAAAGAATACAGATATAAAACCAACATCATCGCACTCATATGGTTCTCACGTCGATAAGGGAGCTCCTCTAAAGAACCGACACTGAATACTTGGTTGGGTGTGTACCTCAAAAATATTCAGATTGCTGCCTGAGTATATCGAAGATACTAGGTACACACTAGACCAGTGTGTAGTAATCTAGTGTAGCCACGGCCAGCATGGGTGCTGTTAAAACCTACCTTCCTGCACCTGTTTGATCATGTCGGACAGCAAATTGACAGCTGCAATTTTGATCGTATCTGATACAGCGTCTCAGAATGCTTCTACTGACAGATGTGGACCTGCTTTGAAGGAAGTCTTCGAGTCGGACGAGAGAGGATCTTTCGCAGTCTCGGAAGTCAAGATCGTCCCGGACAGCACCGAAGCGATTCAACACTTCATTAAGCATAATACAGACCACGCCGACCCTGTCAATCTGATAATCACGTCCGGTGGTACAGGCTTTGCGGTCAAAGATAGTACCCCAGAGGTGCGACGTTTGCAATAACAATTCCACGTGTGCAAGCTGAACTGCCACAGGCTGTGTCGCCTCTTATACATAAACATGCCACAGGCCTTGTGTACGTACGTCAACATTTAAAACATCAAATAAATACTGATTGGGATAGGCATGCAATGTTGTCTGCATCCCTCGCAATTACCCCATGTAAACCCTCCATGATCATCTACCACATATATTAAACAGTAACTGATGAAATCTTCTAGTCGCCATGATGGCGCGACCAATAGCTGGTGTGCGCAACAGTACTCTAATAATCACTTTGCCAGGATCACCGAAAGGTGCAAAGGAAAATTTAGAGGCTATTCTTCGTCAGTTACCACATGCCTGCCAACAAGCCGCTGGGGCTGATTCCCGAGAGTTGCATGTTGGAGGCGTGACGCAATTGGAACAAGACGCCGGATTGAGACGTTTTATGACCGTCAAAGGTATGTCAGTATACAATTGCGAGATATGTGAGTCTCACTTGTTGCCGCCACAAGATCCGTTTCAACATCAGCATCAGCATCATCAGCATGGCCACCACGACCATATTCAGTCGCGTCCAGACGGTCATGTACATGGCAGCCACAAGGCACCGGTTCCCCATACCAAATCCGAATCTCATCCGCAGTCAAACGATCCAAACGCTGGGCCTAGCAGACGATACCGCAGCTCGCCATACCCGATGCTCTCAGTAGACGAGGCTTTGCAACTTATACAAGAGCATACCCCTTCATCGAAAGCAGTAATGAGACTCGTAGATGAAGCTCTAGTTGGTAGTGTGCTCGCAGATGATGTCAAAGCCGTTGAGTCTGTCCCTGCTTTCAGAGCCAGTATTGTTGATGGATATGCCGTAAGTCGCATCGTGCTGCTAATGGCCCGCCCCAACTCGTTAACAATCCCTAGATCAAGCTGCCAAGCTCTGGTAAATCCGTCAAAGGCATTTACCCAGTTGCTATGATCTCACATGCGCAGGCTGGAGATATTGCTAGCTTGGAAGAGGGTAGTATTGCAAGGATTACAACTGGGGCTCCACTTCCACCGGGAGCGGATGCTGTGGTCATGGTCGAAGATACAGTCCTGAAAAGCAATACTACAGACGGTCAGGAAGAAAAGGATGTCGAAATTCTCACGGATGAAATTGTGCGTGGCGAAAATATAAGGGAAGTGGGTAGTGACGTGCAAGCTGGTGAAACCATCATGAAAAAAGGTGAAGGCATCACAGCCATCGGAGGAGAGCTTGGTCTTCTAGCCTCAGTTGGTGTCCGTCAGGTTCTCGTGTATCACAAGCCTGTGGTGGGAGTCTTAAGTACTGGTGATGAGATTGTTCCTCATGATAGACTAGGAGATCTACGCCTAGGTGAAGTCCGAGATACAAACCGACCGACACTATTGACGGCAATACAGGGCTCTGGATTTAAAGCCATGGACCTGGGTATCGCTTCAGATAAGTTCGTGCAATGGTGAAATACTTTTGGTCAACATGCTAAGACAGCTTTAGGCCAGGCGCCCTAGAAGAAGCCTTGCGCACCGCATTCACTCACGTAGATGTTCTCATTACAACTGGTGGGGTCTCCATGGGCGAGCTTGACCTTCTGAAGCCTACTATCGAGCGAGCTCTTGGTGGTACGATTCACTTTGGCCGAGTCAACATGAAGCCTGGCAAACCGACGACTTTTGCATCTCTTGTTCTCAAAAACCCGACTTCAGGGGCCAGGATCACAAAATTAATCTTCTCCTTACCTGGGAACCCAGCTAGTGCAACAGTCTGCTACCACCTGTTCGTTTTTCCGTCCCTACATACAGCCAGTGGTATTAGTCCTCCAGGACTGCCGAAGGTTACTGTGATATTGGAGTCTGCAGTCCGTTGTGACAAAGGTCGCCCTGAGTATCACCGAGTCGCTGTCACAGCTAAAAGAGACGGGATCCTATATGCAAATAGTACTGGTATGCAGAGAAGCAGCCGCATTGGTAGCTTCAAGAGTGCAAACGCACTTTTGTGCCTACCTGCAGGGAAGGGAATGCTTTCGAAAGGTGACAAAGTGGACGCTTTGTTGATGGGTCAAATAGTCGGTTATATTGACGCGTGAGGAACTTTTGCGTCTGGAGATCGAACAGATCGCAATGGATGCGAAGAAATATGTATTACGGGCGCTCGATACATACACAGTCTAGTATATACCCAAAACCTGTGACCAAAGGACAAGGATCAACATTTACTCAATGAGATCTGAACATATGACGCAATGTTTCATCGATATCGAACACGTGGGTTCCTCTTGGCATCCATCCTCAATTTCCAAGCACGCGACGCGCAAACGCCACTTTCCTTCGCAACTCAACCCACAATGGGCGACCTGTTAGAATATCTCACCAGCCACGAAGAAGCCTTTAAGAGTCGCAACCGACTCTCATCTCTCTACTCTGACTTCTCGCAAAGCGCAACGATCAACCCGGATGGTTACCAAGCCAACATTGTAGCATGGAAGAAAGCTCTCTCGAATGCTGCAGCGGCTGGCGCTGTTCCTTCCCAGGGTGCAGCGAATGATCTACTCAGCATAAGTACAGGTGAGCAGCTCTCAAGAGCACTGGCAAGCAAGGAATGGGGAAGACCATTGGCGCTAGGAGCGGTTATAGTACGTGAGCAAGTACACAACGCGTTCATTGCCACGGGGCTAATAGTTGCGTAGCATGAAGCGGTTACAAAGAAAGAAATGATTCCGCTGAAAGACTTCCTATCAGCAACAACGAGCATCTATCACAGGAGTTGGGCCTTGTCACCACGGCAGGCGATAGCCTGGGGGCTACGGCAACTCGGCATACTCGGTGAAGAAAGCAATTCAGAACACATAACCACAGGGAAACTCGTTATAGTAGCCAACCTCGAGGTAGATATATACAGCGCTGCTTGTACTACCTGCTCCTACCTGACAGTCCTTATAGTCTGTCGCGACCGCCATTCTCAAACATATTGATTCTAAATCCTCCATCCAGCGTATATACTCCCATGTTGGCTTCCTCTCCGAGTTCGGCAGCATTAACTCATCCACGCACTCACTTACGGCATCTGACCTCGAAGTTCTCCTTACATACCTCGCCCGCGACAAGCACGCCATAACATACAATTCCACAACCATAAAATTTGCGGCGCCCTCGTCCTTCGTCAATCCAGAGCCCATAAGCCAACAAGACACAGTCATCGCTTCCCTCCGCAGCCTTATCGACTCTCTCAATAACCAAATAACCATCCTTGGGTCCCGCATCGCATCCCTTGACTCTCAAGCCCGTGCTTCTGTTGCTTCAAAGTCACGCAATACCGCTCTCACTGCGCTTCGCTCCAAGAAACTCGCCGAAGTTACCCTCGCCCGCCGTTCTGATACGTTAGCCCAGCTTGAGCGAACATATAACTCGATCGAAGCTGCAACAGATAACGTGGAGATTGTGCGGGTGATGGAAGCAAGTGCTGGTGTATTGCGACACTTGAATAAAGCAGTTGGCGGGGCAAGCGGGGTGGAAGGCGTAGTGGACAGCTTGAGAGAGGAGATCGAAAACGTAGAGGAGATCAGTGGAATGCTGAATGAGGTTGGCGGGGCTGTGGTGGATGAGGGTGAGGTGGATGAAGAATTCGAGGCGCTTGAACGGGCGGAGTGTGAGAAGATTGAGATCGCTCAACGAGCCGAGAGGGAGAGGCAAGAAGCTATGGACGTAGAGAGAACAAGGATCCGCATGGACGAGCTGCAGAATCTCGACAAAGCTCAGAAGGATAAGGAGCAATCAGCTTCGAAGGTGTCGAGTACACCAAGTGATGATATATTGCAGAAGGGTATTGAGGGTATGGAGCAATTGTCCATATCGAGCGCGCCCGAGAATAGAATCTCAGAAGCTGACACGTTCATTACAGCGAGGGTGAAAGAGAAGGAGCCTGCGCCTACCTCATTAGCCCAGCACGAGAATGCATGACAAAGCCATGCGTATATCGACTTTGAATGAAACGTACATGCACGCCATATTTTCATGTAATTGAGCACCCAGCACATGCAAAAAGTCATACACTATGGTTTCACAGGTTTGAGAAATGGCTAACCCTCGCTCTGAACGATATAGAGGCTGTGAGTGCGATACCTGGGATGAGAACATGTCTGATCATCCTCCGCACAGTGCCTACTTGGGAGATATTTAGCTTACTCTAGCTAATTCTCCTGAGCTGCAGAAACAGTATGAGGGGCGCGTGTATCGTCCAGCCTTCTCCTAGCTTTATCAACCAGTGGCTACAACATAAAGAAGGCGTCTAAACCTGTGGCAGTTATGGGTGAGTATCTCAGTGTTGAAAAGTTTCCGAAATACCGGAAGGCTCTACAAAAGAACGTATTTTAGCTCTCCAAACAAGCTTCTTCATTTCATGGCACAAATTGATCCCGACTGAATATACTCTCTTCGTATTCAATCTTCGTAATATATTGACCAGGAACAACGACGAGGCCTACGAAGCGACTTGCCAGAGGCACCTGTGCGGTTGGATTGCCAGATTCGACGATTGCTTGACGGATGGTGGCTTCTGACGGTTGACGGTATTCGTGCGTGAGGGAGAGTATGATGTTGCGGTCCTGGTCTGTTATGAGTGCTGGTGGATCATTGTAGGGTTTGGGCTGAGGTTGGGTGATGTGACTACTTACCTTATCGGTGCATCGCAATTGTCCGATGAACATGCGGGCATCGTTGGTGTGGATACGCAAATTTTTTCCGATGAGTTGAGAGAGGTATGCGCTCGCTTGTACTTCATCCATGGTAAAGTAGGCGCTGTTTGAGGAAGCAAGTGATCGCGATGGTCTCGTTGATTAGTGATAGGGTTTTCTGAATGTCGCTGTAGGAGGGGCCCTGGAAGTGAACGCGAACAGTGGCTTCGTCAAGCACGCTAAGGTTTTACCATCTCGCGTCTTCACGTGCGTCTTCGTCCATGGATGCAATTATCTGCCCTTCCAACAATTGAGACAGATTTCTGTAACGTATTGCATTAGAATATGTCTCCCATCACATGCCATATTCAACGAAAGTGAGCAGGTCTGGAAGGAGCGATACCTTGCTGATTTCCTATCATTCCCTCAGGCCGTCAGGCAGTCCAGATACAACGAGCTGCGTCAGATGTCGTCCCCACTTATGGCGGCAAGGATGCTCCACTATCAATCCATGAGATAATGCGGGGTGGGCTGCCGTTGCCTGGTGAAACTCGCTGCGGCGGTCAGGTCACAAGGTAAGCTCTCCCACAGCTCTCAACGCCATTCCTGTGCATGTAGCTATACTCCCACTCTACCTACGCCTCCAAACAACAGCCCTCGCTCTCTACTATCCCCATTTCCCAATCAAATCTCAAACATGGTGTCGTCCGATCAAGATAACGCAGTAGTCGTCGACACGACCCCGATTTCTCCTGTGAAAGAAGGCATGCTTCGTCGGAACTCGCTCGAGAAGCACCTACAGCACAGGCCAGACCAGCAAGATCTAAAGAACAGGCATATCTTGCTAGACACGTCCGCTGCACCGTGAGTCCTTTCGTTCCTATTATCAAAACGGCTGATCTCGCGAGTTTACAAGAACCATGCTAATGCCAACTTAAATCCCAGTTCTCTTCAGTCCAAACAACAAGAGCTCGAACGCCAACGTGCCACTGACAGCCTCAAGAAAGGCCTCGCAACCCGCCCTGATCGCGAAGAACTCGTGAGCAGTATGTCACTTATCCAGCCTTGACCCCATATACTCTCATTCACTCCATACATAAAGCCCACGTACTCACAAACATCTCCTAGGAAATATCCTTCCCGATTCCACAGCCGCCGCCGGTATCCAGAGCCAACGAAAAGAGCTCGAACGTCAAATGCGCGCGGACAATCTTGAGAAAGCACTGGGTCGTCGTCCGACCGCGGATGAGTTGGTCAAAGAGGGCATCTTGACAGGTATGTGACGCTAGTATAACCAGGTAATATATAGACCTACAAGACTGACGTATACAGCTGATGAGAAGCCCACGGGTGCATGAGCCGGGTTGGAGTTTCTTTCGTCGACATGAAGGCTTTGTTTTTAACTAGGTTCTCCTTAGGCGTTATCAGGCATTAGTTGTACGGGTATGGTGGAATGCAGTAGGTTCCCAGACTACTAAGTATGATTCAATATCGCATGCTATCATCAGATACTCAAAACAGAGGGGAGCTCGAAATCCTCATAGCTTAAGTGATATGTGCTTTAGTGGAGATTCCAGTGTTTCATGAACGATATACATCACATTTATTGTGTCGGGGGCTTTACAGATGAGTATCGATCCCACGCGCCTGTGTGAGATTTTACAGCTGAATGAATACTACGCAGCCAGCCGTACCTATCTAAAACTGACTTATGTAAGTTTCATTGAACGCACAGCTGGCATACACGTTCATGGCATAATGCGCTAGAGTAGCCTCTAAATAACGCGAGCACACTGTTCACACACAGTACTCTTCAGACGGCTTTTCCATCGTTTGCAATGATGTTCTCCAACCACGCCGGCACGACAGGTTCTTCGTCCCACAAATGCTTCCAATCCAACTTCCATCCATATTTACTACTCGGAACCGCAAACACGGCACTGACAAGCCACACCGTCTCGCCGGCACTCAGGTCGCGATACAACGTGGGTAGCATCGTCCGCTGCTCCACGAGGTTTGAATTCGGATCCGCAAGACACATCCCACCATGCCGTTCGCGCTGATGAAGCTCCCGTATGCCAACAGCTCCGGAGCGTGACACACCCCAGACGGACGTCTTGTCGTACCAGTATCCGTCCTGACGCTCGTCGGACCATGGACCAAGCGTACGGCCGTCGACGGCGCGACACCCGTAGATTGCGAATGCACCTTCGGCGGATTGCAAAGCCCGGGCGGTCGTGATTCTGTGTGCACGGATATGATAGGCACTTTCAGGCTTATCGGAGGATGAGGATGGCGGGATTAGGTATGTGGTTACTTGTACGTCGCTCCAGGGTTTCATGCTACTGACTAGTACGGGGACGTCGTCGAAAGTCTCGATGGTGCTATCTCCGTCGAGCGCGCGGCGCATTTTCCATAGCTCGCCGCCGTCGTCGGAGAGCGCGAGAGACGATTCAGGGACATGCTGCTCTAATGTGTATGAGCCTGTGGGCACGGAGTAGGCGAAGGCAGACGAGTATGCGAATTTTCCATATTTGGCTTGGGGGGCTTTCAGCGCGTAGTGGCACGTCTGGCCGCTGGACAGCAGGTAGGTGTGACCTGCTGAGCGGACACAGATGTGTCGTGGATGTGGTAGAGGACGAAGGATGCGTGTTGATGCACAGGGGTGTGGCTCTTCAGGGGAGGACCAGAACGGATGTGTCGCCGGACATGCAAGCGCCGCGAAAGCAAGCATACACCAGTACGGCGAGCCAGGACTATTGTAATTCTCAAGCAGGTACATATTCGGATATGAGTAGCCGAGCGAAAGCATGCCATTGGGTTGGAAGATATCATGCTGGGTTGACCACCATCGCAGATTCCGCAGAAATATTCCTTTCACAACGCCCCAAGATAAGGGTGCAGAAAGCTCGACATCTGCAAAAGCAACAGATGACCAGAAGGCCACCATTGCCCATCGATAAGTCAAACTCCGACCGAAGGTGACTGCACGACCTTCGGGGTCAAAGTAATGGACAAAGTCTTGAGCATAAAGTCCAGCCCTTTTACGAAATTCCGTGGCTCGCTCTGGGTCACGATCTCCGGCTATTTTGGCGTACAGTAACTGCAGATATTGGATAGCAAATGAACCGGAGTAATAATCCATCTGACGATAGCCTTTTGGGCCATCGTTAGACCATCCATCACCGCGATAGTACGTATCGAGTTGCTTGATATCGGCTTCGAGACGCTCCTCCGAGTATGGAGCTTTGTTTTTAGCCAGTCCTAAGTTTGCGAAGACACGAAACCAGAGCCTGGGAGAGATCAGTCAGAATGATGACACCAGAGCCCCTTAATCAGTGAGACGCACGTCTTGTGTTCATGGCAACACATCACACGCGTACATCAACACAAGGTCTCTTCTCGACTTCGCCGCCACAAGCATTGACAGCCACTTAACCCGATTATTTATAGGTCTCATGATAGGTATCGTATAACATCGAAATCACACTTACCAGTTCGTGTTGGGCATGACCTTGGCGTTCATGCTGTCCAACCACGTGGAAACGTTGCTCTTCTGCTCAACGCTCAAAGGATCCCAAAAATCCTTGTGAGCAATGGCCAGGGTGTAACCAATTGGACACGCTTCTACCATTCGCTGATCAGTATCTTCCATCCAACCATAGAACTGCGGGCTTTTCGGGTCGGTGCCGTTAACCAGCCCATCGACGAAGCGCTGTGTGCCAGCATACTTGCTGTCTCCAGCGAGGAGAGGTGCAAGCGCCCATAATGGTCGAGCATAGCCCTCGATTTGCGCGGCTGTCTCATCGAAGCGAGTCCCTGTTGCGCCGACTTTGACGAGACCTCCCTCGTCGGAGGTACCATGAGCAAGGGGGTCGAGCAAAGAGGCCACAGCATTTACGACGTCCTGGCGTGTAACGAATGGATTCTGCGAAAATGGATGCAAGGGCCCAGAACGATTCTTGTCTGCCACAGCAGACGAGAAGGTTACAGGCGAACTGCCTAGATCTGTGATTGGAGACATAATAAGCTGACACGCATCCTTCACTCCGAGATCAACGACATAGCAATTGTTTGCATTGCCCCGAGAAACAATATGTCTAGGCTTCGATGACGAGTCCAGCGTTGCGACATGCCCTATCATCTAGGCCCGGCCCAGTACTTGAATGAGACAGCATAAGAACGATATGCGAGCCCGGGTATAATTAGGGACGGAGATCGACAGGTTGGTGAACAGGTAACGTGAAGGGATTGGATGAAAAACAGTGGGCTTCCGGCTAAAGTCATTTGCCGCCGCCGCCTCGCACAAAACACACCCGAACAACATTCTGACCTCGTTGTCCTGCATTTTCCCCACTTCGGTCTCTTTTGTACTCTCATCTGATCTGAACAGCCTCCTCTACATCGAAAGGACCATGATGCTGGGCAGGATATACCTTTTGTCTATCGCCGTTTGGAGAAGACGATAGACTCATTGCTCGGAATCTCCCACCAATATCAAACGAGCATACCTGTCAATGATAAAAATCGTAGTAAGCAGTAATTGGTTTTGGGTGTTGGAATTTCCAAGCGATACCCCGGACGCCCCACAGCCGCTAGGCAGAATAGTTCCAGCATTTGACCCACCATGCCCATGTATCGTATTTATCCATGGCTTATACTTGTTTCACTTTGAATGACTCTTTACTGACGACCCCGAGATGCTCCATAGAACAGCTGTTGAGAATCCTATGTATTCTTGAATGTGATCGATGAATCGAATGCAGACTATTGATACTGACGACGTTCTCTTGCAGATGTTGGACCTAATTTTCATAGGTCTGCTCGAAGCTGATGAAGGTTGGCATTGGAAAGGGCGTTGTTTCTGCCGCCTTGGCGGACGAAATAACCCACCTATCACTCTTCTCCACTTCAGGTAGCTTTGCTGTAACCGAATCTGGGCGTTCGTCCCACCTCATGGTGGCTGCCACTGCACTACTACAAAGCTTGTCTACCATGTCACGGGAGCGAGGTCGATCCCAGAACGATTATAATATGATATTATCCTCGCCTCGAGCCTGGAGCCGTCGACCCAGTTCTTGCTCTCCCTCATACGTGCTGGAGGCTGTTCACACACCAATCGTTGATCGCGAACCGCCGACAACATGACCCTCCTTCAAAGAATCGTCAAGAATGATTCTATGAAAGAAGACCCTCCAGAAATCTACGGATGGAGGATCTTTGTTCTGGCATTGTCCGCATGCTTTGGCGGCATGCTCTTCGGTATGGACATTGGAACTATCGGTGGTGTCCTGACGCTACCAGCATTTGAAGCGTATGTAGCACTCACTCACTCAGCATCTGTAGTACTCACTAGCACGCAGGAAGTATGGCCTTGACACACTGAGCAAAACAGCTAAAGCCGATCTCGCGTCCAACATTGCTTCGACGCTCCAAGCTGGCTGTTTCTTTGGATGCCTGGTTGCATTCTGGACGTGCGACAAATACGGTCGACGTTGGACCCTCCTGGCATCTGGAATTATTACCTGTGCCGGTGTTGTTATGCAGGCATGTGGCTTCGGCCACATTGCAGTCATGTATATTGGCCGGTAAGCACCAGCAGAAGTCTAGGTATACCAGGAACTTACTCGTTCTTAGCTTGATCGCTGGGTTTGGCGTGGGTGCCGCATCTATGGCTGTCCCTCTCTACATCTCAGAAAATGCTCCACGGGCGATCCGTGGCGGTCTGACTGGTATTTACCAGCTTTTCGTATGACCCCAGTAATTCATCATTCTCTAGAGCATCTTCTAATCATGTCAATAGATTGCGACTGGAACCATGTTGGCCTTCTGGGTGAATTATGGATGCATCTTGCATATGACAGGAAGTGCTACCTACATCGCACCTCTTACTATCCAGGCCCTGCCAGCTGTCCTACTGATCGTTACTATGTTCTTGAACAAGGAATCGCCCCGTTGGCTAGCAAAGGCTGATCGCTGGGATGAGGCTTGCAAAGTTCTCGCCCGAGTTCGACATTTGCCTACGACACATCCATACATCCAAAACGAATTGGCAGACATACAGGCTCAGCTTGACCACGAACGTATGCTTATTGGTGGTGCATCTGTCATGGATCTTCTGAGGGAGATGTGGACAATTCCTGGGAATCGAAAGCGTGCTATCATATCGATTGTTCTGATGATATGCCAACAAATGACCGGAACAAATGCGATTAGTAAGTTTCAGTCGTTTTGCACATGCATTCCAAAGATTACACAGTAGTAACATTTTCAAGATTACTATGCCCCTCAGATCTTCAAACAGCTTGGAATCGTAGGTGTGAAAACTGGTCTCTTCGCTACTGGAATCTATGGTGTCGTCAAGATGACAACTTGTGCCGCGTTTCTCCTCTTTGCTGCCGACTCTCTCGGCCGCCGAAAATCGCTCCTCTGGACATCCATTGCGCAAGGCACGGCCATGTTCTATATCGCGCTATACCTCCGCATTTCGAATCAGGTCGAAGGAGAATCCGTACCACCTGCTGGATATGTTGCACTCGTTTGCGTCTTCCTCTTTGCTGCCTTTTTCCAGTTTGGCTGGGGCCCGGTATGTTGGATCTACGTGTCAGAAATACCTGCTGCGCGACTAAGATCGCTGAATGTCGCAATTGCTGCGGCAACACAATGGCTGTTCAATTTCGTCGTTGGGCGCGCGACGCTGACCATGATGGCGACTGTGGGGAAGAACGGATATGGTACATTCTTCATCTATGGCTCATTCTGTTTCTCCATGTTTGTCTTTGTGTGGTTTTTTATTCCTGAGACGAAGGGTCTCGCGCTTGAAAGGATGGACGATCTTTTCGGTGTGACCGAATTGGTTAAGAACGTGGAAGCTGACGCTGCTGCCCGGGGTGTCGATCCGCATGACCTTTCACTCAATGAGAAGCTCGGAGCAACGAAGCATGCCGAGCGTGTCGAGGTTGTGCCCGCTAGGGGCGAGGAGAGGGCTTGAGCAGTTGACGTGTTTCATGTTACCAATCTATGTGTTGGAAGGTTTGAGAATCCGATACTGTCATTTCATAGATCATAGCGATCGTCTTGAAAACTCCGACCTTTAGCTGTAGCAAGCTGCAAGCATCGTGAACAGCTTGATACCATGTGTGATCTGAATCATATCAAACACTCGTATCATGGGCTACTCAACATTTACACAAGAAATATTGTTGTGTAGGAGAATAATTTCGTCTTAGCTATAAATCTCCAGAGGATACAGACTTTTAGAGCTGTTGCATGTTCACAATGCGGTGTGATATGTGAGGACGAAAATGAGGCCCGTGCGTTCCGGTTTCTAGCAAGTGGTTACGTTGCAAGTTGGACTCGAAGCTTCAAATTGAAGAAAGCTTCACACACATCATTGGGCAACAATGCGTCTTCTGCACTCAATAATACCGACTTTGCTAATTGCTTCAGCCCAGCGTGGACTGGCAGCTTCATCTTGGTCTTTTGAAGATGCCACCTTGACTGTGTCAGGCAAAGGCGCTGGAGTCGGTGGTGGAGCGAAGGAGAAGTAAGACTGCTCAGTACGATTAGCTCTATGAAGACCGACTGACAATGTTATGAGCAGACTGTCAGCTACCGTACCGTTGCCGAAGACGGTCGCTCTCGGAGGAAAGGACACATTGAGAATTGTTCTCACGACCACAGAGGATAAGAAGGCCAAACGCCCGCATCAGGCATTCCTTACTCTCACTGAACCATCATCTGGCCTGGAAGAGTCCTTCCCGCTCACCTTGAAAGAGAATGGAAAGGGCAAGGTCGAAGTTGTATGTTTTGATGGAACTACACCACCTAGGCCTATGCTTACAACTGGAATAGACACAAAAAGACCTGCCCACGCAACTCGTTACCTCCGCAGCTCCACTCAAGGCCTCACTGATAGTCGCGTCCTTCGGATCGAGCAAACCATACCGTTCTCCTGTCTTCACATTAGCTGTTGAGCAAGATCCGGCCGCGCCAATTACGATCCCAGAGCCACCAATCCGATATCGCGCCTTAGAAGAGATTCGTCACATCTTCCGGTCTGACCCTTCCTCCCCACCTATTATCATAACGTTAGTCTTTACAATCGCGGTCATCGCGGCTCTTCCGGCTGTTCTTGGTCTATGGCTCACTTTGGGAGGAAATGGTAGCCATTTTGGCAAAGCGATGAACGCAGCGCCAGTATCACACGCACTGTTTGTCGGATCGATTGTTGCTATGGAAGGGATATTCTTCCTCTACTATACCACGTGGAATTTGTTTCAAACTCTGCCAGCTGCGGCGGCTGTTGGTGTTGTTGCTTTCTTGAGCGGCAGCCGTGCGCTGTCGGAGGTGCAAGAACGAAGACTGGATGGTCTCAGATGAGTCCGAAGCATGGTATTGAAGACTATCAAACATTCTCTCGGCCCTAGTTTCGGGTATCAGAGTGTAGCGGAGGCTTTGTTCGAGGTGTCATATAGTGCCGGAAGGTCTTTTGTGCTGGGAAATGCCTCTATAGATATGCCATGATGGATCTGGCTATGCGCGAAGACATGTATCACCGCAGTATGTATCATAAGCCAGTGCAATATGTTACGTGTCCTGGAGCTTCTCAAGCAACTAGGCTCATGCGTTAACTCTAAAGTCATGCACTGCTAAAACGTCCATCCGGTTACAGATAAAAGTGCACCTTTGTTACAGACACCATATAACGCAATCCACCAATTGGCTCATGGAGAATTTCCTCCCCTCATCATGTTGTTTCACGATGCTCAATTTAAGGTTAATGTAAGTCTACAGTAAAACGCCCACTAGATTAGCTAGCACCTCAGCAGCGCGATCCCCGCAACCCACCGACGCGTCTTCTCGCGTCACCCAGATGCCCAAAATCTTTTACCCTTTCCCGCTCATTCGTACCACCTGTATTCACCACCAATCACCCACCATGACAGCTGAAGCTCCCCGAAAACGCGGACGGCCCAGGAAGATCGTCGCGACCACTGCGCCAGAAATATCTGTACAAGAAAACGCGCCGACAAAGGCGACGACGACCCGCACGCTTGCTACGAAAGCTACGAAAGCTTCACCGAAGAAGGCTTCGGGTAAGAATGTGAAGGCGTCGGTGAAGACGTCGGCGAAGAGCGTTGTGAAGGAACAGATATTGGAGTCCACGCCAGAGAGTACTGGAGAACCTACTGTTACAATTGTGCCGGAATGTAGTCCAGAGAGAACTCCACAATCTACTGTGGAATGTTTACCAGAAATCATAAAGGAAAGCATTGCAAAATCTGCTACAGAATCTGTTCCAAAACCTACTCCACAACCTACTCCAGAATCTATTTCAGAATTTTCTCCAAACCACAAGTTAGAATCTACTTCAGACACTCCACCGGAAGCAACTCAATTCAAAAGAACTACCGATGACACACATCTGGAAGTAGAGCTAGCTACGATCGCAGCTGCAGCACCTACCGTCGAGCCTAAAACGAGCGCAACGAGCATTGAATCCCCTACTTCCACCATCCAACCCCCGACGCAGCAAACCCCCGTGACACCCGCAACGTCCAAGATTCTGAAAGAGGTCAATGCAGCACGTGCGACTGCGGCGGAGCTCGCGAAACAGACTGTTCCCCCTCGCCATACTATTCCTCCAGTAAGAATCCCACCGACGTCTGTTGCATCCGCATCTGCGACACATCCTCCTTCGAAAAAAGTCCCTCAGTCTGCAGAACGAATCAGGGCGTTGGCACCAGCGGAAGCTTCGCGAACGTTGTCGCGAGGTGGTTTGCTCGAGGAATCGCGGAAGAAGAGTGCTGCATCTAGTGCGTCTGTGACGGCCACGGCGGGACCAAATGGGCCTGCGGCAGGGACAATAGGGGGTGCGCCTGATGCTGCGATGCGGTACAAGTCGACGTCGAGGAAGTAAGTGTGGCAGACGCAATATGAAGATGAACATGACGACGAGCCTGACGGTATTAACATTACATAGGGTATTGACGATCATGGTCGGGCTGCCACTTGTGATAGTGACGAGCTACGAGTTGTACCAAAGATGTGAGTGACCTCGTTGCATATGGTGAGAACGAGAGAGGAGCTGATGAGCTAATTTTTGATAGTGGTGCTTGGGAAGGACAGGACGCCGCTTCTGGAGGCGGCTGTGAAGCCGATGCGGGAACCGCTGGCAAAGCTGGAGGAGGAACAATGATTCGGAACGAACATAAAAGTGTGAATAACGAACATGACGCATGTCTTTAAGACATTTAGTGGAAATATGCGACATGTATCTTCTCATGTCGGATGTTGTACATATATATACATATACATAGTCATACAGGGGGCATGTCTACCAGCTCTCCTTCGCCAAATATACACACTTTTCACGACCAATTCAGGCCTCCGTCCTGACTCCTCCCAATCCCGACGAGTCCCCTATGCCGTCTTTTCAATCGCGCCCCCAGTCGGCCCCGAAACACCCACAAGTCCCTCTGCCCCCAGCCTTCCCATAACCCCCTTCTTCAACCCCAACAGCGTCTCAATATCGCTCTCTCGCTTCCCTGCTCCTCTCAACACCAACACCTGCCGTATCGTCTCGGCATCCAACAGCGTCCTGCCCGCAAACCCCTTCCTCCCAACATCCTCATGTTCTTGATCTGCAATCTCCTGGAAGCGCTTCCGGGCCGCGAGCACGATCAGCGCGGGATTCGACGCGGGCGTCGGGTATGGCGAGGGGTACTGAGGCGCGCTGTTGTAGATGTCGGAGGATGGCGAGGCATAGGATTCGGTGGGGCGTACAGGGCCGATATCGCGGAGACGCGCGGAGAGGGAAGGGTTGGAGTCTTGGGGCACGGGTTCTGAGACGGCGTTAGATGTAGGTTGGGGAGAAGTGAGAGGGAAAGGGGGGGTTATAAGGACCTGGTTGTTGGGAGTGGATGGGAGGGGCTGGTGAAGGGCGCGTCTGGGCTTGCGTCTGAGGTTGGGCTGCTGAAGCTAATGGTGGAGGACTACTTCGACTTGTCTGTGTTGCTGTGCTGGGAATGCGTGTGGGATATTGGCGGGCTGCTGAGCCAGCGCCTTTGGCAGCTTTGGAGGCGGAGGCACCCATGTGCGTCGGAGACTAGAGAGTGTGATCGGGGTGTCTGGTGCGATTGATAGGGGGTAGGACTGTGGTTGTTTTCCTTGAAGTTCGAGTTGAATTTTGCAGTTGGGTGGAGGTATCCCGAATGGATGTCTAGCGCGTCATTATTCACCCAAGCTCTCATCGCACGGCGCACGAGGAGAAACTCCAGTAGGGCTGAGCTAGTACCGCACGAGGACTAGCATCCCTTACAGATCCATCCGGCCCGCTGCCGAGACCGAACAACTGTACAACTCAATCAACTCAACTGTCTCATTTCAAACTCAAATGAGCGTATTCTGCTCAGTAATAATTATTACTTCTAGATACGCTTAGCTTTATCTCACAACATCCATGCCCCTTGGCTCCACTGGGCGCAGCTGTACAGTACCTATTCATGGCCTGATCTTACATGTACCTGACCTACTCAGCCGCCCCAAGAGTGGCAGCCACCAACCCCAGAATCCAACCAGTAGACGTTCCTCTCGCAGACTAAAAGCCCGCATATCAGCCTGATGAGTTACCCGGAGCAGCTGCTCAGATATCTGCGCCGGCACCGGGTGTTTCCAGATACGTGTCGCAAAGACGAAGTGCCGAGCAAATCAGGAAAGATTTCATGGTGAAGGGCGCTATGCTGCTGCAGGACTGGACATGATCTAAAAGACTGTGGCATTCTGTGAGGGATCAGTGGGAGCGACCTGTGAGGGCGTCTCGTGTACGGCACAGAGACAGTAAGATGCTTTTGCTACTTCGGAACAAGTGTTGTCGAACACGCATGCCTCCCGTATTCATACTCACAAGATAAGGGAGGAGAAACGAATGCATGCATGGGCCGCGCATAATCACAACCAGAACGAACAAATCTCATACCGCAGCCACCGCCAAACACTTACTCATCCCACTCAGGAATTCTATTCCAGACCTTCTCCCCACAACAAGTCCCGCAGCAAAGTCCAAGCTTACTGCCACTCACGCTGACATGTTGCCTCGAACCAACAGATCTGCTCAGGAACCATCACGCACGGATCTTTATGTGTCCAAAAATATCCCAGCAGCCGGTCTTGGCGAACACTACGACCGTGAAACGGCTAGATACGCCGCCGCCAGCACAATAATGATTATAATGATGAGGTTGTTGGTTAACACGGGCTAGGGTTTCTAAATCGGTCGCCTTACTATGGCTTTAGTGTAATGTATATAAGGTCTGGAGACATTCGGAGATGGTGATTGATAACACGCATCGTGCTTTCCTGGCTCACCATTGATTCCTTTGACTGAATATCTTCTTCCTGTCCAATACCCTTTGCAGTTATTAGCGTATCGTGATACTTTTTGCTTTCACAATGGTTCAGACAAAGGTACGTCGCGATCTGTGGGTTCTCAAGCACGCTGCGCCCGTGTTCTAGTATACATCATAACTTGTACTTTTTGGCAATCGTATTCGGACTGATTAGCTGACCTCAATTCAAGGCCCCCATTTCTCTCTTCTTCTTCGCTTCCTCTGCATTGGCATATCCAGGCATACAGCTCGATCAAGCGCATACTCACGTCGCTCGCCAGGCACCTGCCGAAGCTTACGGCGTGTGTACAGCACACAGCAATGAGCTGCTTTTGGCATGGTACTCCTCCGACTCGACGGATGGAAAATCTGCGCCATCTGATCCAGATTCCACATATACGTGCGTAACTTCGGGAAAGATCCCTGATTTTCCTGCGAAGACGCAATGGGTGAGCTTCGACGCCATGTGGGAGATCAACAAGCCTGTCATGATGATGGCTGGAACCAATGAGGAGGAGGCTGGATTCATGAAGAACGCCATCACAGAAGTGTCTCAGAAGACGCAAATTGATAAACGATTGATCCTTGCCGAGATCATGCAGGAGGTGAGTGTCTTCGTACGAGAGCCTAACTAAGACCGAGAGCTGACTTCCTGTAGTCCACTGGAAATGTACATGTTCATTGTATGACAGAAGGCTCGGGCTCGCATTGCGGTCTGATGCAGGCCGGTGATGGTTCGCAAAAATACGACCCCGCTGACCCCAACGGAAGCATCAAGGCTATGATCAAAGACGGCGTTTGTGGAATCGCAGCTGAGAAGGATCCAGGAGGTCAGGGGAAACCTGGACTGCTGCATTACTTCAACGGCGGCGCAACGCTCATGGGTTGGATTGACCAGTCCCTTTTTGGTACTCCGTACGCTGCTGCAAGAATGTACAACAGCGGATCGATCAGCAATGGAAACTTGAACATCTCTCCATTCGACCCTCACACCAGGGCATATGCCAACGATATCGCGAACAGGTTGCAAGGTTGGAATGGTGGCCGCGCGGGATGTGACAAGAGTGTACAGTGTGGCCTTCGGAGTTCGTGTGACTAGCTGGTTGAGCCGGTATGAGTGAACACGTTTGCTCTCTACTGTCAATATAGAAATTATTCATGTCTAGTTTCCTCCGTGTCAAGCTTACACTTTATGATCAATTTTTGGCTGGTAGTTTCGGTAGCGCAATTTTTCCGATGTTGGCGCCCATTTGTGCACTGCTTTTCTTGACTTGGATTGCTGCATCTCCGAGCAGAACTCGGATCGCATTTTCAAGTCGACGATCTTTTTTTCGTCGCATCCAGATCAGGACTACGAACAGTATGATAGCATCAACTGCGACGATCTTAAGCCCAGTCCATGTGATCCAGGTAAACCATCCCAAAAAGCTGTGTTGCCGCCGCACCCCAAATATTCGCCGCGATTGGAGTTGTTCTCGTAAAGCCGCCACTTCTGCAGTCATCTTGACCAATGCCTGTTCAACACTTTTCCTCCATTTTTTGTCTGGGGAGGGTGTTGGCAACGGGCGGACCTCCTTGTCTGCATTCCGTTCTGAATCTCGTCCGTCTTGCACATCATAGCGGGAATCTTGAGCATCTACAAACTCTTCATCTGCCGCCTCTTCTACTTCGTCCACTTCACTCTGCGATAATGGACTGAGGACCTTCATTGGAGCGTCTGTATTTGTATCTTCGTAGTCTCGCGGCGGCGAGTCTCGGAACTGGCGAGAATCTTGTGAGAAGCCTAGATTGACAGGGTATGACCCTCCACCGATAGTTTGTAGCGGCGATGATGAAGATGAGGAAGGGACATTTGATTTGACCTGGTCCCAGACGAATTCAAGTTCGGCGACCAATTCACGAGCATCCGGGCTCGGTGAAGCGTATCGATTCATTGTTTCGATAAGAGTTGTAATGTACCGTCGCTTTGCCTCGGTCCGGGTGAGGCTTTGCTGCGACTTCCAGGCGTCCCTACGAGGTTCGTTAACAGGCTTGTAATAGCTGGTCATCCTTGTTAGTGATGCTTACCACTTCTCCCTCGCCCTATGAACTTCTTCTCCTTGGCCCTCGGGACGCTCTTGTATCCCCTCAACGTCCCCCTCTATGATAAACTTTGTCAGTCCACCGAAATCTGCTGATTGGGGCATCTTGAATGCGTACCCATGCTTTGCTTGTATAAGCCATAGAGCTTTAGTCGGACACTGGCTGGGGGTTTCTCCGAGCCAGTCCGTATCTTGTTCACTGTGTTGAGCGCATGACTGAAAACGCGATCTAGGCAGTCCTCTGTCAGCACAGCTTATTTGATTGTAAGAGAAATGCACCGCGGTCAAGACGGATCTTCACTTACCTACTGAGTCGGACATGATGAGAGATGTGCTGGACACATTGAAGGTGCAAGCACTATCGCCGACAGAGCGAGCTATCTGTCGATTGCATATAATGGAATAAGGAAACCAAAGCTCGCATGACTAACAAAACAGCTGGAGGAGGTTAAGATCAAGTGGCAGGTAGTCTACCATGGTGAGATGAGGAGGTTTAGTATAAAGACGCTCGCGTGTCAAGCATCACCCGGTCTCACGTTCCTACTACCGCGGTTGACTGCGCGCCGAGGGGGAAAGCCGCTAAAGCGAACCACTCCACAACAAACTAGCTGCGTTCACATGTTTGGCAAGATAATGTTATGGGTATGCTAAAAATTGCTACCATGACCAAGCGTAGTAGGAAATTTGCATTCCTGCCGAAGCTTGCATGATCTGCAATAACACTGAAGCTCCTTTAACTTTATTTACTTTCTTCTGAATTTGTACCAGATTAGGTATGCAGCCAGCGTTGCTGTGGAGAATCGACCAATCAGTGCGATCGCAACAGCCTTCCGAACTATCTCATAATAGCCTTCGAGGAGAATACTGATTGCTCCTTGTCGAGAAACCTGGCACTTCCTGATTTTATCGTAATACGTTCCAGCTCCAAGACCACCGATTCCACATTCCGCGGGTTTCCGATAAGGATATGCGTATGATTCAAGCGGAGACGACTGCACATTGTTCAAAACATTGCTATCACTAACGAGAGCATCAGGTCCCAGCCCATCCGTTGCTAATTCCTCTTTCTTCTGACTCCGGAACCGCCATGACATCACCCACAATGTAAGTCTGACGTCCCAGGGAGTAAATGTAGGGTATGTCCAGAGCTCAAGTGCTGTATGAGGTGGTAGCAATTCCAGGAAATCCGCCATGACCCCCAGGGTCAAGCCCCACAGGAGCAACGGCTTTTCTGACGGAGAAGAGGTATATGGCTTCACACCCCCTCGCAGAATTGTAGCCAAATCTCTTTTAGGTCCTCTAATTTCACTTTCTCTAGTACTCTCTGTGGGTATGAATTCTTCAATGGAGCTACAGTATTGACTTTGTGATGGTATGAGGTGTATGGCTGCGAACAGCATCCGTCCGAGCATAAGGCGAAAGAATGAGCGCTTGATACCGACTTCATTCTTAGCCAATCGGTTCGAAACATCCTGGTACTCGTATGTCCGTTGTTTGGAAGATAGGAGTGCTCGAAGAGGAACCCAGTGCGCCGAGGCAACTTCGGTTGGTTGGAGTCGTAGGGATGGTGCCTTATCGGACGTCAGGAGGAATACGTAAGGGCAGAGGACCATAAGACTGAATGTATATCAGCAATACTAGTATAGAGTACCTCACACACATTGCCCAGACTCACGGGACTTTGCCAAAGGACGTAGTCACAACTCTTTGCGGAAGGTTCCCGGCTGAGATAGCTTGCGTGTCAGACAAGTCGATACCGACTTCTTCCCAAGCTTCTCGTACAGCCGCTGCATGATCGTCTTTGTCCTCTGGGTCTCTCTTGCCTCCAGGTAAGGCTACATGGCTCGTCCATCTGTCCCCTTGGCGGGCAGCTCTTCTGATAAAAAGTACCTCCGGGTCGCCATGTTGAGTCCAATTTTGGCTGAAGAAAGAATTCAAGCGGCCGGGCAAAGAGTCGGCCTCTTTGTGTCTCCTATACTCTGGCGTGTTCTCTGGCCAGTACGCATATGTAGGCTGTATTCTTAGTATCACTGCCACAGAGGCTCTTTTCTTGGTTTCCGGTGGGCTCGGGACATTCGGATATGGGTTCGTAGCTAAGTCCAGAAGAGCATTCTGAAGATGATGTGTGACACCTGTTGTAGGGTCACTGCACAGTGAAGTCATAACGAAGCATAGGTGAGACGAAGATGAAGCTTGAAGTCAGTGAGTTGCATTCCCAATACGTATAGGCGACGCCAAAAACGCGATAAGCGCGCGTCAAACAGATCTCATCCATACAGAGATTAGGAGAGAGTTAGAGTTAGAGTGACGCGGAGCCGCACTAGTTCCCTTCAAGCTACCTGGGCTGTCCGAGAGGGAGGTAATTACCTACTGTAGTTGCGCAGTGGCTGGTAATCTTAGTGTAGGTCCGCACGTGCCCTTTTCGGTGGCTGGCCATTGGCCGACCGTCAAGCTTGACCGACGACCAGAGGGGCAACAGGTTCTTTATACCCGGCCTTGAAAAGTCAATTCCTAGCAATCTTCGAGCTCCTCACAAAATCTTTGAACCGTAGAAGAGTCTTCATCGCAATTCGGGCCACAATCGTTTCTTATTTTAACCCAGTATAACTTAGAGATGCGTTTTGGAAGCACGTTGCGAAAGTCTGTTTACGGCCCTTGGAAGGACAAGTATATTGACTACGGAAAGCTCAAGAAGCTCCTCAAAGAGAGCGAGGGCGATGGATCACCGATTGAACGAGATGAAGACGAGTGGACGGAAGAAGATGAGAGCAATTTTGTCGAGGAACTAGTCAACGTCCAATTGGAGAAAGTGAACGATTTCCAAGCGCAGACCTATCAAAAACTTCGCGACCGTACGTCAGCGTGCGAGAACGATCTTGAACCCTTATCCCTTCGCCCACAAGGCTCCGAAGACAGCAAAGATCAAGATGTTATAACCAAGTCATCTGCCACCCGCGAAGTATCCGATGACGAGCGCGAGACGATCCTCAAGAAGACACTCAAAGAGCTGGATAGCGTTACGAAAGAGGTAAATGAGCTAGAAAAGTACAGTCGTATCAACTATACAGGCTTTTTGAAGGCAGCGAAGAAGCATGATCGTAAACGAGGGCATATGTACAGGGTGCGACCTCTTCTTCAGGTCCGCTTGGCTGCTCTGCCATTCAACTCGGAGGACTACTCTCCACTCCTGTACAAGCTTTCTGCAATGTACTCGTTCGTCAGACAAAGTTTGGAGGGAAAGAAAGAGGGCTTGTCATTCAGTGAAGGCCAGACCGGTGGCGAGACTTTCGTATCACACAAATGTGGGTGGTATAATACTAATCAAATCATGGTGGAAACTAATCTTACTAGTCTGGGTTCACCCTGAGAATCTTCTCGAGGTCAAGACCGTAATCTTGCGCCGTTTGCCGGTCCTTGTATACAACCCGCAGACTTCCAAAATCGCCGAAGGCTCCCAGCGAGACCCTACGATTACATCCATATACTTCGACAACCCTAACTTCTCACTGTATACTGATAAGGTCGATCACAAGCCAAATGCTGCCTCTTTAAGACTCAGATGGTATGGACAACTAGCTGAAAAGCCCGAGATCTTGGTCGAGAAAAAGATCATCAAAGAAGGTGATGTGAGCGAGGAGCAGAGGTTCTCAACTAAAGATAAATACGTTCAAGGATTCATTACACGTGACAACAGGCTAGAGAAAAACGTCAAGAAACTGGAGGATCGCTTCGGGGAAGATTCCGCCCATGTCCAAGACTATAAAACAGCAGTCAATGATATTAGCCAACTGATACAGGATGCAAAGCTCGAGCCGATGGTACGTGCAAACTACACCCGGACCGCCTTTCAGATACCCGGAGACGACCGAGTGAGGATTTCCCTGGACACGAACCTCAGTCTCATCCGTGAAGACGCTTTGGATCAGTCTAGACCATGTCGAGATCCGGCTGAGTGGCATCGTACAGATATCGACAATAATGAGATGGAGTATCCATTCAGTGGAGTCAAGAAAGGCGAGATCAACAGATTTCCGTTCGCGCTTTTAGAGATCCGTATAAAGGGAAATAAGAATTATGAATGGGTGTCTGACCTCATGGACTCTCATCTGGTAAAGACGGCCCCTCGCTTCTCTAAGTTCGTTCATGGCATTGCGGTCCTTTTCGAAGACTACGTCAATAGCTTTCCTTTCTGGCTCAGTGAAGTGGAGACAGACATCCGCCGAGACCCACAAAAAGCGTTCGAAGAGGAGCAAGAACGCAAAGCCAAGGCTGCCGAAGATGATGTTGCTGTTGGAAGTTTATTTGGTACGCAAAGCAGTCTGGCGAGACAGAGCTTTCAGCCGGCGATGGGTTCTCCCATTCGCTCACCAGCCAGCAGGTCAGCTCCTTCAAGGCCAGGTAAAGCTACAGCCGAGATGGCACGGAAAGCTTCGATGGCGGCAATCACGCGAGAAAGCGGAAAGGATGCTGCTATCGAGGACGAAGATTCGGACGACGATGGCGTTCAAGGCAAGCGCACGAAGCGAAGCCGGACAGGTATCCGGTCCTTTATTCCATCCTTTTCCAATTCAAAGTACGGTCAATCCAAACGCTTTGGGAATGCGAAATTACCTCCAGGCCTTGTGGAGCCCACGAATTGGCTTAAGGATCGAGGAGAGGTGATTGTGGAGCCTAAAGTATGGCTGGCAAACCAGCGTACGTTTGTCAAATGGCAGCATGTTGCCGTGTTACTGGCATCACTCTCCTTGGGTCTGTACAATGCCGCAGGAGTGGACAACACCGTTGCCGTTACTCTTGCGTATGTATACACAGCTCTAGCGATCTTCATTCTTGGATGGGGATGGGCAATCTACATGTACAGGAGTAAACTCATTCGAGAGAGGAGTGGAAAGGACTTCGACTCAGTGATAGGACCAGTCGTCATTTGTGTCGGATTAGCAGTCGCACTGGTACTGAATTTTGCTTTCAAGGTTAGTCAAGGTCGGAATGTGTGGCATCGTGACTGACGAAGTTGTGTAGTACCGGGCGGCGTTGGAGCAGCGCAATGATCACCACCATCACAACACGACAATACAGGTTTGATTAGAGTAGTTCTGGGCCAGGATTAAGGATATGAAGATTGCGTATCATCTTCGTCCTGTGTTTCAGTGTAATCGTAATGAGCATCAATAGTGGGTAAAAAGTAATACGTATACATACATAGTTACAAGGTATTTCAGCGGCAAGGTGTCGTGAAACCACAAATCTGCGCCGGCCGCAACGGCACAATTCATTACTTGCATCTTCAACGGGGATGGCCAAGCACCAACATTGTGTGGAGGAAAGATCGAACGATTTAATGGTGCTACAGAACAAATCAGTAAAAGGGAGGACGTTTGACTAGGTGGATACCTACAACTAACGTCGATTATTCGAAACAAACATATTCTGTGCGAATGCAGTACGACATGGGACTTCGATAGTCGGTAGATTGCAGGTTTCACGAGACCCAATTCATAACTAATGCTGTCAGAACTTATCTTGTCCAGAAAAAGTATTGCTACATACACTGATATAATTTGACGACAGGACCAGAAGCCAAGGAACAACAAGCGTCTGAAAAAACGGCTTTGGAGATCTATAATGTCAGGGGTGGGAAGGTGGGCGGGCTTGGCGGTTTCAAAGGACCGACTCATCCATTGATCCATTCCACTTTTCCCCTGATCCGGATCTACATCATCTCTCCGATATCATCTATTACTGCATCCCATAATATTCTTTTTGAGATGGCCCATAACAATGACGATATACCAAGTGGGTCCCCGGTCAGTCCAGTTGCGATCATGATTGTAGCTCTGGTTGCTTGTACCCTGAGTGACTGGATCCGTCCACCGCATGCTTGCATGCAACGTTGTGAGCGTTGATCACAGACATAGCTGCTGTCATACCCAAAGATATCAGCTTCGTGCATTAGCCAACGCCTCGGGGCATTCTTGCCATGTTCCGCGCAAGACTTCCCTGTAACTAGACTCCCTACCTAGGACAATCTCTCCTTGCGACAGCTTGCGGCGCGTTCCCTTCACTATGCAAATTGCTTGTAGGTGCTTGCTACCTAGGTATGCGGCTTGGTCACCAGGGGCTGGCTCCCTTGACAGCATGCACACAGCTGTTGTACTTGATAGGTATGGCATGTAGGCTTTGTGTAATCTTGTCTATATTCTTTTTCCCTCGCTCATATTCAAAGTACTATGTGTATATCACTCATCTCAACATATCGTGGGTCTGTGATATCATTTGGAACCACACTCTAGCTACCTCTTATAGCCTAGGGTAGACCTACAATTCCCCGTTAAGTAGAGCATAAGTCCTATCAGTCTCCTGTTCCTTCTCATTCATTCCTCCATATCCTCGCTCTCATTTTTCTATAGCCTGCCATCGCTTCTTCCGTCCAGAAAGCGCGTCCAGGAGACACTTCTGCTAACTGCCCTGTCATTCTTCGACTTTCACGGAGCTTTTGTTGTTACTCATTCGTTGCTATTCATTCTTGATTTTCAAATCCAGACGCGACGTCTATTCACTTTCAGCTCCACACTAAGACCAGGTTGTGATTCACAGATCTCGTCTTTGGTCTTGCTGTTTGTTATCCCGAGGACGTTGCAGTTGCTAGCTACACTGAGTTTAAATCGCAGCTGCCTCAACAAGCTCGCGCTCACCTTCGGTCTTTCACTTCACCAACTTCTCCTCTGACGTCCAGCCCTCTTCTCCTTTCATTTATCCTCTCCTCTACAACCGAAGCAGCACCTTCACTGCTCCTCACGTCGCTCGTTAACCTCTCGGACCCATCTCCATCTCCAGTTCCCACCCTCGTCCACTCGTTTACGTCGATTATTCGCATTCTGGTCTCTTCTTTAGCCACTCATGCACCTCCTATCTGGTCCACTAGCCTTGGCCGCTGTGAGCTTGGCTACACTCTCTTCTACTTCTCCAGTCAGCCCTTTCTCCCGCCCTCGGCAAGCTGAAACCCAATCATTCTTCCGACGCCAGGTGAACAACAATGCTTCGACGCCATGTGGTGCTGTCGCATCTGCCATCTTTGCTACACCAACTACGGCACCTATTGTACCTGCTAAATTGGCTCACGATTGCCTTAATTCTGTCCCGCTAAACAAGTCTTCAGCCTTGGCTCTCATCGAAGGAATCCGCCCATATATCGATTGGCAGAGCACGTTATCTTACCTCAAAGATCCCCCGGCAGAATACCTTGAGAAAGTCCAGGATGCTGTTGATGTTGTCGGTGGTTTAGTTGATCTCGCAGAAAAGGTCAATGATAACAAGTACAAATCCGAATACGAATTCGGTGTTGACCTATACACCCTATTTCAGTCAACCCACGATGGCCACTTCGTGTATATCCCTGATATAGTAGGCGGTATCTTCGCATGGGCACGTCCAGCCGTTCTAGTCTCAGTCTCTGATGACGGCCATCAGTTGCCTAGTGTTTATGGCTACCAAGACATCGTCGCTCTTCACTTCGGCAACAATACCTACACCCCATCGGCTGTTACGAAGATCGACGACACGGACGTAGAAGAGTGGATAGAAGAATTCAGCCAGTCGGGCTCCTTGCAGGACCGAGATGCTCTGTATAACAATGTTTTTCGAAACTTGGCTCAGGTCTCTCTTGGCGGTCTAGGAACTGGCAATGGTGCATTCTCAGGCAGTGGACGTGGTCGCTTCGTCTACCCAGGTGCTACAACAAAGCTCACATTCGCAAATGGTAGTGAGACTACTTTCGTCAACCAGGCTCGCGTGATAGCTAGAACCTGGGATGGAATCACCACTGGCGAACAACTTGCTAAGAGATTCATTTACTATGGCTCAACATCAGCATCAAGTATGAGCGTTGGAACTACCGGTGCTATTCCCGACGAGGAAAATCGAATCAGATTACACCCAGTCGCCCCTACCGCATCGAAAAGACAAGCGGCACCGATACAGCCCGCTTTCCCTGGATATCCTTCTGCCATTGTGGAGGCATCCTATGTGATCAGTGGATACTACCTTGAAGGCGAGGGGTTTGAGGACGTTGCTGTGTTACGTGTCCCTTCCTTTGTCAGCACAGGCTCACTAGAGATTCCTTTCCAGAACGCTGGGGACGTTTTTCTGAAGAAAGCAAACGCAGATGGCAAGAAAAAGCTCATTATTGATCTTCAGGCAAACGGCGGTGGTACCATTCTTCAAGGCTATGATCTCTTCAAGAAGCTTTTTCCTTCCATTCTCCCATACGGTGCCAATAGGTTTCGAGCCAACGATGCCCTCAATCAGATTGGCCAGGCGTATAGCATGTTCGCTGAGGGTATACCGCGTACCTACAACACTAATTACACCGTCCTGGACATCGTATCATCATACTTCAATTACAGGTCTGACGCAGACGAGAATTACGAACCATGGCAATCTTGGGAAGACAAGTTTGGACCGAACGAAGTCGACGGTGACAAGTACACCAGTCTCAATCGATGGAATCTTAGCGATCCTCTGACTCCATACAATAGCGGCGGTATAAACATCACGGGATACAATAATCGTGCCAACTTGACCCAGCAATACTTCGAAGCTGATAATATCATCATGGTGACGGACGGCTACTGTGCCTCAACATGCACCATATTCTCCGAAATGATGAAACAACAAGCTGGTGTGAAGATCATCGCACTAGGTGGAAGAGCGAATACGAACCCAATTCAAGCCGTTGGAGGTGTCAAGGGAACCAACAACTTCCCATTCGGTTATATTCAACAGGCCGTGAGCGATGCGAAGGCTTTGAATCCAAAAGAAGTTGAAATTGAGGGGTATGCCAGTATGATACCCTACAACCGCGCAGCAGGTAGCCCAGGTCTGAACGTTCGAGATGGCATCCGTGAGGGCGATGAGAACCAGATTCCACTACAATTCGTTTACGAACCTGCCGACTGTCGCATCTTCTATACGCCCGAAATGACAATTGACATCACTTATATCTGGAAGGCTGTTGCAGATTCGGTGTGGAACGATAATAGTAGATGTATTGCTGTTGAGACCGAACCGGTTCCATACGAGAAGACCTTCGGCAAGCGTGAAGCCAGCAAAAGCCTCTCACCACGCAAGTCCCTTCGTCCACGCGATGGAGTCTCTCGCGATCAACTTCTCGAGAGTATGGAGGTCCATACCGACGTTCATGGTATGGACTTTGATATCAGTGGTTTCATGATGCCCTGAACAGGCTGAGGACGCCGAAAGTAGACAAAGCTCAACGATTCTTGTGAGAGTGAGGGATGTGGACTTGAAATTCACATGAGCATGGAGTATCAATGCTTTAAATACTTCCTGTGAACCATCCTATAAGCCCTCCTAGATAGAGGTAAGCCGGCATGCATGATCACGGCGAAAATAATGAGAAACTTTTATGACCTGCAAAATTGTATGACGTGACTGATTATATTTGAGTGTCTTGGATGAACTTCCTGGGGGATTCATGTCATCATGAAAAAGGCTGATATATCGTTGTGGTAGAGACTCGTCCACAGCGTGTTTCCATTTCACAGTTTTGATCTTGTGTTCTCCCACAAAGTCGGTCGTTCGAGGTTCGCTGGTCCATCGTAGATGTCTCGCTCGACCGTACGAGTATTGATCTACCATCAAGATTTGTTAGCGGTCTGTCCTTGGGTCTATATCATTTAATGGCATGTGACTTACAAATTGAGGCCCTAGCTGATCCACTCGCTCCACACCTAACAGCTTCATACATGTCTCCGTCTCCGCCTTCAAGACTGGATTCAACGTCAGTATAGATTATAGAATCACTTAGACAACAGAGAGAACAACTCACGTTCCAGCGTCCTTTCAACGCCTTCCTGACCCCCAGCGCCTAACCCGAACAGTGCTGCTCTCCCGATCCCAACACCTTTAGCCCCCAGACACAACGCCTTCACTACGTCCGTGCCCCTCTTAATCCCGCCATCCACCCACACCTCAATCCGCTCAAATACCTCCGGACAATACTTCCGTATCTCCAGCAGTGTGTGTACAGCCGGTGGCGCCGTATCGAGCGCTCGACCCCCGTGATTCGACAGTATTATGCCCCGCACTTGCGATTGTTGCGAGGCAAGGTATGCGTCTTCGTGAGTTTGAACACCCTTAAGGACGATGGGGAGGCGCGTATGTCGAGTCAGCCAGGGGAGCGTCGTACGCCATGTCAGATCCGCTGCCGTGCCCCAGAACAACGCTGCGCCGATACCAGCGCCGGGACCTGGTGCACCAGGGGTAGCCTTCGTATCCTCTCCCGCTTGCACAGCAGCGCTTGTCGGTTGAGGAATAGAAATATTCTTCGCCCGCTCGTCGTCCTCGCGCTTTCCCGGCACCGGCGCATCGAGCGTCAGCACAATGAATTTCACGGCCGGCAGCTTCGCGATTCGTGCTAGCATGGCCTCGCTTTTTGTCCGCTCGTTTTGCACGTACAACTGCCATCCGAATACCTGTCCAGGCTCCGCACCTGCTACGATGTCTTCCGGCGTCATGCTTGCGTTCTGGCTAATGAGTTGTGCGGCGCCGAATTTGGCGCATGCGCGTGCGATACCAGCTTCGCCGTCGGGGTGTGCGAGGCGCGCCATCGCGGCTGGTGAGACGTAGATTGGGAGCGAAACGGGGTGAGAGAGGAGGGTCGTGGAGAGATCGCAGCGAGTGCAATCGATGAATATCCGGGGGCGCAGGAGGATGGATGTGTAGGCGGTGTTGTTGAGAGTTTTGGAGCGGAGATCGTCCGAGGCAGAGTAGTAGTATGCCCAAGCTTTCTTGCTGATGAGAGATGTCGCGGCGATTTCAATCTCGGTCAGGTTGAGAAGGGAGGAGAGAGATGGGGGACCGGAGGAAGCTGAGGGAGCTGAGGATAGAGCAGGGGACTCAGGAGAGGTCGTCGATGGGAGGGTATCAGGGTTGATAGTGCCGAGTTTGTCTTCGGGTCTAAGATTCTCTTCAAGAATCCCTGGGGGGTGAATGGGATCGTACTCTTCAGTTGCGTCTTGACCAGCGAGCTGGAGGATTACTTTGCTACCACCAGGGTGTGATGGGATGAACTTTGTGACATCGTACACGGCGCCGTAGAGGACTACCCAGCATGATTCTGCAGTGCTGTGTTTCGCAACTGTAGTCGTATGAGTATGCTGGGCTTGTTCCAGGGTGTTCGAAACTACCTTCTGCGTAGTCGTAAACTTTTGACATCTTGACCGCTGACGAATCCAAGCAACTTGATTCGCACACAAGCCCCGCCCCTCTCTTAGAAGTGCACTCGCGTCGCGAATTGTGCTTGCTGTCTATGATATAACTACTTTAACAGTGAGAATGTACTATCCAGAACGCTGTGCAAGAGACCGTAATATGAGGGTGTGAAGTCTAAGGCTATAGAGCGCGAGACTGGGACGAGGATGCTTGAGGTCGGAATCATCAGGACGCCGGCAACTCAACTCCACCTCAAACGCCGAAACTTGGGGATCGGCATCCAATGTGCCGAGTAGATCATTTGCCGCTCCGTTGCGTAAGTTTCGTCGCATATCTCTAATGACGGCAGAATATCCTAGTTCACGAGGTAAGTGTGCTTAGGGATCTACAGACATTCTTCCGGCTGTTTAGATTCAGCTCACATAGGTACAGAAAAGACGATACTCAAGCTTGTATTAGAGTGAAATGCTCACGAACAGGGTGCCAAGACGCTAAGTTTCAAGTCAACGCGTGTAAAGCCGCTCGTCGCGTGGACGTGTACACTTTATGCAACACTGTTTACAGAACATATCGAAAGTGTTCGTTTTGGAACTTTGTCTTGTCAAGCATACCGGCTTCATCGCTGGCCTCTTTGTTTGCCGAGTCATATTGTCGATCTCGCCATCGATTGGTAAAATACATGTACCCTGTAGCAAGAAGCATTGATTAGCTTCTGGAGACTCTGAGATGCACGAACTAACCTAGTAAAGCAAGAAGATGACAGCTAAGCTTGATGCTGTATCCCACCAAGAGACCAATTGTTGCTCCCGACTAGTTCGGAGCCTCCGAGGCCTTTACGACAAAATGACCAGCAAAATTCCCTCAGCAATATGCTGTAAATACTAATGCGCTAGTAAGTGATCTGTGGGTATAGCCAGCTATGTTAGAAGAGAGGGTCGTCAAAGAGACTGTAAATCCGACAGATTGAGCGGTTACCAGCTAGAATGATATCAGCCGGCCCCAAGTGTTTGATCTCGGAAGATACGCAGTACAGGCAGCTGCGACAGTACAAAGGATATTGGCTACTGTAGCCACCAAAAGTCGAGACTGGCGGACGTTGAGGATGATTATTCCTCCTATCACGAGTGCCACTATTTGTACCGCATCGCCTACTGATTTCAGCTCTGTTGTTCGCGTCGTTGAGAACCCAAGGTCGCGGATGATGACAGTACTGAAACTCTGAACGACGCCATCCGGGATTGCAGCCGCAAACACAGAGACGAATAGCAGGGCTGCCTTCGGATCTATGAATGCCAGCTGCACCTGGCTACGATCGAACTTCTTGTTCTTAATTCCAGTTTGATTGCCAGCAACTTTGTCACAGCAACAATCCGCTCTCTTTCTGTGAAGAAGCGAGCATTGGAAGGTGCATTTGGCAAGGCGAATATGATCAGGAAGGACCATAAACAAGTCACTCCACCAAGTATGAAAAATATGAACTGCCATCGTTCCGGCTTCAGATCTACAGGGAGTTTCGAAACACCCATCGAGATGTATGATCCGATGATGCCACCCCAACCCAAGGACGAATACCAGAGGCATTGCCTCAACTGAATCTCTCTCCTCGTCCACCAGAATCCAGCCATAAGGGTCAAGCCCGGTGTTACTGCTGCTTCGCACAGCCCTAGTAAGAATCGCACCGCAAGTGCACTAGAGAACGAGCGGCACCGGGTCAAAATCAAGACCGTGATCCCCCAGAGCAAGCAGCTCACACCAATCACCCTCTGCGCCGGGAAGCGTCTAATAAGCTAACCGCTGGGATACGGCCCGAAGAAGTATCCAGCATACACCATGGCTGAGAGGTAGCTGAACTGGTTTCCTTCGAGACCTAATGCTTCCTGGTACCCAAACAGATTCGCGTACTTTAGCGCTGTACGGTCCATGAATTGAAGGCATTGCGTGAAGTGGAAATAGGCAGGACGAATAGATCGATTTTCCACCGTACGCGAGTTTCCTGGATGAACAGTGAGATAGGGGAAAGGCACACGACATGAAAAGTACCTTAGCTTTTGACATATCTAGATCTAGTCCTTGGCGGTATTCTGCGTATTCAACTGCATCATGAACTTTCATTGGCTCGAGCTGATTGTCGCGCTGTATGCCTATAATTTCACTCTTTCCTGGATCGTTGGCGTAGACATCCACTCTCTCCATGCTTGCTTTGACGAAGACAAGAAGGTCGAGACTACCATGGAGATATGAATGGAAGATGCTTGACCATTCTTCAAGTCTAGAGTTAATATGTGTAGTAGAGCATGAGGTGTCTGAATCTGGAATCTTGGTAAACACGATTGGAAACATCTTTCAGCGAACAATAACTTACTGTAATTCAGTATTCAAGACTCATATAGGGCTTTCGCGTAGCGTCAAGCTGTCTTTTGTATCTACTAATGCAGCCAAGATTCTCTGATGCGGAGATCTCCCAGATACAACAGCCGATTTTCATGTTCCGGTAGCTTATCGTTGCCCTCCCTGGAATTAGAGCTTTCCTACCAAATGCTTGCTCCAGACGGGACAACCACCTGCACCCCGCTATTCCGACAACCTTGTAGAGGAGATCCCGATCCGCTTCAGCGTAAGTGGAGAAGTTGACGCAATATGCCTAGTACCAGCTCAGACTGTGCATAGTAGCTCGATAATATCAGGGCACCCAATCGATATATCAAAAGCATTTAACATAGAATCAATTCTATCCGACGATGGCATCGGCATCGGTGTCGGGCTTCATCCCAGAAACCCTCCAACGGCCTGCACCCAACGATAATGACTATCTCGCAAAACCCCCCAGCACATGCTGCCTCTCAGGCACTCTACACACTGGCACTCCCCGCGGCGCCCATGAAACCATCGCCTCGCTCGATACCTACATCGTTAAGCCCCCTTCCTCAAGTGAGAATGGCCACGTCCTGCTCTACTTCCCCGATGTTTGGGGCTTCTTCGCAAACGGCTTTTTGGTTATGGACGCCTTTGCAGACGCCGGGTACCTAGTCCTTGGCCCAGACTATTTCCGCGGTGATCCCGTGTGGAAGCATCGCACGGATGGGGTGAGTGAACCGGGGTTTGATTATGAGGAATGGAAGAGGGTGAATATGGAGTTTGCGGAAGGGGCGGTACCAAAGTGGGTGGATGAAGTGAGGGAGAGGTTTGGGAAAGGAAAGAAGTTTGCTTGTGTTGGGTAGGTTTGACCTGGCAGCCTCATTGAAGTCAGGAGAGTCTTGATAATGTTTGTAGGTATTGCTTCGGCGCGCCGTTTGTTTGCAACGAGCTTTCGGATGCGGGAATTTGCGATGCAGGAGCGTTTGCGCACCCGGCGTTTCTAAAAGAAAGCCATTTTCGTTGCTTGAGGAAGCCATTGTTCCTGAGTTGTAGTCAGATTGACCATACGTTTGGGACGGAGGACCGGAATCGTGCAGTGGGAATGTTGACGGAGGATGGGAGGGAGTTCCAGGTGCAGTTGTTTGCTAAGGTAAAGCATGGCTTTGCATTGAGAGCGAACCTGGAGAATCCTTACGAGAGTGAGCAGTGGACCCATTTCATAGTTGCTGATGTGCTAATGGCTGACTAGGATATGTAAAAGAGCAGAGTTTGAAGGCAATCGTTGAATATCTAGACTTCTGGTTGACGCAAAAATTGTGATCTGGAAGTCTAGCTGCCGACCTGTAGATGAGGTGCAATACAACATAGTACTTATGTATTAGTGTCCACGTCTGACTCCACCAATACAGATGAAATATTTGGTTTTGTAGGGCTGCTTGGTACTGCGCAACAGTGATTGATGCTCGTGAGATGCTAACAAACGTATCCGTCGATGCATCGGACACTCCACGCACAGAATCCTGCCTAGGTGAGTATGGATCCGTCGCACACCGCCAGATAGGCATTTGATATCTATGCGACATGCGCTTCATCACGGGAAGACATGGGCAACCACACGTGAGCAGGTGTCTGGGTCGTACCTACATGATGTACTCGTGAAAAGATGAGTCAAGTAGTTAGTGAACCCTAAGGTCAAGATCTGTAGTTCTCTTCTAGCGACTTCCCCGCTGCAAAGCTCGTGCGTCTTTAGAGCCCCTCGACTCGGAAGTCAGCCACTCTTTTCGAGAGCGATATCGGGACTGCTTCCCCAGATCATATCGTCAGAAGCATGGTGAGATGAATCCCATCACGCCGACGACTCCCAATCAAGCGCGCAATGGCAATGGGCAATTTGGCCAGCACAATTTGAGCCCAACGAGCCTACGAGCTCAGAACAGCAAGAGGGCTCGCGACAGCGATGACGGCGATGATGGGAATGGAGGCACATCGCCAATTGATTCCGGCGGTAGAGGCTTGAAGCAGCCTGCGATCAAGCGCGCTTGCAATGAGTGCCGCCAGCAGAAGGTAGGTGTATTCTGCCCTCCTCAAGCTTCCATTCTGCTAATGGACAAGTAGTTGCGATGCGATGTTCAACAAGATCCCTTTGTTCCTTGCTCACGATGCCGCAAACACAAGCTCACATGCTTGATTGAGCCCAATTTCAAGCGCGTCGGCAAGCGAAGCAGACATGCTGAAATGGAACGCGAGATAGCAGAGCTCAAACAACAAGTGAGCAGGATGTCGGGACAGCCTATACAGCACTCTTCGGCGTCTACACCGTTCTCAGGCGGCATACCACAAATCGAAACGTATAACAGGTTGCAGAATGAAGACGAGTTTCTAGGTCCACACCAGGCTGTAGCCTCACTGCTTGATCTAAGAGGAGGAAGTCCAAGTGGCGTTAAACTACATGCCCTTGGTGAACTACTTTATGCCCCAGATCGAGTCAATGAGTTGTTCAAAATCTTCTTCGATCAATACCACCCTTATCTACCGTTTCTCGACCCTGACCAGTCACCAGACCAATACCTGAAAGATTCAAGGTTACTTTTCTGGACTATTATTGCCGTCGCTGCGCGCAAGTCAGACCCGCGAGACTACGAGCGAATGAAGAATCCCTTGACAGGATTATTATGGGGGACCATTGCCGAAGTTCCTGGAAATCATCACGTCGTCAAAGCGCTGTGCTTGCACTGCACTTGGCCACTTCCTACCGATCGGACGTCGACTGATATTACCTTTATGTTATGTGGACTCATGATGCAGGTTGCCATGCAAATTGGCCTGCATCAACCGGCGCATGCAGACGACTTCTCCAGATATAGAATTCAGCTCCAGAGAGAAGATATAGATGATCGCACACGAACGTGGGCAGTTTGTAACATTGTCGCCCAGTCGTGCGTAAACTACGCCTGCTTGAAGTGTACCACTGACAATCAACAGCGTATCCACAGGTTACGGGCAGCCTCCAAACACCGAATATGACTCGACCCTAAAATTCATCAAGTATAATCCGAAAGAGCCCCTTACGGCACTCTCACCTCAATTGTTCGCAAGGCTGCGGCTTGAGATGGCCGCTGATAGGATTGTAAGGAATATCTATGCTAATCATGTTCTTGACGAGTCCGGAAATACCTTCTATCATCCGCATAACCAAGACGCACCGTCTTTCGCGAAAATTGAGGTCGAATCACTGTTTCGCGAGACCCTTGATATGGAGCCTCTGTTCACTGGTAAGTTTTCGGTAGTCATGACATGTGCTTCGTATGACTAATTATGTAAAGATATCGAATGGCTTTACCAGAAGGCAGTCCATCTACACCTCCGATTATATTCTTTCTTCGACACAACTTCCGATCCCAGGATAAGGAAGGATCTACTGGAGTTGTATAATGCCGCCACATCATTTATTGACCAGGCGATGCGCCTACATGAAGCGCAACGTCTTCATCACGCTCCAAATATAATTTTTCAGATGCTTTTGGCGGCGGGATTTGCCCTCTTAAAGTTATGCAACTCTGACTATACAGTTCATTACATCAATTGCGATAGTCGCAAGTATTTCAGTAATGCTGTACGTATGGCTCGTTGTTTCTCTACGAAGCAGAACGATCTACCAATGCGTCTCTGCGAAGTTCTCGCACAATTGTGGAAGGAATCTGGCAGCGGGGGCGCGTCCAACCCGTCAAAATCGAACTCACCCATGGCGGCCATACATACTCCTTTCAATCGACAAGGCAGCTTCGACATGTCAGAAGACGCCGTTCGTCTCAAAGTCCGCAGTCGAATGAGCATGAGTGTCGTTTTCGACAGTGTATGGCGCTGGCGCGAGACACACGTGAAAGAGCAACTCGAAACCGCCGTGCAGAACCCAACCAATCCAGACTCAAGTTCCAACTCAACGCCACCGCCAGGTCTTGCGAACACTAGTGGAGCAGATCTCAGTGTTCTGGACGGTAGTCTAGGCATTCCTGCTAGTATTGGTGGCCCAGCTGCTACGGCAGCCTTGAACATGCCTTTAGGCATGGCAAATGGGCTTGCTAATACAGCAGCAAATAGCTACGAGTTCTTTGACCCGGTCAGCTGGGTATTAGATTTCGATCAGGAATGGAATACAGACTACAATGCTGGGTTCCCCAATTTTCCTCAGTAGGCCTCGGCTTGGTCTTTCAGTATATTTTAAGAAGTGATTAGTGGTCGATAAAAGCATAGCATGGCGTTTACATTATGACCTGGGGGAAGGGATGGGCATATCCTTACGGCTCAAGTTTTCGATGCATGGTGTTCATAACGGTATCGGAGGTAGTCTGTTCTGTACACGAGTATGAGACAATAGGAAATATCCCTATTCTAGAATGGCATGACCATGTGTCGGGGCAAATCTGCTCGTCACGCTCCATCAGTGGGAGAATTGAGTTTGGACGTTATTTCAAGGCGCGGGAATATCTGCCACTCCAACTGCCACATACAATGCGAGCTCCTAGGGATCCCATATTTTCCCTATATGATGAACCGTGGTCAAGAAACACCGTCTACCGTACCCCAGCACATCCTCTCTTCCCCTCGCTTTAACGCTTCTTTTGGCTTTCCTTCAACACCTTCTTCACGATCTTCTGCTCCTCAATTAGGAATGCTCGGGTAATGCGGTCCTTGACACAGTTGGCGCAGCGCGAGCCACCGTAGGCACGCTGGACGGTCTTCTTAGGGCGAGAGACGGTGGCGTATTCGCGGGGACGGAGGGCGGGAATCTAATATCTTGCGTCAGATGCTTGTCCTTATATCTACACTGTCCAAGAACTCATGTGCCTATGGAGTATTGAAACAGCAGGGTAACTTACACCCGGGAGCTTGATGCCACAGTCACCGCATTTAGGCGCAGTGCCGCGCTTCTTGATGTGCAGGTATCGTAGTTCACCGCCGGGGGTCTTGATGACGCGAACCTTGTTCGACTTGGTGTTGTATCTATTTCCCAGATGTCATTATACGGGTTCCCTAAGGGTTGCGTTGGTGCTGAGGTCGTAGGGTTCGAGACGGAAAATTGTGCGTGCGTTTAGGCTCAGGGACTTACGGGTTCCTTCGGCGCTGGAAAGGGTCAATGTTAGTGAGTTGACAGTGGCGATGTGATAAGGAGTTACTTACGTAGGTCAGTCTTGTGGAAGGCATCGTGGCGACGTTGGATGCTGTGATGTTAGTAGAGTCGTCGTCGCGAATTCGCTAATGTCGAAATTGTCGAGGTTGAATTGAGCTGTGGGCTCATCGCTAAGCAGCAAAGTCGCCCTAACCCTAAATTCCACTAGCGTGGCCACGGTACCGTAGTTGTGCCGTAACAACCCTAGGTCTTATTCAGGTCTAGCCACATTTGGATGCGGTTCTACAGAAACCGTGAACCGTGTTCGTATATAGTTGCCTCGCGATAGGTAACTAAGGTCCATCTCAGCCTAAGCGATACTGAAGGTCCTCAAAATCTCTCGAGGCGATACAACGATTGCTATTTGTTCATTCCCTTCAAGATCTGTTCGTCACCTTACGCGTATTACCTCAACGTCCACGAACGACCTCCACTCACATTACTATGTCGACCTCAAATTTCTTGGACCAGCAGTTTAATGACTCGGATGATGAAGAAGACTTCAATCCTTCGGCTCATATAGATGAAGATGATGTGCAACCTCCTGCCACCAAAGACCGACGATCTCGACCTCCAGCTGAAGATGAAGATGAACAAGGGTCGCGTCCTACGAAAAGATCGCGGAGTAGGCACCAAAGTGGCGATGAGGACAACGAAGATGAAGCTGGCGGAGACGAAGATGAGGAGGGTGAAGGCGAAGACTTAGGGAACGATGACGATGAGGATGAAGAGGAGGACGATGAAGAAGATGAAGTTCGGGTTTGTGCTGACCACACTACATATATGTCGAATCTATGGCTAACCTTCCCAGGGGCATACACGAAAACGAAGAAAGCGCGACGCAAGACTACAGTTCATAGATGTCGAAGCCGAAGTTGACGAGGAAGACGAGGAAGAAATGGAAGACGAGGAGGGAGACATGCCAGAAGAAGTGCACCCCGATGATCTCCTAGATGTGCGCGACGATAATAGAGACGATCGTCGCCATCGCGAATTGGATAGACAACGTGAGATGGAGGCGAGTATGGATGCTGAGAAACAGGCCGCAGTAAGTATTTTCACCAGACTGGCTTGTACAAATCGTTGACATCGCAACTTCAGGCACTTCGCGAACGATATGGCCGCAGTCGAGCCGCTGCAATAGACTCAGCGGTGGTACCACAAAGACTGCTGCTCCCTTCAGTAGATGATCCGAGCATCTGGGGAGTACGGTGCAAGCCGGGCAAAGAAAAGGAAGTCATATTCTCGATCACGAAAAGACAACAGGAGCAAGCACTGACGCGAGAGCCCCTCCAAATATTCTCTGCTTTCGAGCGAGGCGCAGGAACAATGGCTGGCTACATATACATTGAAGCACGCACCCAAAATGCAGTCTTCACGGCCACCGAGGGCATCGCGTTCTGCTACCCACGCACAAAGATGATCTTGATACCCGTCAATGAGATGCCGGACCTCCTTCGAGTCACTAAGTCGAAGACACTCAACCCAGGAGCCTACGTACGCATGAAGAGGCCTGCAATGTATGCAGGAGATCTTGCACAGGTCGTAGCTGTGGAAGCGAATGGTGTAGATGTCACCGTCAAGCTCATTCCCCGCTTGGATTATGGTCTTAACGAAGATGTCAACGCACCGGCTACTGACAAGAAACGCAAATTCGGAAAGCCTGCGAACATGCCTCGACCTCCACAGCGACTATTCAACGAGACCGAGGCACGGAAAGGAAGAAATGCCAAATTCCTTTCTGTGAACGGTGGGTTGGGAAGGCGAGACTACACGTACAAGGGCGATTCGTATGAGAACGGCTTCTTGATCAAAGACTATCGGATAACATACCTGGAAACAGAGAATGTCAATCCGAAGCTTGATGAAGTCAGCAAGTTTGCCGCTGGCGCGGCTGATGGAACCGAAGAACTTGATTTGACAGCTCTAGCAAATACACTGAAAAACAGCGTAACGGCAGATGCTTTCCTCCCCGGCGATCTCGTCGAGCTTAGTCAAGGAGAACAAGCAGGCGTGGTTGGACGGGCTATTTCTGTCCGTGGAGAAATTGTCACCTTGAAAGTCACCGAAGGGATGTTGGTAGACCAGACTATAGAGGCACCCATCAAGGCTCTCAGAAAGAAGTTTGCTGAGGGTGATTATGTCAAGGTCTTGGCTGGCAAATATCAGGATGAAGTTGGAATGGTTGTCAAGGTTAAGGGCGATCAAGTGACATTCCTAGCAGATTCCAACAACCAAGAGATGCCGGTATTATCGAGGGACCTTCGACTGGCAAGTGCTGCAACCAACTTACCTAGCAGCGGGGTCTACGACCTTTACGATCTTGTTCAGCTGGACGTCTCGACCGTCGCGTGCATCGTTCGCGTCGATCGTGAGTCTCTCAAGGTTCTCGACCAGAATGGCTCTGTCCGAACGATGCTTCCGTCTCAGATCTCAAGTAAGATCGAGAAGCGTGCTAGAGCAGTAGCTACTGATCGTGATGGGTCCGAACTTCGACCCGATGATACTGTCAAAGAATCAGGTATGGAGTCCAAGCAAGGTCGCATCATGCACATCCACAGGAACTTTCTATTCTGTCAGAACAGACAACAGACCGAGAATGCCGGTATTTTCGTGACGCGTAGCACTAATGTCACGACTGTGGCTGCAAAGGGGGGACGCGTTCAGAACGCTGGTCCTGATCTCACCAAGATGAATCCAGCATTGCAACCCCGCAATGGTGCACCGAATGCTGGTGGTGCCATGGCACCTCCCAAAACCTTCGGTAGAGACAAGCTCATTGGGAAGACAGTGCACGTTAAAAAAGGGCCACACAAAGGATTACTGGGCATTGTCAAAGATACGACTGACTTGGAAGCAAGAGTGGAGCTACACACGAAGAGCAAGACGATCACCATGAAAAAAGACATTCTTGCAATCAAAGATCCAATCACCGGTCAATCAGTCGACTTCAACCGCTTTGGGAATACTCGTCCCAAGATCGGCGGTGGTACACCAGGACGCTTTGGACCCAACGCTGCTGGACCGACGCCATCATGGGGAGGCTCGCGCATGGGCGGAGCAACGCCTGCATGGAAGTCCGGTGGTGCTAAGACTCCAGCATGGAGTTCTGCAAAGACGCCCGCATGGCAAGGCGGAAATGACGGAGGCCGGACCGCGTATGGCGGAAACGATGGCAGTCGCACCGCATACGGAGGAAATGATGGTAGCCGTACTGCGTATGGTGGTAATGATGGCAGTAGAACTGCCTATGGAAACGTAAGTGCTCAACGATCCCAACCGTGGTTTTCCGCTAAAATTCAACAGTCAACGTGGTCTGCCTCTGCCAAGACCCCTAACCCTTATGCCACTGACGCTTCATCATCAACATGGGGCTCATCTGCGTCTCGCAATGCGGCCTCGCCGCCGTCCAACACCTACCAGAGCGCCCCAACGCCCGCGGCATATGATGCGCCAACACCAGGCTTTGCTGCACCGACGCCTGGAGACCATGCCACGCCTCGCTACGGTGCTGGCTCTTATGGCAACTACGCCACACCGGCGGGAGCACCAACGCCTGGGGCGTATGCTGCTCCCACGCCTGGTGGCTATGCAGAGACTCCAGGTGGATTTGCTGAGACGCCGGGACAATGGAGCGCACCAACACCAGCGGCAACTGGAGATGATGACCCGAGATACGAATAAGAAGTTGTGTATAAGTTTGGTGCTGTTGTACCTGGATGTCCTTGGTCTGATGGGTAACCTTCTGGGCGTTTCATGGCCTTGGGTTTGGGACGTTGCATTGCATGTATTATCTACACCTCATAATAGATAAAAAATCCAGGTTCACGCGATCAGAGGCGCAATACCAGATCTGTTCTATTATTAAGCACTTTTTGCATCGCCTAGTGGTATCAAACCGTATTGAACTTCCATTCCTCCATACCCACGCCGCATACTAGTACTCTCAGCAATACGCCTTCTTGTTGAAGTTCTCCTGAATCTGGATACACACAGAGACTACTCGCATCCGCCACAGCGCTGGGCACATCTTCAACCAGACATGCATCCAATCTGTCGGTCCCCTTCTTATCTAGATCTACCTTGATGCTCCACATTTTCAACCTCTGGTCATTCGAGACCGTCACAGCGAAGACGCCGGATTGGGAGTCCAGCAATGCACAATCGTTGATCGCAGCAGCATGAGCACGGGGAATAAGGAGTGTTGAGAAAGACGGTATCTCGGTAGTTGCGCTCCAAGAGCACAGGGTCAAGCCTAATGCATTATCATCGCCTGTAGTGACGATGAGCGATGTGCCATCGGTCAAAGCTATGTGCGCGAGCGATTTGATGGTCGATTGGTGAATGCGATGATGAGTAGAATAGACTAGAGCGGGTGGGGCGTCGCTCGGAACGGTATTGCACAGCGTCCAGTATGCAATGTGTCCGTTCGTGCTGGCTGTGACAAAGGTGGTTGGGGACAGAAATGCGATTTTGGTCAGGCATGCCGTGGTGTATGTGCCAGTGCTCTGAAGAGCGAATTTCTTGGACGCTGTAGTTGAGGTGTAGTCGTAGATCTAGAATTCAGATGAGTAAGACGGGTCGTAAGGGGCTGGAGGATTGGCTGGCTTGGGTACTTACTCGGATCGTGGAATCAGAGAACGTCATAGCGATTGTGAACTTGTACGACTCAGCATCCTCGTCACTGTGTCCCTCTAGGATATCGAAGTCCGTGATGCGTAAGTCCGATACATCGCTGATGGTAGGGCATACAGCCTCACAGACGACACCGATGCGTAGAACGTCCACATTGTGGAAGCGCCATACGAAGAACTCTTCACATCCGCCACTACTGAATAGAAAGGAGCCGTCTTTGGACCACTTCAGATTCTGGATGCCAGTAACATGCTTCCGGACCGTGCGAATGCATTTGAAGCCCACCAAGTGTTTTGCTTCGCCTCCCTGCGTCGGTATGAATAGCTTAATGTCGGTGTCTTCTGCACCGGTTGCAATGAGTTTACTAGATCCGTGACTGAAGACATCACAAGCCTTGATTTCTCGTCCATGTCCTCCATGCTGCAATTCTTTGTATGAAGCTCGAGGTTTTGCACATATGCGAAGTTTTGAGGCTTTCGTCCAGATCAATGTTCCACCAGAGTTGGAAGTGTCTATATTTCTCGGCGAATTATAAGCCCATAAGCGATGAGCACCACCACATTCGATAGTGATCAGTTCTTGTTCATCATTCAGAGACTGAGCGGTGAACTTCTTCCCATGAAAGCCATATGCAATCACGTCGCCGGTCGTTTTGTCTAGGCTCAACCCCTCGATGTTTGGTCCAAATGGTAGATTTGACCTATGTACAGTGACGAAAGTCCTGCGGAAGAAATCAATTCGGTGTACACAACATGTACCATCGCGTCCGACTGAAAAGAGGAGATTCCCTTCAGACTCTGAAGCCCATTCCAATGCTGTCACCGATTCATTCCTATGAACATGCCGCATCGTCAGTGTCGCGTGACTTGACTCAAGGTTCAGATCCCATAGCGAAATTGCGCCTTCCCGGCTTCCAAGTATGAATCTTCCATCATTTGAATCCTCTGGGGATTCGTGTACGTACGCGGTCACAGTGAAGCCCTGCTCCAAAGTGATACGATCTGCCTTGGTAACAACTGGGCTCGCATTCGTGCTCGGCACGTCGACAACCAGACGGCGCGCGAATGTGGTGCCAACTGTGGTTATGAGCAGACTAATCTCCCGTGGTGCGGTCTCGACATCAAACGCATTGTCTCGCGCGAATATCGCGGCGACTTTGCCATCTACTCTGACCAACGGTGTCAACAAGGCAGTCTGATTCTGGAAGCAGTAAATCTGTCCACTGCCAGAGGCAATAAAAGCCATCTGTGCCGTGATAGACGAGGTACATAGCGCGAACTTCTCAAGGTCATGTAGTTGCTGAAGTAGACTCCATCTCAGAGACTTACCAGGCTCAATGCTTGCCTTGAGAATATGTCCCTTGCTTGTCGTAGCCAAGACCTCGTTCTCACTGATGAATGAGTACGCCCGGAAGAACGATGCAGGATTATGTTGCTCGGGAGATCTTTGGCGACTCTCGGAACATGAGTTTGCTGCAATTAATGCTTGCGGCACAGTCCACTCTTCGTCGAGAATGGCAGAAGGCTTTACCGACTCGGTAAGCACTTCTTCGACCTCAGATAGCGACTCAGTAGCTTGAAAGGATCTGCTAACAACAGCAGCATCAGCACCCCCGCTAATAACTATGACATTGTTGCTGTCCCTCGAACCAGATATCATTTTAGTCTCCAGGACAGAGATAGACCAGATGTTCTTGCCGCTATGAAGCCTAGAAGTACTAAGATGCTCAAGTACGGCAGCGTATTTGCCTTCTATACTCTTGGCTTCCAGCTGCCATAATTGGCAACTCGCATCTTCCCCTGCCGATATAAGCCGGATCCTACTTTGCGAGTTGGAACTACGGTGGTCGAGGAATCGCACGAGCCAAATTCGCGAAAGATGACCAAAAGCCGTCGCTATGCATCGATTCCGGTCATCAGGAACGGCATTTATGTCCTCAATGTTAGCCCCAAATCCAGTCTCTCTATCGCGCAACGCGTCGAGAGTTCTTGAAGGGTCGTTGGATATTGCCTTGTCCCCAATGCCCGACAAATTCCAGATGCGAATGGTACGGTCATCGCTACAACTCGCCAATAATCTCTGAGGGGATATCTTGGGGTTAAGGCTCAGTTCATGTGATATTTGAACGCCAAATATTGAGCCTTCATGCCCTGTGAACACATGGCATAGCCTGACGGTAACATCTTCGCTACTGATAGACTCCACTGACCATACAATGATCTCGCCAAAAGCTGTGCCCGACGCAACAAGAAAACAGTCGTCACCAGTCCGTAAGATGTGTGCTGCATACAGTATGCAACGCGATCCTGTTGTGATTTGTCGCAAGGGTGTTACCTGATGCTGGCTTGCAGGATTGAAGTTAACGTCCAAGGTGAGCAGAGCATTGTGAGCTGTTAGTAACACAACTTGAGTGGTCCCTTCCGAATGCTCCTTTCCACAAGCTAGAGTAAGGTCTAGTATCCAGTCCGGAGCGGTAGCAGAGGCGACGATCGATATGCTGAGTTCGTCAGGCGCGGTTGCGTTGACTTCATGCTTGAGATGCAACACTCGTATTTCTCGACCTCCCCATACGACTAACACTGCATCTGTCACGTTGATAGTCCTCGTAGCAATGCCATGTATTGCCTGAGCTTCAAAGATCGGATGTACGAGTAAAGGTGACGTATGATGTTCATACTTCCACACGCGCAAATATGGCCCTTCGCCGGCTAGAACTAGATTCCAGCTGGTCGCAAGTGCAGTCACTGGCGCTCGTAAGCTGGCCGGCTAATAAAGTGTTAGAGAATTACACCTCGAAATAATGATTGCGCACCTTGAGACGTGAGGACATCGATACGTGAAAGAAATCCGCCCTTCCTATTTGCGCCTAGTCATAACTAGGTATCTACGGGCTACTAGTAGTGTCAACTAGCTGACATAAGCATTGTTGAGCAAATAAGGTAGATGGCGCGTCGTTGTAATCATGTTCAGTTGGCACAGTGCTGTTACTTTTATTGTTTCGTAGTATACTATAGCATCACATCCGGCTTGATCGTATACAAGTTAATACTTGTATGGCGACTTACTGCGTCACATATTTGTGGCGTGCGTGAAATTGCCCTCAGTATGAGAGCTATCCATCGACGCGACAACGACTTAGATGTTAACTACCGTCCTCTAAGTATGCAAGAAGGCGTAAAATCATCAGCGCACAACTAATCGCAACATAAGGATCAGAGCCTGGTGGTGAATAGGTAATGTGTGCTCTGATAGATTGCAGCAACTGTACAGCAATGTACTGAGTGGAAGCCGACCCCACAGGCTCAATGATATACTTTGAGCACGTTTGAGGTGTTATCCAAGCCGACATGTATCCAATAACTTAGCAAGCTTACGTTCTTCTTAGCCACGAAGAGAAAGGCATATCACAGCATCTTCGTGCTCTATGAATACGTGAGCCAACGGACTTCAATAGATCTCAATCACAAAGGATCATCTATCGTCTGCAACAGCGATTGAGGGACAGCTCTGCTGCAGACGCCCCTATATCTACATGAATTATGGAAGCAAACACAATGATGACGACCATGTCGTCCACATTCTCAACATCCACTCGCGTCACCTTGTTCTTCCCCGGATGGACTACCAACTCGCCAGCTGCATATGTCGGATCTCTGATCTTCTTGATATTCATCGCGATGGCCAACCGTTATCTCGGGGCACTGAAGACCCAGCTCGAGAGATCGTGGGTAGCAGTTCGATCGCCGGACATTAAGAAGCATCACAGGTCGCGAAGCCGACGGGAAGCAAACTATTCCTCCGAGGCCAATGAATCCGAAGCCGAACCACTATCCCCATACCTTGCTACGCATATGCACTCCGATAACGATGATGCTGGCCAAAAGTCAGATGCGAATGATATCGTCGTCGAGCGGGCAGCTTCGCGAAGCGCATATCTACCATCGGGGTGGGTGTCGAATGGTGCATGGTCCCTGAGTAGAGATGGGACACGCGCGCTGTTGGAATTCCTCCGAGCTTTTATTGGCTACATCCTGTATGTCGTCATAGGCCTTCCTTGCGTTGTTTCAATATTCAATGCTGACCGATCTACAGCATGCTCGCAGTGATGACCTTTAACGTAGGCTTCCTGTTTGCCGTCCTTGGTGGTGTGCTATTTGGGGAGCTCATTCTTGGCCGTTATACGACTGGGGTCAGTTCAGGCTGGCAAGAAGGAGCGTGTCATGAATAGCTACCTATAGGCACAATGAAATAGTTGACGACACATACATCTTGGGACTACGTCTAAAGGACAGACCCTCGTAGCATACTAGATGGTGCGACTATCTTGAGCCGGTCCCAGGCCCATGTCATCCATGTATCAGCAAGAATCCCATCCTCGATGCCTACGATCCTTAGCATCAAGCCTACATCAGAAAACCACTGTAACCCCAGCTCTACGTCATACCCATACCCAATTCCCCGACAACCGGACTCACACGCCTCAAAAATCATTTTTCTATCGGCGATGAATTGACGTCACAGCCTTATGCATGACTTAGATCTCCTATTGTATGCCGCATAGGAGATCGGTCCAACCCCCGCTCCTCGCGCATGTACACGATAGCCTTATGACCCGAAAGATTGAGCCTCGCGATGCAGGTGGCAGATGCAGCAAAACTTTCTATGGGCGCGCTGCGCGATGGAGTCATTGTGGGGCTTGGGCTGAACGCGTCTCCACTGCAACGGAAAACGCGTATGCTGGTTTCGTACGCTTGGGACTGCTGTTTGCGGCAATCTACTAATCACTGAGCAGTGTTTTCTGGCGGAAACGATATTACATCTCGGACGTAGAAAGATCACGTTTGCGGTTGCTCGTAACGCGAGGTGTTTTGAAATGGTGACAAGGCACGTTGCACAGGTTTCAAAGATGAAGATCACCATAGTACGGTTGTTCGAAATGGTTTTTGTTTGCATTCGCATGCGACGTTTGTTCTATTCTATTATTGTGGTGATACATTCGTAATCTCTCGTAAATTCAGATCGGTAGCCCGATCGCTGTGGTGATGCCCGACGTCATCAACAGTTCTCATTTCCCAAACGCCTCGCTTTCCAAAGTCTATATTCAAATTTTACAGTAGTACAATAAAAGTAAAAAAATGCTTTTGCAAGTCCGAGCTTTCCGCTAATTCTGTGCACCCCGAGAACACCTAATCTGAGAGAAAAATAAAATATTGTGACATGTTTGATGAAGACAAGGAAGACCCTTGAGGTGGAAAGAGCCCCCGTATATAGCTAGTACAGAGTGGGAACAAATGAAATTGATCGTGGAGGCGTATATGGAAGGCATAGAGTAGATAGCGCTAAAACACTGTGTGAAGATGCGACGTCCATGAATCTGGACGTAGAAGGAGTCGAAGAGGCGAGATTGTCGAAGTGAAGGAGATAAAGGCGAAATGGTCTAATATTCCTTTTGCTCGCGAGGTGTTGAAGGTGCTGACATGTCTGCATCGAGCCAGTCTTGAAGCCTATTCAGGTTAGCGTGTTGTTAAGCAATGTGCAATTCATATGGACTTACTCGGCGAGATCATCGTCTGAATATTCATCGTCCGAATATTCATCGTAAGATTCTTCTTTATGTGTGTTGAGAAGGATTATGTCATCTTCCATCTCAGCTTTCAATGCTTGTCCGATCACTTGTTCGTAGATATCGTCCTGGATGTCGGTACCGTAGGCGAGAGCGTAGTAATGCATTGTGAGGATGTGGCTGGAGGCGAATGCGATATGGCAGATAGTTGAGGAGTAATGTTATGTATGACGGACTGGATCTGAAGCGGGAGGTTGACAGTAGTTGAATGTTCTGGTTGGTCTTGGAGAGAGGAGTCTTGGTTTCGAGTTGTATATACAGACACCAAGAAGAGGCAGAGGGAACTTAATATAACAGCCAGCGTATGCAGCTTCCTGGGCCATGCATCAGCCTCAATAAAAGCAAGGCGTTTAACAAACAGCGGCCAGACCTATGACGAGGGCAACACGCGGCGTGTACCTGCGTGTGCATCTGCGAGCTGTGTGGATCCAAGACCTTAGCATGGAATGTGTGTCAACGGGTGATGTGCAGGCTAGTCACTCACTGTGGGCCCGCCGTAAAAGCCCTTAATCACTCTATCGTCTGCATGTGTGAGTTGGCGCCTCGCGCAACGTAAGCTCGATATAATTATCTGCCTACGCCTGTCAGTTTTGCCGTTTCAAACAGGCCGGCCCAGCCTGCCCCAGCCCGACTGGCTGCAGACGCCGCATGCGGACGTCAAAGTGCCCTGGCCTGGCCCCGAGCTGCATCCACCAGGGGGGGTGTGCGTTTCATGTTTGGGCCAGCGTGTCGGAGCCCCAGGGCCATGGATGGGCTTTTTGTTCTTGGGGCGTTTGCTGAATTGCAAATGCGAGGCTTGCTGTAGCCTGTAGTGGGCATTTGGGGGATTCTCCTCACGTGAGCCTGGCCAGAAATGGCCACGTCGCTAACACTCGGACGTTTCTATGCTGCCTTGTCCTTGTATGATTGCAATCAATCGTCTGTGCCATCGTCTGTGCCATCGTCTGTGCCATCCTCTACTTCCATTTGATTCGGACGAACATTGGACACCAAACTGTCAGCTCTGGCTGGGAGAAGAAGAAGCAACATACACCAGTCGGCGATTGATCGCCGGCCAGCCTTGCGACGACGACTCAGCCTCGTGACCAAAATACCAACGACTCCGCGTTTCTCGACCCCAACACGAATTCACACTGCAAATCCTGTTTGTGCCTCGTTTCGGGACGCCATGCCATGGTGATTCATATTCAGCTCTCTTCCGAAGTCTCGAGACTTGTCCCTCGAAATACGCGCTTGTTGGCCTAATCCTTCAGGATTATCTCTTACGGTAGACGTTACAATTCCTCTCATGATGTTAGTGGTGATCCATCATGAAATGATATTCGTAGACATCGTATAAGCAGTCTAGATTCATCGTAGAGCCTCTCGTAGCTTGTCGGCGCTGCTCGAAGCCCAGAATCATCGCCAGACAGGTCGCGATGATATTATCTCCGGCGGACTGCGGGATGTCCGAATAGCCTCATCGACGACTCTCAGAGTGCTGGCCAAGCTGCAGTAGCGTCTCTCCGCGCCTGTACCTTGCACCACATCTACGCGAAGCCGAAAAAGCTCGCTCAAAGGGATTCAACGCTCTAGATCGGGCAGGAAAATTTCCGTACTTGGACGCGCAGGAACTCTTCTCATTCGTCGGAACTGCTGACACCCGTTCAGAACTCTGTCACGATTCGGATTCTGCCCAAATAATTTCCTATGATCTGGCTTCCAAGCCGTCGCGGGCCGCGGCCGTTCGAACCTTTCCCACCCACTTCAACTACTTGACGATAGACAAAACACAAAAGACCATTTAGAACGTGCAGCAGGGGTGGCGTTTGCATGTTGAAGATCAAGAAGTTTTCGTCCGTCAGATCCGAACCAAATGCGTACATAGCCGCGAACTTGTGCTCATAATGTCTTCCCGATCCTGAGAGCATGTGGAGCACCATCCGGATCTATACTCACGCCACAGCTGGAAACGATAACGATATTGATGACCTGGAATACTTGTTACTTACAGGCAGGGTCTGTTAAAAGCTTCGCCGATCATGGTTCGCCACGTCCATACATTATATCAGGAGAAGTGAGCGGCAAGGAGTAAGTAAGTATTGTTCATACATGTTCTTTTGTTAGAATATATCCAAGCTTTTGTTTGCTGTAGCATAGCGTGCATGAATAGCGATCTCATATGTTTCTTTCCATTACTCTCACGTAACTCCTCTTTATTGCTGTTACTACTGTTATCTTCTGGCATTGTTCCAAATCGCAAAAGCAGGACGCCCCTTCGTGTTATTCGTATCCGATGTGGATCCTTCGAAGCTGTTCGGAAAGGTTTCTTCCGATCTCTTAACACGACGCCACAGTCTCCTGGAGTGCTGGAACGCCTCAAGATAAGTTTCTCAATTCTCGCGATCACCATGGAGTTAGACGGATGTGTTTGTACATTGTGCATCTCTCGTACGGCATGTTCCGCAACAAACAGCGATATGGTGGTTGGCAACCTGGAAAAGGCCTGTAAGTACTCTGAAATATGCTTATATCTACTAGGCATGGAGTATGGATATCTATCAAAAACACTCTATCCACTCAGAATGCCGAGTTAATCAAATTCATGTTCGACTGAACACCGACTTCTAGTTTTTTTGGTGTAGTCCGATGCATAGCCACGAAAAAAATTGCCGTCCGGGACGTACGCCTGCCTGAAAAGTCCGATATGCCTCATGCTGTTGGGAACGTCTAGGACGGGAAACACTGATGGGTCTGACAGGAATCGGAGTGGCCTGTGTTGCGCAGACCCACATTCGAATCTATCTCTTCCTAGACCTGTTGGTCCTGGTTGCGCTAGACATGACATACCGAAGTGCACCATATGAATATGGTGGCTAAGAACACTAAGTCGTTAGCTCTAACGTACGCTTCAGGAATCGTCATCATATATCGAATCTTCTTGGTCCATGCTCTATTTGGATGATCTCAGACTCAAGTTTACTCAACTTTCCACATATATGCTACCTATCTGATGCGTAGCGACTGACAAGATCTGAGAGGGGTACTGAAGGACATAACGTCAATACTATGTTTGAAGGTGCCTCCATCTCATCAGGTTAGATACGACATTATTACTCATCAAATACTATGAGAAGGCTCTACAAAGTCGTATATTGATATGAGTCAAGAGGAGCGCTGACGATTCTGTCTCTTGCCTGGATAGTGAGCAATGCTGCAACCATAGCAGGATTTGTCACATCCAACTTTGTGCAGTCAGTAGGTAAACGTCAATCTGCAGGTGGGAGGTGAAGAATCATTGGCTTTTCCGGTACAACGTAGGGACGGAGTGGCGGTCGACGAAGCAACTTGTAAGTCTCAAGTACAAATTTCCGTCAATTTCAGGGTGGAGACACGTATTTTCACACCATATCTTCGTCGCTCTCTGTTCCACGCATTTTCGAGAACATCAACCGAATCTGAAATGAAGAAACATTATTGTAGTACACTATTAAGGTACCCAGCCATACATATGAACATACTTTGAAAACCAAAGCCATAAGACATCGCTCTAAGGACGAAGCGCGGGACCAAGTCAGAGAACGAAATTTGTAGATACGGCTTGAACCCTCCAGATAATATCACTGCGTCTTAGTGCCATAACATATGGGCTCCTGGTGAACTATACCACAGAACCACCAGATCACCCCTGTGAAAACTGTCGTAAGGTAAATCATAATCGAAAAGCTGAAAGGAACTGCCAGTTATAAAGGAGACCATACCACCAAAGATCATGGCTCTAGAGAACCCGGTATCTTAGTGCAGTTTGATGGGGTCGCAGTCTACATATGAGAAGGAGGTGCCCCAACGTGAGCGATTGTTGGTTCGATTTGAGGCCGCCATATGTTGCCAAATTCCAGGCCTCAATGCCCCTTTAGCACTAATCTAACTCGTGAGTCTTTGTCACGAAATCACAATCTGCGCTGTGAGAAATTTTGCTTACATAGGCTTCGATCTTGACAATTCCTTCCATAATGCATCACAGTCTACGCAGCATGAGACAGTACTTGGGTATGTCTCTTTTTAGTCAGAGAGTCCAGCATTGCTGAACTTGATGCAGTGCTTGAATTCGATTTGAATGTATGTAGAAGTTTGGGGATCTTCAAAATGCAACATTTATGGTCATTATTCTGGGTGTATGCATCGTTACAGCAGAGTGTTGTGATTTGGCATTGTAAACAAATTAGAACACCCACAGTTCCGTAATTGACTTCTCTCTTCATGCTATCTCTCTACGCGTCCATATACACGTCCTCTAGTCATCTCCTTCGCCACCATCTTCCGAGATTTTCCATTCTTTTGCCCTCACACCTGAACGTACTCTAAATTGTGTGTATCCTCACACCCAAGCATTCAATCTTGAAACCCACTCCTCAATGCCGCCTCCTCGACCCAAAACTGCACGATCTTGTGTATACAAATATCTACTTTATGGCCTGATCCTTCCGCACATACTCTCCTTCATATCAACAGCGCTCCTTGTCTGGGGCCCTCTATCATCCCCCGGTGCGTCACACGTGCTTATATTCCGCGGTATATACACAATCGCTACCCATGTGTACTCCATTACCTTGGTCCTATATGCGTACAAATCCGAACACGGAAGTGGTGCCGGTACCAAGGAGATCTGTCCGTGGTGCCAGAAACAGAAAAGGTGGACGATCCACGACCTGAAAGAAGAAGATGAGGATCGTAAGGATGATGATGACGGGGACTTTGTTGGTTGTAGCGATTCAATGGACGAGATGCAGGAGAGATATGATGCGCTTGAGGCAAGATATGAGAGGTGTCGTCAGATGCTGGTCGATGCACAGAAGTTGAATGATAGATACAGGATGGCTGGATTCAGGCCAGGCGTGATTGGGTAACTGTATTAGAGGTTTTGAAAGGGTACAAGCTGGTTTACCTTCGACGTGGGCTCTGGGGATTGGTGAAGGGGTATGGATGTGTTCGTTGTGTGGTATCGAGGGGATCGGTGCATGTATTTCATGATTCATGTGCTACTGAGAGGGGGAGCACCGAACGGTGTGCTCTTGGTGGAATTGTTTGAGAGATATTTAGAGCTCTACGATACATTTTCATTGAGAAAGATTCCTGCCTAAGCTGTGTAGAATCATGAAAACCATGGATGTTGCATCTACTCCGGCGTGTGAACTGAGTCACTTCATAGGTCGGATAGTTATAAAGTGACTCCCAATGACAGTAAAACACTTGGCTCCATAGTAGATAGTATAGGAACGTCTTTTCTATTCCTAATGTGGGTAACGCATGCTACATGCACAAGATATCTGGCAGCGCAGTCAAATCGGGTCCATTCGCCCGGTTGGTGCTAGCCATCAGTGCAACGAAATCTCACCATAGCCTCTAGTGCTTTACATTCCATCTCGTTCCATCCCAATCCATCTCAAACTTCATCCTCATCATCTCCATTATCAGCACTCTCCTCGTTCATGGGAATCCTCTTTCCCTTACCTCTGGTTCTCTTGGCTGGAACATCCTCGTCTTCGTCGACATAAGCCTTGCGCTTCCTACCCTTAATAGCCTTGACAGTGGGTACAGACTCATTCAGATCGTTGTCTTCATCTTTATCGTGATTACCAGCAGTCGCCTTCACCTTATTTACAGGCTTGGCAGCCTTGCTGGTGGGCTCGGTCACGGGTTTGCCATCTGCGGTATCCATAGCGCGGATGTTTTTCTTTGCGACACGCAACATCTCAGCGGTAGACTTGAGGGTATAACCGGAAAGCTGAGAGAGCTTAGCAGTATCGATCTAGAGTTGGAGAGTTAGCTCTAGGTCTGCGCAATGATGTAGTAAAGAAAGTATCAGTATATTTCTGTAAGCGCGTGCTTACGGGAGATCAGTGGGAGAAGATTCACCTTGGGTTCAGTATCCATGCAAAGCCAAGCGAGGGCGAGCATGCGAGCAGAGTGCTCGGGCATACCAGAGAGGTCGACCTTTGGAGGCATATTGACGTGGTTTGAGTGTTTGGAGGATTTGGTTCTTTTGCTGGGTGGACCAGGGATGTGAACTATTGACATGAAATGTGAGCGATGAACACAAGATCTTTCGATCAAAAACAGAAAGTCAGAAATAGGTTAGGTTTAGAATAATGTACTCACGTTATCAGAGTTGAAAGGTTGTTGTGGGTGAGGTGAGGCAGCTTTCACAATGTTGTTGCAATCAGAAAAAAATGTGGAGAAAGAGGCGGCTTAAATATTTATTTGAGAAAAGGGCGCACCAATCACAACAGGTGAACTCGCAGGCTGTCAGCCATAAGTGACTCAAGGCGAGCAGTAGCAGGATTTTGTGCCAGTTCCGGCAGTGTTGCATTCATCTACTACTATGCGAATGCATCGATACTTAGAGCAGCTAGATACCATGACTGCCCCGTAGAGTCCCCAAACCCAATGCGTTGATCATCTCCAGCCCCCAGATGTTCACAACATCTACTATGAAGATACGATGAAATGGATGTATGCTTGCCAGAAAGGAGGCAAAGAGATTTCCATTCACCCCTGAACCTAATCATGAATAGTGCTGCCTCCACGCATACCTGCACACAATGAGTTTAAGCTTCGATCTCTCCTTCTGTATGCGTCTCAATAGCTTCCTCCTCTTCACTGTGCTCGGCTCTGACCACTGGCGCAGTTTTTTTGGCGCTTTTGATGACCCTTGTCTTTTTCGGGGGAGCGGGTGTGTCATTGTCGACATCCTCGTCCTCCACATCAGCTGCCTTACGCTTTCGGCCGCTTGCTGAGGCCTTCTTGGAGTCAGGGGCAGTAGCTGTACTTGCATCTGGGCCTTGAAGTTTCTTGATCTTTTTCTTGATGACTGGGACGTAGGTCATCACTGAAGATCTGGTGTAGCCGCTCAGGTCAGCAAGTTTGTCGTAATCGATCTGTGATATGTTAGACAAGTGCTTCAGAGGGATTGTGAAAGGTAATTGCTTGTGATCTTTGGAGAAGGTGAGGTTTTGATACGTACTTTTGGATCTGGGACATCAGTACAGAGCCACATCAGGGCCAGTAGCTTCATCTCCTTCTCAGTCAAGCTCGTAGCGGAGCCGGTCTTCGAATCAGACTTGGGTGCCATATTGCTGTCCTTCTTGACGGTTGAAGTTCGTGTTTTGCCTCGGGTCTGTATAGTTCAGTGAATGAAAGACTTGACAGTGATGTACGGACCAGGAACTGATTTGGAATCCTAGATATATTTAGGCGCAGGGAAGAAAGAAAGATCGAAACAGGTGTGGGCAACGATCAATTGTCGTTGTTGTTGTTGCCGGAAACCGGGTCAGGGTTTGTCTCAACAGTGAAACTGTGTCACCATGGAAACAGTTGCGTGAACGGCAGTCAACAAAAATTCGTGCACAGACTACGATAAAGAAGCTTATAAAAGACCATTGATTGTATTTTGACTGTCAGTACCAGATCTAGGCTTGTATCCAAGGTATTGATGCCACGGGTCTTCTTGTTTATGTGAAGCGGTGCGTGTCGATCACGAAAAGCTCCGCCTAGGAGACACTTGAACTCAATAGCGCCGCTATGAGAAGGTCAATACGTATCAGAGCTTGGGCAATGTTCAGTCCATCTAAGCTTCTCCACTTGCTTCTCCACCAAGTTCCGGCGAGTCAGTAGCAGGGGTTTTCTTCCTTCCGCGAACTTTGCTCTTTGCTTTCTTGGTAGGCGGACCCTCTTTGTCTTCCTCCGATGCTTCGTCATGTTTGATTTCAGCATCTTTGCGCTTCTTGCTACCTCCTATGACCTTGGCTTTAGGATCACTTTTAGCCTTGCGAGAGGCATCGTCACCGGCGCCACCTTCGACGCTGGCACGAATCGTCTTGCGAATGGTTGCTACCCACTTGCGAACTGAGTTATAAGCGAGTCCATGGTCATTTGCAATCTTATGACTATCCACCTATCCTAATCTTAGCTTTCCATAATAGAAGTCAATGAATATGACTTGAGACTCACGATAGAAGCGTTGGGGTCAGGGTCAACTTGAGCCCACATGAAGACAAGGATCTTCATCTGATTCTCAGTAAGCACCGTGGGAATAGCTTCAGGATCAACCTTTGGAGCCATGTCTTAATGTATGATCAGATATGACTAGATTACAGGCCTAATTAGTACAATTGGTAAGAAAGTAAGGAGACAAGCGCTACCTTAGGAAGAGTTGAAAAGGGTGATATATTTGCTGTGTGAGAGGTAAGCAGGGAAATTTTAGTTGACACGTAAAGTGCGAAGTGTGGAGGCAGCGCTAATCTATGGTTTACTCGTGTAAGTAGTGCATTCAAATGAGCTAGTGAGTTTATCACACCAGTGAACGAGCATACATGGATCCTTGATACATAGTGTCGTAAAGACGTAAATATGTTATTTGTGCTACTTCATTTGACACATTGACACAATCGAATTCCTTGACGGCATATCTGCGTTTAGAAACTGTATGTAGGTGAAGTCCTAGAATCTAAAACAATTCACCGATCCCTCTGACCTCTAACGAACTGGATAAGAGTGAAGCTTTCGTGGAACACCGTAACTTTTCAGACCACCATGTACACCAAAAACAGTATCGACTAGCCCAAAGAAAGCATGTGCGTGTCAGAATCAGTCATTGATATTGTTCTCCTCGCCATCAGCCTCCACAGCCTCCACAGCCTCCACAGCCTCTGCGTCTTTGTCGTCATCCGAGCTTTGGGCTTTGACTGGGGTCTTCGGCTTCGCACGAGACTTTTTGGTTGGGCTCGCCTTGACGTCCTCACCTTTGGTCTTACGCTTGCGAGGTGTTGTCTTTGGGGTCACAGGGACTGGGGCACCATCATCATCACCATCGTTGTCGTTATTAGTGATGCCCATATTGCCCTCATCATTGCCCTCAGTTTCGTCAGTCTCAGCCAAAGCCTTTAGCTTACGCTGCAGAGCATTCCATGTTGTCTTCGCAGTGCCCTCTGTGTAACCCATGAGTTTTGCGAGCTTCACATTGTTGACCTAGCCATGATCAGCCATAGTCATTGGACGAATTCTCAGCGACAGCATACCTTAGGCTTCTCGTCAAAGCATTGCCACGAGAATGCCAGCATAGTCATTTCCTTCTCCGAAAAGGTGGATGATTTGGTAGCTTCAGGTTTGGAGGCCTTTGGCGGCATGTTGAGTGATTGCTTCTAACCTTACGGAGAAATTTGAAGTGGGAGATGTTGGTAGACGAAGGGAAGGGCGAGCTGTTGTAAGGATTGTGGAATGTAAGGGGAATGCGAGAGTTCGTCAAATTTATAAGAAAGCCGAGCCGAGGGCAGAGATATCAGACCATTCTGCCGGAAAAGTGATTACAGCTCTCAGTGACATGACCTCAGCCGGCAAGGTGATTATGCCGCGAATTGTCCCTAATACAGGCAAAGTTCACCGTTTCCCACGGAATGGCTCAAGGCAATAAAAGACAATGGTTCAAAAAGGCAGTTCATGACTAAGAAGTGAGCTTGCGGGGTCATCGCCTCAATAACACCTATCATTCTATTTAAGTCCACATTTGAATAACACCAATACTTCTTCGGATTGACATGAGCGAGCTCGCAATGCGAGTCACGATTCATGCCACATATAAGCCGCAAAGTAATCCATATCCCACTTCATTCTCAAGACCTTCGGAGCGTGGTGTGATCATGCGAACATGCTGATCTAGTGACTTTCGTCCTTGACTTCGGGCTCCGGGCTCTCCTCCTCAGGGTCAACCTTTGCAGGAGCCTTCACGTTGCGAACTTTCTTCGTTGGCGACTCCTCGCCCTCGTTCTCCTTAGGCTTGCGCTTTCGACCGCCTGACTTTGGTGTAGATGGAGGAGCTGCGGTGATATCGCTGTTTGAATCTCCTAAAGCTTTGATCTTACGCTTAAGCTTGCCAAAGGTGACCGAACAGGATCCGGCGGTATATCCGCAAATCTTCGCGAGCTTGTCCATATCGATCTTGAACACGGGTCAGAAGTATTCAAGATATCAACTCGCCTCGGACAATTCCGCGTACCTTCGGCTGCTCCGACATGCACTGCCATGCGGAGGCCAGCATAAACATTTCCTTCTCAGTAAAGGTAACGGCAGTATCACTTGTAGTGGTGTCGACGACTTTTGGAGCCATGATCAAGTCTTCGAAGTGAGACTTTGGTAGTAGGTTGTTAGTGTTGCTTTCTTCTTGACCAAATGATTATTGGATCAGTATTTGGACTTACTAGTCCGTGGATTCTGTGACTTATGCAATTTCCAATACGAGATGTATGTGGAAGAAGTCAGGTCGAAATTGTCGGGTATAAGCGCTTTAAGGTTTGGTTGGGTAAGCTAAATAAGGCCTCACAAGTGAATTGGGAACCATTCAGAAGGGATCCACACACAAGTGAACATGCTCCGGGTGCTACACAGCACTGTGTAACTGCGAGCATGGATCCACAACGAGTATGAAACAAATGTTTCTTTTGCTTACCACAGGATGTGGAACTTGACAGATGTTTACTTCTTTTTGATTCACTTTTATATCATACGGACTTCTTGACCTTTCATCTCTGGTCTCTCCAGCTCCCACTCGTCTCGCAATACAGCATAGATGGAGTCAACGACAACGACTGACAAGCCAAGACTCCATACCAAAGTGATTGCATAGAAAAAGTTTGCGTTTCCAGAGCCCGCATAGATCCATAGATGATAGAAAGCTGGCCCGAGGAAGGAAGTATATATGATCGCAGCTGATGATAGGAATGTGTACCGCATGACTGTGAGAAGTTTAGCATTTCTACGATTCGGACTCGGGGAGATTGGACCTACGAGGAAACACGTGACGATACAGAGGAACCAGAGCAAGGTATAGGGCACTGTCGGCAATACTTGGATACGGTTGAAAGACTGCAAAGATACCAGTCATCGTCACAGCAACGAAGAGAGGCTGCCTGCGAATACGTATACTTAGACCGCCCACATAGGATGCCATGTGCAACCAGAAAACCCCGAGGAAGAATCCGCGGAAGGAATCGAACATTTCTATGAAGAAGTACCACCAAAGACCGACATTCGGAGTAAGGTCCGGCAATAGGAGACGAACGCCATATGTCGCTACCAGGAATTCCCAGGACCCTGTAAGCAGATACGAGACGAGTAATAAGCCCCCTATCGTAGCACAGACCGCTAGACTGTAGCGGACACTGAAAGCAATAGGGCTTATAGATCTCTTAGTCCTCTTCGAATGGACATCATATACGAGCATCGCAAGTGGTGGGAAGAGTAATATTGGATGGAGCGAAATATACGAAGCAAAGGACAAGGCGAGTATAAAGGTGGCACTTGCGCCCCTAGCGGCCTCAGCAATGGCTGTAAGCATGAAGAGGTTAGCGAAAACGGTTGTTGGTCGTGCTATGCATGAGATGAGCGTGAATGGACTAAACAAGTAACTATACACACGAGTTAGCAGTAGCAGGCGTGTTTTACACATGGGTGCGACTCACCCAGCCCCGATCGAGATGCTGCTCCATCGAAGTTCACTTCTGGGGGAAACGTATAATCGGGAAGATGTAGACTCGCCGGTCTCAGCAAGCTTCATAATCATATGACCACCCATGAGGTCCACTATGATGTACATCAAGTTTGTAAAGAATGGATACGTGGTTGCATTCGGTAACAGATTGAAAATTGGAAGTAGTAGTGGCGCTTGGTGGTATACGCCGCCGTCGTATGGAGACACATTGTGATTGTATAGGAAGAGGCCCTCCTGTACTGTGGAACTATTAGCAGATATATGAGTATGCTCAATTATGGCATACATCGCTTGAAACTTGACACCGGTGTGGAAACTTCGACGCGTCCAGTCAAGATGTCGGGTAGCGCTGGGAAAGCCGTGAAGAGGAGCAAACGAACAGCTGCAGCAGCTCCAAATAGCACCAGCTTTTGCCGTTGGACACTCATATTTTCCTGTCACTAACCTGACTGTCGCTGCATCGCGGGCTGAACAATTGAGCTTTACATGCGCCGTCGTCAACCCCCAACCTTACTTAGTAGGAAGCAGACTGACGCACGGACTCCTTGCGGAGGTCGTTCCTTCCCCGCCCGCAGTATATCCGATGCCGAACTTTTTTTTGGTTGTTCAAAACCTTTGGGTTGTCGCATTGAGATATATGAATGAGACGTCGCCATCAAGATGGGAGCCAGACTTAAGAAAAAGGGTAAAACACACATGCCATATTGTTCTTGTTCCCTAGGCTAATTGGTGAGCATAGGAACCACTGGTGCTGCCACCAACTACATTACGAGAACAAGAGCTGTGCGCAAACTTCAGATTTCGCTTCCTGACTTCCGACGACTATGTATCTTCAAAGGTATATCACTCTATCAGGGACTAGATGTTTGATATCTGACTGCTCACAGGTATATATCCGCGTGAACCAAGGAATAAGAAGAAAGTTACCAAAGGCGCAACTCCGGCAACAACGTTCTACTACACCAAGGACATACAATATCTACTTCACGAACCCTTGATTGCAAAATTCCGCGAACATAAAGCTCTCGGGAAGAAGATCTCGCGCGCGCTGGGAAGAGGGGAAGCTGGAGATGCTGCGCGTCTAGAGAAAACCTTGAAACCCAAGATCGCCTTAGATCACATTATCAAAGAACGATACCCGACCTTCGTAGACGCTCTGAGGGATCTTGACGATGCTCTATCCATGCTGTTTCTCTTTGCAAATCTCCCTTCACATACCCACATTCCTTCGAAGACTATCGAGCTCTGCCAGAGACTATGTCTAGAGTTTGAACACTACCTCATTGTGTCCCACTCGCTCCGAAAATCTTTTCTGTCGATAAAAGGCATCTATTACCAAGCTACCATACAAGGACAAGACATAATGTGGCTTGTTCCATATAAATTTGTTCAGAACGTAAGCGGCGACATTGACTTCCGGATCATGGGGACTTTCATCGAATTCTACACGACGCTGCTCGGTTTTGTAAACTACCGGCTGTACACCTCGATCGGGCTTGTATACCCTCCAAAGTTCAATGCAGCGAGTGATGAAGCAGGTGGAGAGCTTGGTGCTTTCACTCTTGAGGGTAGAGCTGTGGTTACCCAGGAGCTCAATGGTCAGGGTCGTATTGAGAATGGCGCAGTCAATGAGGAAGCTACCGCCGCTGCTCAGGCCCAGGCCGACAAGATCGCTGCCCAGCAATCCGCCGATATCGCACTACCGACTGATGAGGCCCAAACCGATATGGTTGAGGAAGTCACTGATGGCATTGACACTTTCGAGACAACTGGCGCAGATGCCGACATCCTTCCCCAGCCGCAAGCTAGCAGCTCCGAAATTGCCTCACTCTTTGCTGACTACACATTTTACCTCTCTCGCGAGACTCCACGCCAGCCATTGGAGTTTATCTTGAAAGCATTTGGCTGTAAGCGCGTTGGTTGGGACAGCATTCTCGGCGACGGCGCATATGTCACTGACGAGTCTGACCCGTTGATCACCCACCAAATAGTTGACCGTCCCCAGATCGCATCAGAGGCTACTCAGAGCAATAATGGCGAAGGGGTTGAAGCACCCGTGACGAAGCTTTTGTGGCCCCGTGCAATGGTGCCTGGCCGTACATATGTCCAGCCGCAATGGGTATGGGATTGTATCAATCAAGCAAAACTCCTTCGTCCCGACATCTATTCCCCAGGCGCGCAGCTACCGCCACATCTGAGTCCATGGGTCAAGCCAAAGAAGGGCGCTTATGATCCAACGGTTCCACTTGAGGAGCAAGAGCGGGTCGGCGAGGCAGATGAGTATGACGATGACGCGGATGTACCAGCTCCCATAGAAGGGGCCGCCGACCAGTCTCAGGAGAGCGATGAGGACGTGATCGAAGGAGAGTCCGACGAAGACGATGTTGACATGGATGTCGCATCAGATAACTCCGACTCCGACTCAGAGGATGCATTCGCAGCAGCAGCCGATGCTGCTGCAGAGTCCGATTTCGAAGGCTTTGAGGACGAAGAGTCCGAAGACGAAGCCACCAAAGCCCAGATTCAGCATCAGCGCGAGCTTGAAGCCGAAGCTGCCGGTCTTCCTGCTCCGGCGGCTCCCACTCCACTTTCAAAAGCGGAAGCTGCAAGAAAGAAGCACGCAAAGAAACAGCGTGAAGAGCAGGAGGAGGAACAGCGCAACAAGATGATGATGAGCCGCAAGAAGCGCAAGACATACGAGAGGATGCAGTACGGCAACGAGAAGCGGAGTCAAGAAGCAGAGAAGATCAGAGCGAAGAAGCGGAAACTGGAGAAGGGAAAGCAGACGAGCTAGAAAAATACCAACTCGAGCGTATTGCGGACTTGTGGTAATAGGAAGTTTTGATGTTGCATGTGGCGGAGTTGGGGGAGTATATGTGTTATGCGTGTTAAAGTACAATATAGTACAGATAAGATGCTCCTCGAGCAGGATTCTTGACACTCGCCATGCAATGCTATTCAACCCGCGCACACTCTTGATACATATATTACATTTCCGAGGAGTTTGCTCAATGAACGCCACTAAACCCTGACAGTCCATCTGGCGGCGCATCACTGAACCTTTTTTGAGCGGTCGGCTTCGATCCATCGCGTGCCTTAGCAATTTCAAGCGCTTCACCAGCTGTCATCCCCGGCTTCCAGCTACTGCGCGGCAGACTCTGCAGCAGCTTGATAGCCTCGACATTTTCATCGTATTCTTCCTCTCCAGGTCTTGCCAATTGTGCCTTTGGCTTCCCGTCTTTATCCACCGGGAACGTCATGCCCTCTTGCTCCCATACCTCATCATCGACAACCTCAATAACCTTGAGATTCCATTTCCCGGCTCTGATCATCAGCGTATTGTCGCGAATGTACTGCACCGCGTCGCCGATCTTGGTCGCTGTGATCGGGTTCCAGACAACGCGATCTTTAGTCTCAATGTTGCCGCCGTGCGCGCCATGCACGTATGCGCCTTTGTTTTGTAACAGCTTTGTGGCTTCAGTGCGCGAACCCGCCAGGCCGCTAGTGTACAAGATGACGGGCCAGGATTTCCGCGCGAAAAATGCGCGCGGGAGCTTGATCGCAGTATCAACGTTCTTATTGAAAACGTTCATCTGGGGTGCATATTTGTTGAGCTCGGGCAATGTGTACTGAGCGAATTGCTTGCGCGCATCTTTATCAGGGACCTGGACCGGGGCGGCGTAGTCTGGGAGAGGCGGCGGGGGTTTCGCGGTTTGATTTGGACTTTTGATGTTTATGAGGTCTTTGAAGTACTCATATACGTTGACGCTGTTTGGGTAAAGTTGAGTGGTCTGTATCCGGGCTTCTTCAGCTATATGCCAGCCGTGAACGAGTTCGACGAATTCATGGGCGAGAAAGTTTTGGGCGAGACGCTTGCTGGCATCTTTGTTATGCTCTTCCATGATGACCCCAATGTCCTTGACTGGGATGAATGTGAACCATTTGAGGTATTGCTCGACCTCGCTGTCGGGAAGGCGGACGAAGTATTGGTATAACTCGTATGGTGTGGTCAGATTCGGATCCAACCACACAGCGTTTCCAGCGCTTTTGCCCAACTTCTGACCGGACGGGGTTGTCAATAGGGGAGTCGTAATCGCAAACAGGCTAAAGTCGCCCTCGGCCAGGTCTGGTTGCTTAATTCGTTCGGAATCATGCGACACATTTGCCTGCATGTAACTCACAGCTTCAATGCCCGACAGAAGATTGCCATATTGGTCGGAACCGCCAATCTGAAGTTGCACCCCCTTTTGTTTGAACATCTCCCACCAATCCCAACTCTGCATCAGAGGGTAGAAGAATTCGGCAACGTTCATACCGACACCGCTATTCAGACGTTCTTTTACACTAATATGGTATTAGACTGTAGTTGTCTAGTTACTTCTCGAGTGCTCGCTTACCTGTCACGACCCAGCAAGGTCGAGATTCTTATTCCCCTCCCGAGCTGGCCCAATATTTCCGACACAGTGACTTTATTATGCCAGGTTGAGTTGTTGTAAATTCCGCGTAGCCAGCTCATGCTCTTCTTATCATGAACAAAGCCGTGACGAGCAGCATAAAACTCTATTTTCTTCCACATTCTCTTAATTTGTTCTTGCATTAACAAAATATTCTTACTTCTGCTGCTCCTGTGCATGGGCTCTCGTTCTGTCGAGCGGCCGCTAGGGTCTCCTATCTTTGCAGTGGCACCACCTATCTGCACGACTGTTAGCATCATTGACCCCGAGTACAGGTACATTACTCACCAGGTGGAAAGTCGGATAACCGTGGACATAAGACCAGAACAGTATCATCACAGGAAGCATGTGCCCAATATGTAGAGAGGATGCCGTAGCGTCAACACCACAGTAGACCCCTATGCGCTTCTTCGTAAGGAGCTTGTCCAACGCATCCCGATTCCTAAACCTCAGTTAGCTGCGGTCAATATTTCAAAAACTTGTAATTTGGCATACCCAGCTATCTGTTTGACAAGGCCGCGCTCCTCGAGCATGGTCAGAAAACTCTTTTGCCTGCCCGCATCGATTTCCTTAGCAGTCCTACTCCAATTCAGATTTCTCTCCACTTCTTTCCTTAGCCACCCCTGGGAAATGCATCTTCGCGCGTCATACGAGACAGGCGATGGCGACGGGAATATGGAGCATCGTGATGCACCGCGCCGCACCACGCGAGAGCTTGCATCAGTCAATGACATCAATGCGACAGGATGCTACGATCGAGGCGGCCGTTCGACGCGAAGAATGCGAGAAAAGTTATGGCGGAGGCTACTAGTTTTATTCAGCCTTATCAGATGGAGAAAGTCTCGGCAAGGCATCAAGGCATCAAGGCATGAAGACTAGGTCTGAGGCAAGTGCCTGCTCTCCATACTATCTAGGCAATTGTATAAGTCATTCTAGAGCCTTACTCCAGCCTTAGTTCCTTGAAACTTCGCGCGATGGAATATGGAGACTTCTGCAGTGGACGATGAACCTCTTGAGTTTCCCCTCTTTTCAATTGTACGTCTGCGACTCTAAAGGGCAGGGATGCACAACTAGACGCACAAGACAACCGATCATAAGGGTCATCAGCTTCATCATCTCGCTAGCCCGGACACCAACTGCAGGTTGAACTAGACCCTGAACTGGCACCTGCTACCCCACGTCTAGCTCCCTTGGTACCTATCTATCTGTGTCTTCTCCGCATCTGGTGTGTTGACCCCATCTTCGAGTTGGCTTGCCTTGTTCACGATTGAGGTTGCATGCTCTCTATATCTTGATTAGGTTTATGAAATAGTGCGTATTCACTCACTTCGTTCAACCACGCCCGCTTCATAGTCGTACTGGACTATTCACCGAACTCAGGAAAGATGTTCTTGAAACTAGTTTGTGATCCGCCTCTCGGCCAAATCACTGTCGTGTCAGAAGGAACGAAGGTATTCTTTATTTCGTACTGAGTCTTATCCCAAAGCAGTTTCTTATAGCTGAACAGGCTCTCTTCACCGTGCTCGTCGAGACTGCTGCCGATTCCGACAAAGACTGGAGCGTTGATCTATGGCATGACCACACTTTAAAACAATGGGAGAGCTTGCCGTTTCAACAATCTAGGGATGCTGATATTACAGTATGTATCCGCATCGTTGCGTGAGAGTTTTGCTAAAGAATGTACGAGGACATCAACAAAGCCACGGACAGGAAGACGACTAGACGTCAATTGTTTACCTTGACCTTGGACAAGCAGATGTCAGCTTTCTCGTTCACTATCCGGCTCCGTTCGAGTGCAAACGATTCCTGGAAATGGGCCCGCGATCTATTTGGCATCGCTGATGGAACACTGCTATTTCAACCGAAAACGATTCCTAAGCAGAAGTTGGATTACTTCTTCCAGGGTATTAGTCCCGAATTTACAATCTCGAACGAGAGCAGCGAAACTCCCGATACATTACTCTGGTACCTTACTGTTCCCGCCGATGCGGCCCCTGGAGAAGCTTCTAGCTATACACGCCACACTCTGGGTACCCCAACGCACCTGAAGCGATGGTTCTCACTTGTCCGTATTTGGAGCCCCTGGCTGGCACCTAGGCAGGTAATTTTTCTCCAAACATAGATACAGGATACTTCCATATTAATCAGACCGTAGGGAACTGATCATTTCGATGTTGATAAAGACTCAGTCCTATCGTCATTCCTGCGCGAAGACGGTTATCATGTCGTAGTCCTTGCAATCAGTGGAACAGACGATGTACTCACTATTATTCATCACGATGGGGACGGAAACGTTGTCATTCAGGGGCAGAACGATGCTGTCAACCAGAGCGAGTCCAAGGTTGTGGTAGCTGTAGGACACACGTTTGAGCTAGCCAATTCCGCTGCAATGTATCATGCCAGGAAAGTCTCAATGCAGTATGAGGTCATGAGTGAAGCAATGCAAAAAGAAGTCAAAGCTCTCGAGGAAGCCGGGCCCGAACCACAGTGGCTTCAAGAATGGTACGATGGGCTGACATACTGTACTTGGAATGGCCTCGGCCAGAAGCTCCACCAGGATCGTATATTCGAAGCCTTAGAATCACTAAGAAGCAGTGGAATTACCATCACGAATCTTATTATTGACGATAATTGGCAAAGTTTGGGAGACAATCAAGGCGGCGAGTATACTCCTGGACTGGACCAGTTTCGAGCGGGTTGGATGGAGTTTGAGGCTATCAAAGAGGGTTTCCCGCAAGGACTCAAATACTGCACCTCGAAGATTCGCAAGGACAACCCGAATATCAAGCATATCGCAGTGTGGCATGCCCTTTTGGGTTACTGGGGTGGGATCGCGCCCCACGGCAAGATCGCTAAAGAATATGGCATCACTCAGGTCCATATGCGAGATGGTGTTGCAGGCGGGAACAAATACGTTGTTCCCGCCGACCAGGCCAGTCGCATGTATGCCGATTTCTACTCATTCCTGTCTCAAAGTGGAGTCGACAGTGTAAAAACAGATGCTCAGGTGAGTCTAATCTGTCATTGCTGTGCTGCACACTAAGAATTCCAGTTCATGGTTGATGAAATCGACCAAGCTCCTGCTCGAAGGAGTCTCATAAAAGAGTGAGTGGCCAACTATCTCGCTTCGTCTCCTCGGTTCAGGGCGTTTCGATGATACATTTTACCGTTGAAGCATCTCTAGAAGGCTAACGCTCGATAGGTATCAAGACAGTTGGAGCATTGCCAATATGCGTTACCTTGGAGCTAAGGCAATCAGCTGTATGAGTCTTACGCCTCAGATGCTGTTCCACAGCCAACTACCGAACAACAAGCCACGACTACTTCTGAGGAACTCTGATGACTTCTTCCCTGAGATTCCGGCATCTCACCCGTGGCATATATTTTGCAATGCACACGTTTCCCTACTGACACAACACCTAAATACACTCCCGGACTGGGATATGTTCCAAACTGTTCATGACTTCTCTGCCTTTCATGCAGCGGCACGATGTGTATCAGGCGGGCCAATTTACATCACCGACGAGCCTGGAAAACACGACATCAAGCTGATCGACCAGATGACGGCGAAGAATCCACGTGGCGATACGATCATTTTACGTCCAAGCACTGTAGGCAAGAGTACCAACGCTTATACATCCTACGATGAGCATGTACTTCTCAAAGTAAGCAGCTATAATGGGGGAGCCCAAACAGGCACCAGCATCCTGGGCATATTCAATACGACGTCCGCCGATTTGACGGAGCACATCAAGCTAAGCCAATTCCCTGGGGCAGAGACTGGAACATACATCATCCGATCATACACAAGCGGCAGTATAGCGCCTCCTCTATCGGTTGCCTCGGAAGCTACAAACAGGAATCCTCTGTACGTATCGTTGAATAGCCATGCCTGGGATATTCTGTCCGCAGTACCAGTACAATCTTTCACCCTACGCCGCAAAGGCTCGGGATCTGGACCAGCGGACATCTCGATCGCAAATCTAGGCTTGCTGGACAAGATGACAGGATCTGCAGCGATCGTCAACACCATGGCAAGTATCGAGACTGGGTCTGGACGATTGCGTGTCTACTCGAGTCTGAAGGCACTGGGCATATTTGGGCTTTACGTGAGCGGCCTGGGGAAGAGGAACGTAATCGACGATTTCTTTGCAGTTCTGTTTGGTGTACCTGTGGATCCGCGGTTTGTTAAGACAGATATCAATGACAATGGCGATGGTGTACTGGAAATTGACGTCGCCGCAGCCTACAAAGACAGTGGAAAGGATGTGGGTTGGAGCAACGAGATCGGAATCGAGGTCATCGTCAGATAGATCCTGGATTGGACATTTGTCAAAAGACACGTTACTAGGTAGCTCACATGCGAGCAATCTTCGTGCAATTGCCTGATTTATCCCCTCCTCACTCTCTGAGATACACACATACACCCAGACCATATTTCTCTACCTTGACGATAAAGACCGCAGTCATATTCTTGAGCATTCCTTCGAGACCCTCCCTGCTGGACCCACCTAGACCACATCCCAGCCCCACACCGCCATTCCGGTATAAATGGATCCATCCGAGCTCCATGGCTAATTACGCACGCGCGCGTGTGTGTTTCTATTTTCATACCTACATTCCACAATTCGCATTTCATACAATACACAACCACACACCCATATAAACCACACCCATATAAACCACACCCATATAAACCACACCCATATAAACCACACCCATATAAACCACACCCATATAAACCACACCCATATAAA